ATTTCAGTTTTTAAAGTATTATTATTGTCTGTGCAAGAACTGATTAAATTTATTCAGAGTTGTTAGTGACATAATTTTAATTATATTTTCCTTGTCTTTATTTGGTTTATGTCTGTGTACCTCTACTACTCTATAAAGCCAGGACCAGGACTAGTAGGCACACCCTTGTATCTATGGTGCCTTCAAAGTGCTTGGCGTATAACACAACATGGACAGGTTTGTTCAGATTTATACATTTCTGAAATCACTTCTTCCAAATTTTATATATATATATATATATATATATATATATATACACATATATATAAAGTTTTCCACTCTAAAAAGCTGATTTTAAGAAAGTGGATTTCCCAAGCATGTTAGAATCAAATGAGTACAAGTATAGGCATTCAATAAATGATTATTCAATAAACTAAGTAGCCACCCATCTCATTCTTAATATAAACATTTGCTACATTTGTCTTTTGTTCCTAATTTTTAACTAAATTCTTCTCTAACTGATACATAAAATTTCACTTATTTATGGGGTACCATGTGATGTTTTCATACATATTTACCTTGTATAATGTTCAAAATACGGTAAAAATATCCATTTCCTCAAACATTTACCATTTCTTTATGGTGAAAACATCCAAAATCCTTTTTTCTAGCTTTTGAAAAATATGATACATTACCATTATCTATGGTCTCCTTACTGGGTGATGAAACATCAGAACTTTTGCTCCTGTCTAATTGCAGTTTAGAGTGTCCCAACGCTTCCTATCCTCCTGCTCCTTTATTCTCTCTACCCTCTGGCAACACCATTCTACTTCCTACTATACAATCAACTGCTTCAGATTCCACACAGAAGTGAGATCAACTGGTACTTGTCTTCCTGTGCCTGGCTTGTTTCACTTGACATAATAACCTCTGGTTCTATCCCTATTGTCACAAATGACAGGATTAAATTTTAAATAGACAGTAAATGGTTAATGAGAGTGAAGTCTCGGTTCATTTGGTTTTACATCTCAAGAAATTTCTTCTGTAGCCTATTCAAATAAAAATTAGTAAAATATTACAATGATTATAACTCTTTTGAAGGCAGAACTGTCATATATTTCCATGTATCTCCACTAGAATTTATTAGTATTTTGCAGACAATAATTTAAAATTGCTAAAGCATTCAATGAACAAGCAAGGCTGTCTGTGATGTGCAGCTACCTGTGTATAAAAGTGATGAGAAACCTATCTTCATGGAGCTTATTGTCTTTTGAAGAATTTACAAATTAAATATTATATAAATGAGTGTTCAACTATAATTAACGTAAATATGATCAAGTAAACATATTGGGTGCTAAAAGAGTGATAAATATTTCCAAAGTTATATAGAAACCAGAGGGAAGATGTAGCCATCTGAATGGAAGTGAAATTCCAATGGAACAAAATTTAAGAATTTAATGAGGATAATTTCTTATTTATGTTAGATATTTATTATCTTTTTTAGTTTTCATTAGTAATGGTGGTACCTTACAAAGTGAAGTGGTATATTTTTGAAAAGCGATTTTTGTCATATAATAAAAATAGAAGTATGAGTTCTTAGCAAATACCTTCTAAGAACAAAATTTTAACTATAGGAAGAGATGCATTCATAAAAGATCTTTTACTGTATTATTTAAGTAGTGATTTTAACAGGAAGAAACTAAATGAGTAAGTAAACTGTTGTGGTCCTTAAAAAATGTTGACTCTCAAAAATAATATAACAGCATAAAAGTGCATTACATTATAGTGCTATATAAAAGACTGAAAATATTATATGCTCATAAAAGTATGTTGAAAATAAATAAAAAGTACTAAAAGAAATATAGCAAAAAATTCTAGTCACTATAGTGAAAAGAGTAGGAGAGATTTCTTTTTCTTTTTTATTTTATAAATATTCTGTAGTATGGTTTTATTATTATGATAGTTCAAAATACTTTTTGAAATAAAAAATAAATAGTAAAAACATTTCTGAACTTTATAGATAGGTGATTTTTATTATATGCATTATATTAATACCTAATTCGCTACACAGCACTCGGGAGGCTAATTTAGTCAATAAAAAGGCTTGAAAAAAATGAATCACAAACCGTTACTGTTCAGTGCACACAGAAAGGTGCTATTAATAACTACAAAGGCAAAAGGAGAGCATCTGCAACCCAGGAACTAAAATTAGCGGTAACGTTGAAGGGAGTTCTACCAAATTATGTTTTCCAGAAGACAATCACAGGCTCTTCTTGTGTGAGGAAGACTGATCACCTCTATTATCCTTGAAACAAAAGCAAAGATTTCTGGATGAGTGCATTTAATTATGATGTTTATCTAGTCCCTCTGGAGCCATTTATATAAACAAGATAGTTTAGAGCACTTGCTTGCAGTAAAGGTGGGAGAGGTTATGTTTTATAAAAAAGTGTATGTATTTTAAGCCATGTGACCCACACCCATACATCAACATACTGGCATTTTATACCGCTGTTTATTTAAAATGTAGAGGAGAAAAATGTAAAGAGGCATACATACTACCCTATCTTTCCCTCCTGATCCTTGGACTTTGCAGTCCATGAGCTTGTGAAATTAACAGTATTATTAACAACCATAGTATTATTAACTGTATTGCTAACAATCATAATACTCCTTATGAGTATTTTCCTATCTCAGGTACTGGTCTAGGTGCTTTTTTTTAAATTTATGTTATCCTCTTTATTCTCATAATAGTTCTGTAAAGTTGAGTCTTCTCATTTTCTCCACTTTACAAGTAAAGAAATTGAAATTTAGAATATTAATATACCTCATTCATGATCACTCAGCTAAATGCTTGGGTTCGAATGAGTGTAACAGATTTAGCTACACAATCCAGTGTGTTAAGCTATACTGTACATTTAAAGAATGTTTTGTATTAATGCTTCCATTTTATTGTAAAACTTACCAGAAATTATTTTGGGTGAGATTAACAGAAGTTGTCCCCAGTTCATATGCCATCTCTTCATATTTTCTTTTTTTCTTTTTCTTTACTTGTTATAGTTTGGATTGGAATAATTTAGGCTAACTTCATCAGTGTAAAGACAGGAAATTATATTTTCCTCGTCTTACACTTATTTATTTTAGAATATCTGCTGTTCATTTCTAAGAACAGAAGCACTAAACTCTCAAAGCCCTCTTCTGGCCACCGAGGACTGATAGAGTGATCTTTTTCAAACTTCCCATACAAACATGTAGCTTCTGAGAACAGTCTGCTGAGATTTCAGGATCAGATATGCAGACTCAGGAAGGACCAACAATCTCCTGGTCTTTAGATAATGTCTGTGATGTATAAAATAAAAGCTTCAGGTTTAAATACATTTATCCAATTTGATGAAGCTGTGAGAAATAGCACACTGGACCACAGTTGTCACAATACAAGGGCAGGGCTGCAAGGTGTTTTGGGAGAATACCTGGAAGGAGTCCTGGAAAAGGAGCCTGTGAGGGACACAGTGAAATGCTGACTACCTCCATTGTTCCAGAGTATTTTCATCTGCTTTCAGATATGAGGAACTAAGATTTAGAGTAGTTACATAGTTTCCCTATGGTCACACAGTCAATAACTGTAGATCTGTCTGACACAGAAGTCTGTGTTTTGTATGGGAAACCAGTATGGGTCTTAGGGACAGCCTGGAGTCATTCATTAGTGTCCGTTACTTTATCTCTGGCATCTTTGTTGCCCTTTTGCTGAAAGTCTTCTCTCTGCTTACTGTGGAGGTCACAGTAGCTCTCTGTATTAGTTCTGTGTCTTATTCCTTTAAAGTCCTTGTCACTAGAAATTTCTATCCTCACAGAGGCTCAGATCCAAGCTGGGAAATGCTCTGTGTGGATTATCATGAGCCCCAGTCACCACTTACAAAATGTTTCTGTAAGAAAATGCTTTATGAAGAGTGAAAGAGCAGGTTTATGAATGATTTTTTGGAAAACAAACTAACTTGAGGATAATGTCTAAGGCCAATAATTTCTTGGTAATATTTGCTTATATTCTTTTCTCAATGATTTATAAAGTTGTAAGTAACACTTGACCTGAAAGTGTGTTTTCTATGACACAAAATACCACTGTTTCCAAGTCTTTCTTATTCTAGCTGTTCCACTGCAAACCAGCATTATTGTGCATTTATATACAATGGGTATTCAAAGCAGTTGTGCATTGGAAGTTTGATTTATTACTCATCTCAAAGAAGGATTCTCACTTCAATTTAGCTGTAATTCTGAATTATATAGCAAAGTTATAAATGATCTTTAGAGCATTAATTAAATAACTTCTTTAGTTTTAATTGATATGGTTTTACAATATTAATTAAAGCAGGGACCTAATATAACAATAGATTTGGTGCTTTTGGTGAGTTTTCCTGTCACTGGGACAAAATACCTGATGAATACAATTTAAAAGCAAAGCGGTTTGTTTGCCTCATAGTTTCAGTGAATTCGATCCATAGTTGGTTGGCTCAAAGGCAGAAGTGGTATAGTGGAAGGGCATGGTAGAAGAAAGTAACTCATCCTTATAGCAGCTAGGAAATAAGGATATAAGGAGAATCTGGGAACACCCTTGCCGCTCATGTAGCTCAGCTCTACTGACCAGGCCCCTAACATCACAGCTAGGAAGTAATCAGCAGACCAATCCATGGTAAATACAGTGCACCCATAATCAACCACCTTTGGAAAACCCCACTTCTGAACATATAACATGGAGAGGACATTTTAGATCTCAAACACACAGACGTTTATTATTTTTCCACTTCCTATAATTTACAGTCAAGTAGCTATCATAAGAACCTCTTGTTCCAAGAAATACTGTAGAGTGGTCCAGCATTCCAGCAATATATCTACCCTGATTTGGAATAATCTGTTTTGGGTGATTTAACTACTTGTCTGTCACATGGTGGGATGCTGTTATCATATATATGTTTTGGGCACAGTGACTAAAAGTTACTTATTTCATAAAAAACCTTATTTTGCCTTTTCAGATGTAACTGTGTGGAGCCACATAATCCCAGCAATGATACCCTGAAGGAATGGAGGGAATCCAATATTTCTGTCTCGGACATAATTTGGGAGAACCTAACTGTATCGGTAAGGCATTAAAGAATAAGTCATATATTGCTTCATTTACTGTAAGAGATTTGACCGACATTTTAAATTATTGCCATGAAGGTAAATTTTTTGAATGTGTAATATTATGAAAGATAGCCTAATTTTAATTTTAAATTCCTTTTCAGGTACCCACATTAGTAAGGAGGGACCTCCACTCATTATCAAAGGAAAAACTTTCTAGTAGTTTACATACCAAATCTTTCTGGAAACAATCATACACAGAATTACATGACTGAGAGGAATCAAAGGCACATTAAATATGAGTGGTGTTGACCTATCTGAAACACTATGGCAGGACTCCTATTTGACTCTGAGATCTGCGAGCCGTTTACAATATGCTGAGGGCAGAGTTCTTAATATGTTAGTGTATATACTAAATATTTTGAACAAATAAAAGTCACCTTCATTTAAAGACACTTTATTTAAAACTCTGGAACTTCTCAATAGTTTTCTTGATTCCATCTAGTTGTATTTTTCATTCGAGAAAAGGGATAACAACGTATTTTTTTTTCTGTAAAGAAGTTAAATTCTGTACCTTGGTTTTTATTTTCTTATAGTTTTCTTTTCTATGCAATTTCTTTCTTCTCGTAGCTGCATTTCTCCTATTATATTGTTTCTCCTGCATTTTTGAGCTATTATAATATCTGTGCATGTCTTCACATCTTTTTATGCATATAATGCATCCTTCTGCTCAATGAAATCATGCCCTTTGGAAAACCGAATGCTCTCTTTTAATAAATATTAAAATATCTGGGTAACTTTTGTTTGTTTTCTGTTGTACCTACTTGCAAACATTACAGTTGAAACCTTCTGCCACTTTCTCTACCTGTATAAGCTCAAATTGCATTATAGCCATGAGCACAGAGCCATAAGAATGCTAATTCATTTGATCAAACACATACTGTAAGTAAGTGAGCCAGTTACTGGACTATAGGAATCTTTTTGTTGTTGTCGCACAGATACTATAAAACTCTAAGCATGATTCATGTGATCTTTTGTCTATTACCTTAACTTTCTGTTAAATGTGTTCTTTCAGCATCAGAATTAACTTATTCTGTTTTAAATTCAGAATTAACTTATTCTCTGTTCCAAAGTCAGAATTAACTTTTTCTCTATTCAAAATTCTATCCTATTATACACCTTGGTCCTTATTTAGATTTTCAGTCAATAGGAACAAATTGTTCAGTGAGAAAGCAATTAGAGAGGGGCAAGGAGGGAAAGAAGGAAGAAAAAAGAAAAAAATGAAAGAAGAAGGATAAAATGGATACAAAAGCTTTTGTAAATAAGGAAGGGAATGGGGCTGAGGAGAGAAGGAAATAGGAAAAAGAAAGAGTCAAGATGTATCACGTACAGGTACAAATTCCCTATGATGGATGTGACTGTTATGTGTATCTGAATTATATAAATAAACCTAGGTTTAATAAAATTATCTTCAAACATTTTCATTACCTTTCTTCTAACCCTAGTCATTTCTTCTTCAATAAGAAGACTTTGCTTACTCTTGTTTTTTTCTTCTATTATTGTTAACATTCATTTCTTTCTATTTTTTAGAGAGATAACAGTACTAGGCTATTTTAAATGGTTCAGAGAAACAATTAAATTAACCAATAAAAGAACTGATGAGCTAAACAAGAAAAAGTGATACAATTACTCAGAAGTTAGACTTGAGATCCAGTCCTGAGTCTTGCAGCTCTGTCTCCTTTTTGTAATTGTTGTGTTTGAAGAGCCCTTTGCTTGTGTCCCTCATCTAGATGTCTCTTTCAACAGGAAAATCTAAATAATGATTTCTCTCATTTAATGTCATAATTTGCTCTGTTTTATATTCCTTGAAAAATTCAAAGCTAGATAATAAAATTCATTCTGTACATTAGTAAATCTTCAACAATAACCATACAAAAAACATACTTACAGTGCAATTGACCTAACTATGAATTAGTTGTTGATAACAGAAGCTTTGCAATCAAGTGGAATATGGCGAAAAATATTTTATAATCAAAGCAAATGTAGTACTTGGTGTTTTGGTTTCTTTTATTTTTAAAGAATCTCTACTAAGTGTTAACATTCTGGCAGAATTTTTCATATTATTTTAATTAAAACAGTTTTTGCAATGGATAATTACTAATCTAGACTAAAAATAATTTTTATCCCCAAAGGGAATGCTATGTAATAAAAAAATCTTGTAATTTTTTAAGCCTAAGTATGTTATTAAATTTTGTCTTATACTGATTTTCCCTATTATCACTATCAAACGTATTTTATTAACAAAGTACCGTGCCATAATAACTAGTTTTGCAAAAATAGTGATGCAACATTCAATTTACATAAATTATTCACTTGACAGGTTCTATATTACTTTATTGAGTTATGTATCTCATGAACCATAAATTATACCTTGCTAATTCAGTAAGGGCAAAGGATCAAAAAATTTTCTTGATTTTTTTCAAACTGTTATATATATAGCAAGTGTTAAATATTTAACAAATACTATACAATTATTTGAAAAATAGTTCTATCTTACATATTTACTACTTAATGCAAACATCTATGGCAAACTATAATGTATAATGTATTGGCACATCTCAAAATTAACCATTTTAAAGAATGCCTAGGCAGGATTTTAAATATTCACAAGCAATTACCTAGTAATTTAGTAAGAATCATTTCAGTTCCTGAATTGCATACTTTAACTTGAATGTATATAAGGGGCATGATACTCATGCCAACTTTAATTTCTTATTTTATTGAACTCATTTTTTCCAACTTATAGAATTGTTGAAACTTAGAATATGTTTGAAGAGTAATTAGTAGAAATCAGATTGTCAACAAGCATTTTTTGAGTACCCATTGTAAGAGAAACCATATGTTAGATTCAAAAGAAGAGAGCAGGAATTTGGATTCGGTTTTCACTTCTGAATTTCAGAACTTCTCCTCTAAGTGTAAATGTGTTTTGGAAGTACAATTAATATAAAATTAATACAAATGTTGAATTTAGTAGGTCATAATTTTTCTTTTCAAAATGACTATTCTTTCCTCTGAAAGCAAGAACAGAACAATACTTTGGATTTGCTTTGAAGTAAAGTAACTCGGCAGGTCATTGGCATCTATGTTTTTAAAATTGAGGTTACACACACCCAAGCATAGTAAATATTTAGAATACTTCTAAATCTAAAGAAAAGACTGCAAATGCCCACAAATCAGTAGATACTGTGATTATAATGAAACCTTCAGCTTCTCTTTGTACTTTGCCACTGTGTTTACCCATTGCGTTCCTTACATTGCTTAGTAAGTGCTCTTCATCGTCTCTGGACAGGCACAGAGAAGGGAATGAAAAATACAAGGATTTGTTTTTGCCTCTTTATCTATTATACAGAATTTTGAAAGGATTTTTAAATTCTGGTGCACTTCTCTGTGGTGTTTAAATTAGCCAACTTACTGTGCTCTGTACTAGTTTCACATGGATAATTGAAATTTAGGTAGCAAGAGACGTACTTGTAGTTAGATCAGAGTAAGAGGAAGATCCTTTTGAGCAGTTTAGAGGTGTCCAGTATTTAAGTGTCTCACGTTTAGGGTAACTGCTCCTGTCCATTTTACTAGTTGTTTGCTAGTTTTCAAATGACAGTGTAGCTGCTTGTGTTTTAATGTAGAATCTATAGAAGGTATTTTTATGCTGTTCAAAGACTCTAAGGCTTACGGTTTGATTCATAAGGCAAACTGCTAGTGATCAATCCATGTTTTTTTAGTCCATATTTTTTTGTAGGATCTTTCTGTAACATCACATAACTTAGTTTCTGTTTCAGGGCCAAAATACCTCAAGATCTAATAAGGTCACTGGGTCATTTTGGTTTTCTCTATATTTTTTAAATAGAAAAAGAATTTAGTAATCTAATTTTTAAAATAAGACATATCAAAGTGACTTTAAAAGAATTTTTTCCTTTTTAAAATTTTTTATGAAGAAAAATTTTTTGACTTTGCTGCCACCTTATGGCTAAGGCAGTAATTAGAAATGATACTTTAGAGGTTTGTAGAAATATAGTACCAGAAAAAAAGGCCATGGAGAAGATACAGTAAATATACACTCTATCTTGCTCATATAGTGATTTTTTCTGCAATTATTATTTAAGTTCAGGAGACCCATTTCTGACTCATAATTTAATTTCAGTAAATATATATATATATATATATATATATATATATATATATATATTTCTTGTTATCTTTCGTATCCTTCTTGGTAGTTTTGGATTAGATAATTCTTCAAAATAATTGTTCCTTCCTAATATGCTATAGTTCTCACCAAAGTCATGCCCATGTCACAGATCCACTGCCACCCAGAAGTAATAAAGTCACAAACAAATTGCTTGACCTCTTATATCTCTTTCCTCAGACATGAAATATCAACAATGACATCTATCTATTTTATAGGGTTGCCCTAAAAGTTAATTAAAGGAGATATTTAAGAAGATATATGTCTGAGGTTAGTAAACATTCACTCTCAAATATAATTTAAATAAATTTCATATTAGGAGCTTAGTGGACATTACGTTTATTACACACTGATTGGCAAATCAATTCATGTTCAAATTTTATATGCTATGTTTTTGACACTGCTAATTATGTATCCAAGTAGAATTTGGAAGTCATGTATAGCGTCTTTTAAGTCCTGGTGAAAAGATTCAAAATCTCAACAGCAATTGATCAAAAGATGTTAGTTTTCTCAAAGAAAAGTGTGCAGCTTTTTCTTAATCACTCCATTTGTTTTAATTCCCGTGGCAGGAATGCAAATCACTGCATGGAGAATATGTTGGACGAGCCTGTGGCCATGAACACCCCTATGTCCCAGATGTTCTGTTCTGGTCGGTGATCTTGTTCTTTTCCACAGTTACAATGTCAGCCACTCTAAAGCAGTTCAAGACTAGCCGATATTTTCCAACCAAGGTACCTAGACTATAATTTTCCTGATCTAAATATGAACTAACATCCAGCATGATATGGAATTCTGTGTGCTTTAGGACAAAAGAAAGAGCAAGTGATGGAGGTGAAAAACCTGTGATAGCCTTGTAAATTGGGTGACCTGCCGGATAAGATGTGGGGGTGTGGGCGGAATGACACAAAAGCATTTTGTGGTGTAGGTGCCAGAGAGAGCACAAGCCCTACAGGCTTTTCTCCTAACTGCATACTTCAAAGATCAGCTGCCGCTCTCCCACTTACATTTTTGGAAATTCAGAGCACATGCTGCATTCCTGATTGTCACTTTCTTGCCCCCTGAGCAGTGGGAATTCTTCCAATCTGACAGATACCTCAGAAGAATCACTATTACATACTCTAATTGGGAAAGCCCTTGCAAAACTCATTGGAACACTTTTCTATTTTTTGGGTTTTAAAGCGTCAATCCCTCCCCCTAACCCACCATGTTTGCATCTGCATATTTGGAAAGGAAAGTAAACAGAGAAACAGTTTAGCTCAATATTTAACACTGCAAAGTAACACCTATAATGTCTGATTCCGCCAAAAGAGGAAAAAAGAAATAAGGAAATAAGCCTTTTAGGGTTGAGCTATAGATTCTGATAAAAAAAAAATTACCCTCTAAGAAAATATTTCAAGAATTATTCTTTCCAGAAAGGGCTTCTTTTGTTGCCACCTTCACTAAGGTAGAAGAGTACTTTCCATCCCTCAAAACTTAATCTGGTTAATAGAAAATCATTATTTGTAAGTTGAAAAAACAGTCTTAAACATTTTGTGTGAGTTTGTGTGTATGTCATAAAGGGATCCTGACAGAAAATAGATATTATTGGTAATTGTATAAAGATATTTGCTCAAAAATAGCTTGACAATATGAAAAGGCTTTTAAAAAGCCTAACATAAAGTATCTTTTAATTTGAATAATTTTGTCACTTACCCCTTCTGTTGTACACCCTACCAACTGTCATATTTATATCTTATATCCACTAAGTAAAATATTGTGCTAAATAAATAGGTGATTTATTAAATTTATCAAATTAATATATTCTTACATGAAAAAGAGAAATAAAATTCTATCAAATTCTGTCCATGAAACCTTATTCTGTGTTCTAAATTTTCAGTCTCTTAAATTTATAATAAACTTTGATTCTAAATAAGTGTCAAAATAACCTGACCTGTTTCATAATGTTTCATTCTGGAAAGGTTGAATGTGTACCCATCTTAATGACAGAAATACGTAAATACTGCGTATATTCAGGTACTGGCAGAGGAAGTGGTAATATTATAGTATGCAGAAAATGCAATGTTATGATATTATGTCATAGAGTGTTTATGAAGTGTGACTCTAGATTATGTTCCTGAATACTCCTTGATATTTATAGCTCCTTCAAGTGACAAGTGTTTTCATTATTTTTAGGTTCGATCCATAGTGAGTGACTTTGCTGTCTTTCTTACAATTCTGTGTATGGTTTTAATTGACTATGCCATCGGGATCCCATCTCCAAAATTACAAGTGCCAAGTGTGTTCAAGGTGAATTTTTCACAGTACTTAGAGAATTTAACCTTTCTTTCTCTGTCTAATCTTCATTTAGATGATGTTCATACTTTCATGAAAGTATACACAATATAATTTGCACATCAATAAATAAAGTGCCTACAGCACAACTAAAATTTTGGTCTAATATTAAAAATATAGGGCTGGGATTTAGCTCAGCGGCATAAGTGCCTGCTTTCAAATGTGTGGTCATGAGTTTGGTCCCCGGTACCAAAAATAAAACAAAATAAATAAATAGATAAAATAAAATAAAAATATAAGAATCACATAAATATACATTTGAAAATTGCTTGAAAAAATTCCCCATTCTCTGTCATAGCTGGAATAGCTACAGTACAGTGCTCCTAAAAGATAAGAAAGTGTTTTGAAGCCTAGAAAAATACATTATCTTGAGGCAGAATTGCAGAGTGGATAGGGCTTGAAAACATAAGAACAGATCTGAAAAAGAATTATCACTAAGATTTGTCACTAAGGGGACATGTAAATTTGAGCCAATTTCTTGCTTCTCTGATCCTCAGTTTTCTCATGAGTCAAACATGGCTGGGGACTCCTCAGATAACCGTTTTTTGTCAGAATGAGTTCCTTTGGGATCTATCTCAAGCACCTGCCATGTTTAGAACTCTTTGAGTCTATGACTAACACCTTTCCCTCGTTTTCATGCAATGGCCTGTATATGTATCTAAAATAAGTTATATTGAAATATTCTGCTTATTTATATTTGTGATTCTATTGAGAGAAGACTCTGACTTATCTTTGTACCTCAATTCTAGCATAGTGGTTAACCTGGTATTTGTAAATATAAATAAATTTACCAATAGTAAATGGCAAATGTTAATACTACATGTAATTTAGAGGTATAACAGAGGTAATGATTGAGAACAAATTGTTAGAGCTAGACTGTCTGAGTCTAAACTTAATCTCCACTACTCACTGAGTTTAGGACTTTGGGAAATTTACTAGTCTAATCTGTGCCTCACTTTTCATATTTGTATCATTTTCTGTAGAGTGTCGTGAAGAAAATCGTGAGTTAAAATTATTAAATCACTGAAAGTGGTGCTTGTCACCTTATGTATGCTTCATGAGTATCATTATTATTAATTTTATACCTTACACTTTGTCAGTTTATACTAAAAGCTTTCCTGGTCGTGTCTACAAAACTTAATATAATTATCTGTTCAGTAACCCAGCTACTGATATGTACATTTTTTTTTTATTTGTATAGCCTACCAGAGATGATCGTGGCTGGTTTGTTACACCTTTAGGCCCAAATCCTTGGTGGACAATAATAGCTGCTATCATTCCAGCTTTGCTTTGTACTATTCTAATATTTATGGACCAACAGATTACCGCTGTCATCATCAACAGGAAGGAACATAAGCTCAAGGTATATTTTCAGTAACCACTTTAATGTAAATAATTCTATTAATTGCTTCTTAATAATGTTCAATAGAATGCCTATATTTGTTTTCATTGTTTTACAAGGTAATTTGTCTTACAGTGATATGAACATTTGTTTGTAGCACTTGACTATGCTCTAAAGTATAAGACTTTATGTTCAAGGCTTAAGATAAAGAACAATGTCAAATTTCTAATCCAGCATCTTTAACATATTTTCGCCAAAATAATTCTGATGATATGACTTTACCAACTCATATTACACCTGGGATCCCACTGGGATTCCTTTAACTGATCATAAATATGTCTATTACATTGTATTCATTATTAGGCCAAATTATACCTTTAGATATTTCTTACTTTCTTTAATTACTATCCTGTTTGGAATGTGTATAACAACAAAACCCAAGTATGTTTTACATCTTTGAGTTTTAGTGGAGATTTTGATAATTATTTTTGCAAAGAGAATACTTAAATGTTTATATACTTATGTATTATACATGTCATTTTCCAGTTGTGAATAATCAAAGTTTATTACTGGTATGCAGTTTGTCTGAGATATGCAACATGAATACTAGCATTTATATAAACATATACAATAAGGTAAATGAAGTCACTGAATGTTTAAAAATAATTAGAATCATATCCTTTAAAAGCAGAACATATACAATTTTGTTTTGTTCTGGTATCATCGGGCAATTGTTAGCTATCTTCACATATCCTTCGAAGTCTAGAAAAAAGATCCTTGTCAGAGCAACAGAAATCATGATTTATAGAATTTTATAAACAGAATGCTTAAAAATCTCTGATTAAATTATATCTATATATTGGTAGATAAAATAATGACATAGGTCTTATAAAGCACAATTACATGTAATATATCTTACTAAAGGAAATTTGTATACTAGTGAGAATGTGTGTGTGTCTTAAAGAGCTTTGCTTATTCTCTGTAGAAAGTAACTGAAAATACTCAAAGTGATTTTTAAAAAAGGAATTTGTTCAATTCACTTATATTTTTATTAAATTAAAACATTTAATTATTAAAGACACATTTTTAAAATTATAAAGTCTTAAGAATTATACCAGTAGTGTGTTGGTCTAGCTCAAAAATCAGGTTAACATCCAGTCCTCTATGTGAAAAAACAGAGAGACCCTGATTTGTAAGTTTTGCTCATTACTGTGATGTGAATATTCTCACTATGGCCCACTCCTAAACTGTTAATGTGACATCAAATGGCAAAAAATTTTGTTAATTTTTAAAATTTCATTATTAACATTAATTATAATACATGCAATAAATTATTTGATGTAATTTAACATTCCTTCATGATAAAAGCTCTGAACAAATTAGGTATAGGAATATCATACATCAGCATAATATAGAATGTAAATATGACAAAATACTGAATAGGACAAAGCTAGAAACATTTCTTGTGAGATAGGAATAAGATAGACATGTCTCACTGCTTTATACAATGTAGTGCGGGGAATTTTAGCGAGAGCCATTAGGCAAGAGAAAGAAATAAAAGACACTCAAATAGAAAAGAGAAAGTAAAATAGTCTTGTTTGATCTGATAAGTTTGCATGAACTAGCTGAAAAACACAGAATTATACCACTCAAAATGGGAAACTTTGAAATATTTGTGAATTATTTCATAAAATAAGTAATTCAGATTTCTGAGTTAATAGCTTTGCTATTTAATATCAAGCTTTAAAAATAATAATTTTTAAAATATTAGGATTCTACCAAAGTAAATATCACCACAACTTTATTATTAATATTACACAGTTAATTAAGTAGGCATAAAACAGATTTAGGCACATTATGTTAAATATTATTACCTTGCTATTTTTTTTCTTTTTTTTTTTTAATTTTATTTAAAGGAAAAAAAAACAGTAAAAGGGTACAAGTAATACAAAATTTCAAAAAAAAAAAACAGCAAGAAATCACTAGTTAATAGATTATATAATGTCATCTTAGAAATAGTTGTTCAAGTTACAAAATTAAAGCACACAAAGTGGACTACGAGGCCCATTCTGATTTGACTATTATCTACCTTGCTGTTTTCTAAGATAAAGGAAACACTTTATGCTAGATACTGGTTTATATTTTTAAACTGACAACATCTGTATTTTTCTGATTCTACAGTAAAATATAATTCTGATTTACATATCAGATAATAAAAAAGTTAAAGGACATATGTGAAAAACTAAAATTTCGCCACGAATAACATTGTTTACACTTTTATGTATGTTTAAGTAAATTTTACTTTATTTTATTGTATGCACGTATGTATGTATGTTTTGGATGCTGGAAATCAAAACCAAGGCCTTGTACATCCTATGATCATGCCCTACCACTGACCTACACCCCCAGCCTTAAGTGTATGTATTCATACTACATCTGAATCTATATTCATACTGCATACCATTTTAATGGCTATATATTTCTTATAAAACACATTTTATGGGTCTAGCACACTTCTGCTGCATGATTCTGCTTGTATAACACATTTTAAAATGCACTAGAAGACCAACGCTTTAGAACGGAAGTAAGCCATATAGTCATTGCTGTCTTTTCAATAGAAGATTATTTTAGCCTTTGTCATACAGTCAAAATCCCTCTGATTTTACTGAAAAGTTTTGTGTATAGACTATCAGTTAAATTTATGCAGTCTGTATTATTAACAGAATTATATTAAAACAAATTGGAAGCAAAAGATGATTTCCTGGGGATGATATCTTTTTGACCATTCTGTATCTTTGCTCTTTCCAAGTTTCTCATCCTTACAATCTCTTGTTCTTCATAAGGGACACCAGGACCTTGACATTCACATTCATTCCAAAGCCATACTATTTTCTTTTCTTTTTTTTTTTTTTTGTATTGCACAATAACTGAAATACAGTGAAGCATTCTTAAATGGTCCTTCCAAGTTTTCACATTTATAGAACAGAATGCAAAACTGAATCACTTAATATCTGTACAACTGAATGAACCCGAGTATATAATTAAACCCTTGTTATATTGTACAAATTATTAATTATATAGTCAGAAGATTCATATTTTCACAACCTAACACCCCAAATTTAGTGAACAGTAGAGCAAATCTGGCATCATAAACCCTGCTATATTTCCGAAGGTAGAAGATCTAGTCTGTTCTTGGTCACTTTTGAGTCTGAACACAGTTTTCTTCTTTAAAGGGACATTTTCGAAGCACATTGGGTCTAATGAAGACATAATTAATCTTTGCTGAGCAATTATTTTTGGTCCTATAGTCATTGTCTCATATAAACTTCACTATAATGTGGCCTATTACTGTTGATTTTCCTGTTAACAACAACAACAAAAAATCAGCTTCTATGAACACACTTTACTCAGAATAACAGCTTGTTCCATTGACCATTCTCCTCACCTGTTGCGTCCCTGAAATGTTTGCAAAGTCACCTGGCTTTGGCTTGGACCACATTTTCATGAAAAGATGATTCTTGAGTGTATCTCCAAACCACAAATTAATTATATTTTAGCTTTTACTAATTTTGTTTTTTCACTTAAAATCCATTTTTACCCGGTTGGAACATTCCCCGAATTTTTTTGGCAAATCGTATTTTCTAGTTTCTGTACAGGTACTTTGTACATTCTACATCATGTACCCAAGTTTACAAGATCTATCTAAGTCACTGCAAATACACATCTCATTCCTTATTGTTCACAAACATACTCTGGATCTTTTCACTTTTCCTCCACCCATACTATCAGAATAAGTAGTCAGTTTTTACTAGATGATGTTTGTTAGGCCAACAAAAATGTTATTATATACACAATGAAACTGTTACGAGTGCATAGGCTAAAATCCAGCTCCCTGGCTAAGCTACTCTCTATAATCTGAGAATGAAGGGACACAAAATTAATGAAACTCTGAACTCATTATAATACTTTGGTGCATTCAAGAATAAAATCAGCTGCAAGTGTAAAAATCTGAGAATGAAAAATGTTATATATGTTATCTATAGATATAAATTCCCACTGTCTGTAGCATTTGTTTTTCTTCCTTAACGAAGTGGAATAGACATAGGTTAACTGAATTCCTTTTAAAGGCATTCAAAATAATACCATTTTTTGGAAGCACATTCTCTGTAAGTGAAAAGAAAAAGAGTTATTATCTTTCAGAAAAGAAAGTTTCTGTTAAGATGCAACCATGGGCTTTTCTGCATGTTTCTATAGACAGTTCAGGCTTCTTTTGACATCATTTTTAATAAACAGCAATACAACCCTGGATCACTTGAGTAAATGAGTGCATTTGCAACATTCATTTGGCACCACATTCTCTTGATGATTATGGCATTTGATATGTTCTTTTTTGCCCTCATTGTCAGCCTGGTTCTTCATGTCAATCTATAGTCTTTTATGTGGTTAACTTGACAGATGCAGGAAATTGCTGCCAAGCTTCAAAATGAATTTTTTCAGCGGTGGCATCTGGGTATCAGATGGTCCTTTTGGCTGGCCTCTTGTCTTGCTGCATGTTGGTTTTAGTGGGGTCTGGTGTAGCATCACCTGTTGCTATGCTCCCTTTTCTTCCCATATGTCCATTTCCCGTGATTCATAGATGATTGTGAGAATAAAAACTCCATTTCTGTCTTTATTTGAGAAAAAAATCAGAAATACATTAAAAGGTGCAGAGTTCTCTCTCTGACAAAAGGGTACTTCCCTTTGGCTGGCATGCCAATCAGCTAATAATTTGGTTACAAGGATCAAATTTTTAAAGGCATTTTAAATGAAAGGCAAGAAGAGAGATGCTGATTAATTAGTGAAAGCACCAGAACTGCTTTATTTCCTTTGGTTTGCATTAAATTAAGATGCATCTATTGTTGTACAGTATAATTGGAGGAAAATTATTTTATTATGCTTGTACACAACAAAGCCATCTTTTTAAATTTTAAAGGGAAATTATTTCCTCTGAAAGATGATTTTGTCCTCTTCTAGAAATTCCATTGTATTATATTTAGAAAACACCCAGCAAAAACTACAGAAAATTGCTATCATGAGGAAAACTTTCTTCATATTACGCTGTAAATTTCAGGGAACATAGAGCCTGAGAAAGTTCAGTTTATGCTAAAAACCAAGCTCTACTCACAAGCTGAGCCTTCTGTCCTCTTCAGTTTCTGTTCCCTCTCAGCAGTATCACAGCTTCGCAGCAGTGTCTGGGGACATTCACTTTTTACTCCCTGAGAACCAGGGGCTGGAGTACTTAAGTCCTTCACTTACAGAGTACCTAGGACAAAACACTGCTGTGATTACTTAGACATTGCCTTTTAAAAGTATTGAAATTTGCAGTCTGTGCTATGGAACTACATCTTTCAAAATGCTTGTAAAAGGACGGGGGATCTTATTATGGCCCTGTCAAAGCTTCTTTCTATGCCATTTTGGTTTTGCCTACACCAGGATGATTCTCTTCCCATTCCCCCACTCCTGTCAATAAAAATCTTTCCTGAGGTATTTGCAAAGTTCCCAGAGTCATATTCATTGGGCAAATTGAATCCTGACATTTTAGTGAAGTGTAGTATTGCCACAGTAAACTGACCTGAGGAAGGATATGACTGAATTGGTGACAACACAGGAGGAAAATATCATCAGCTGTATATTTCCCATTTTTCTCCCATCATCACTTGTAGTTTTAGCAGCAATAGCAGAAGATAAAGAAAGTACAAGGGACTTTAACCATCCTTTTCTTAATAAGAAAACAATAAAAAAAGAAAATACTACCATAACAAATGGTAATGAATGTCTGGATAATCATACTTCAGCTTTTGTTATAAATACAAAGTGCATGCAATTTGATAAAATGGCCTCTAAAAAGGTGAAAACTATTAGTACTGAAGACATGGTCATTTCTGCCCAGATTCAACTACTACACTTATTTATAATCATGATTATTAAATTTAATACTATTTTCAATGATATATATTTCCTTTATAAAAAGTCAATCTGTAACATTTTTGATTGCTTATTGAGAAATTAAATGATAAATTACCTATGTTTCAGAAACATTATTTTACTGAAGATCTTTGAAACCAAATGAGAACCAAAGAAAAATGCATTGTTCAAGTGCTAGAATATAATAATACCTAATATTTGCTGGGTGTTGTTTATATGGCAGATGCTGCTTTAAATGATTGGCAAAATTAAACAATTTAATTCTCACAACATACTAATGAGATGCCTTCTAGTCTCATCCTCACCATTTTTTCAGATAAGAAAAAAAAAAAAAAGCCAAGGTAAATAAAGTGATTTGCTCAAGGTAATTGGTAGGCCAGTATTTTTGATCCCAGCAGTCTGTGTCTAGAATCTATAATCCTAGACACTTTATTATACAGCCTCTAGTGAAGTGATGTTTTCTTAAATTAAAAATAAGAATTCAAACAAAAATAAGCCAAGGTTTTTGCTAATTTTACGATTTTACATCTTTAATCCCTACAGGGGCTGCTGGGAAAGAGTAGTAGTACTTTGAGTTCTGTCTCAGAGACCTCACCTAATCGCCCTACGGAGAGAACAGACCCACATATCCAAATTGCATCAATTTTGTCTCATATATTCTGCCTGCTCTAAGAAAGCGCTTAAATTTATAGCACCTGGAGGTTAGTGATAGTGGAATAGGATCACAGAGGATATAAAAATGCAAAAATTATCATTTTAAGGAGAAGCTGAATTATTCTAGTGCTGAAAGGGAAGCAAGAACAAAATCACACTATATTGAGTTAAAAATGAATATAAATAAGGGAGCGTAGGTTCTATTTTAATCTTTCTAATAAAAAGTAACTTGTTGAGAGAAAAAGGGCAAATGGAAACAGAATGATTAAACGTTTATCTGCAGGCGCTCTGCTACAGGGGCCTTCTGGGCATTGTCAGGAAGAGGTTGCCGTTCACAACTAGGCCATCCCTAGTCCGGCTGTTGATGCAGTTCCTTTTCTTTCTTTCTTTCGTTTTTTAACAGAAAGGTTGTGGGTACCATCTGGACCTGTTAATGGTCGCTGTCATGCTCGGCGTGTGCTCCATCATGGGCCTGCCATGGTTTGTGGCTGCTACGGTCCTCTCCATCACTCATGTCAACAGTCTGAAACTGGAATCAGAGTGTTCAGCTCCAGGAGAACAACCCAAATTTCTTGGCATTCGGGAACAAAGGGTTACCGGGCTCATGATTTTTATTCTTATGGGTTCATCAGTCTTTATGACTAGTATTCTGAAGGTAATGAGATCTGCACTTATGAATTTGAGAAAAACAGACTATATATATATTTAAAATTTTCAGCTGCATTTAAGACATAAATTTGCAAGTATAGTATAGCATGTGATGAAAGTGATGGATTTCTTTAGTAGGTTTACGTAATTACTCTTAACCTAAGGGAGCAGGGAAATATGTTCTCTAGTTAGAATGTACCTAAAAGTTTACACGGCCAAAATAAAATTTGATGTGCAGTTTGTTATGAAAACTTTGAAATGGTGATCAAGCTATGGAAGTCATTCACTATTTCAAACTGATTTGTGACCTGAAGTCACTGTAGACCTACACAAAATAAAAGTTTCTGTTTTCTTGTCAGTGGACATATCTATAGCAATTAATATTACCTACTAGAGGTATAGACATATTTTACATTTAAGTGTTCAGTTTTATATGCTTTGTACGTATTTTCATATTTTAAATTTCTATAAAACTTTTTCACTGACATCGTTTCATATACTTGTTTTATCATACTTAAAGTAGTTGAATCCATTTTGAAGAATATTAACAAGTGATTATTTTGTCATGTAATTTTGGCAGATATTTCCAAGGTATGTAATTATATTATAAATTATAACTCATTTTAATTGCTTATAAATTGAATTTTTAATTGCATAGTTAATGATTTATACAACTTTATTTGTATTTAATCACTGAAACAATTATGCCTTCAATAATTCATTTTTATGTTATATAAATAATTATTAACACAAAATGATGGTAGGATGTTTTAAAAAAACAGTTTCAGCAATCCACATGTTTTCAAATATCTGACATAATGCAGGACAGTACCAAATTTTAATGCAAGATTCATTCTTCATCTTTAAAGCAAATGTTTTGTTATTGTGAAATAAAAAAATAAATTGTCTTTATAGTGGCATACTAAGAATATTTATTGTGCAGCCAGGTATGGTGGTGTACACCTGTAATCCCAGCACTTGGGAGGTGGAGGCAGGAGGATTGCAGTGAGTTTGAGGCAAGCCTGAACTACGTAATGAAACCCTGTCTCAAAAAAATTATTGTCGCATAGTATAGTAGTTGGAATTACTGCTTATTATGTACTGTGTAGTTTCAAAAAAATAGATTTTGACTTAACAAATACTTGCAACAACCTTATCATTATCATTATCATATATTTTTAGATATTGAGACACTAAGGCACAGAGAGTTTAAGTAACTTACCTAAAGTTACACAACTAACAAATGCTAGAGGTAGAATTTGAACCATGCATTCTGGATCTGTACTATACTGCTTCTAAAATACTCCGTCTCCCCTCAAGTTTGTTCTTCAGTAAATGCAAAATAGCATGACTACATATTGCAAAAATAATGTATGCTTTTTCTTCAATTATTCTCTGACAGTTTATTCCCATGCCAGTGCTATATGGAGTGTTTCTTTACATGGGTGCTTCATCTCTAAAGGGAATTCAGGTAAATTATTTAGACATAGTATTAGTCTTTTATTGCTCCCTAAAAAAGTTGCATTGTGATTCAGCACCATAAAACAACACACTTTTATTATTTCAGTGTTTCGGGGTGCATGAATTTGGGAACAGATTAGCTTGGTACTACTGGTTCAAGAGGTCTTTACAGCTGCTGCGAGGGTCACTGTTACCTGAAGGAAGACCTACTTCAAGACAGTTAATCACATAGCTGTGAGCCAGGGCACAGTCTCTCTACAGTTGTTGACATGAAGCGTTATTATTTTTTGTGTTTTTTTGTTTTTGATTTTGCCTCAAGGGGCTCTCCACAGGGCACTTACATGTGCTTACAACATAGAAACTACAGAAGGGATCCCTTTTGTTTTATGCTCCAGAACTGTAGGTCTCATAGACCTCTTTTACTGTTTGTTTGAAGTGAGTCACTACATTCAACTTGTGCCAAAGGGAAGGGAATTAGACTTCATGTCTTAAACAGAAGAGTTTCAGATAATTTACAGAGATATTTTCAAACTTCCACATGTATTCTAAGTCATAGCACAGGCTGTCTGCAAATTCTTCCTCTTTCTTTCTTTTACTGTCCTGCCCTGGGCTGAATAGTGAGTGTTCCTTCAAAATACACGTCCTCCTGGAATCTCAGAATATGACCTTAGTTGGAAATAGGGTCTTAGAATTAGAATTAGATATCTATTTGTGCTTTCAAAGATCTTATGTACGTAAGCCATAAATCTAAAAACTTGGGCCCTTGGAAGCGGAGAAGAAACACACTGAGACCAAGGAAGAGAGCCTTGTGAGGACTGAGAAAAAGATTGTAGCGGTGGTTCCCCAAGCCAGGGATACCAGGAGCCACTGGGCCTGGCAAAGGGAAAGAAGTTTTCTGGAGCATTTTTAGGGCATTAAGAAAGAAGTTGTGGCAATTGATTATTGCAGCCTCAGAAAGCTGACACAGATTTCTATTTAAATTTTCCTTTGACTAATCTTATTTTATAACTTAGTATTATTTAGCCAAACACTTTAATTTTCTGGAAAGAGACTAAGTTTGAGGATTTTTATTGCATAATTTTTTGTCAACTAAAAGGAGAATCTAAATAACAGCTTTTTCTATGTACAGCTAGTCTCATTGCTGTTCAAAACATATAGGAGAATAGTCACTTGACTACAAAAAAGGCAGCACAGTGTCTCTGTTCCCAAGTGAATCGCCTACTGGCTTCTGAATTTGGCAGAAGCAGCGCTTAGGCCTTCGGGCAGCACTTGGATATCAGAGCTGAGCAAAACTTTAATACAAAGTCATTGCAAGATGTCTGAACCCTCGGTGCATAGATACTAGTAGACCTTTGTTTACACAACACCAGGTAAAATTAATTTGGGAGAATGCTGTGGTTGAGAAGCTCTATATGTTTAAATTTGACTCAAGTAAGATTTTATTTACTCATTTAAAATTCATGTATGAAAAGTATATTCTGATAGAATTGGTTTGATAAGGCATCCAGGGAGGATTACTGAAGAAGTTTTATTTATTTGTTTTACTTTTTGTTTTGTTTTTAGCCTTTGGCAAAAGTTTCATGAGTACTAATTTCATCTGTAAGTGAAGAGTATTTATTATTAAGCCCCAGGCTTACATAAATACAGCAGCAGAAGTTTAAGAAACAAAGAAAAAGTCATTTTGATAAATTTCAGTAGATTTTTTCCCCCAATTCCACTCACATGACTTTATACTCAAGTGATTTACAATTAAGTAAGCATATCAAATTCTGAAATTATTTGGAATTTGACTTTTGCAAATAAAAACTGAAAAAAATATTACCAAAAGCCCACAAGTTAAATATAATGAGATTTAAATAACACAAATGGAATGGCAAGCCCAGGCACACATTAAACAAATAGGGTCTCACACTGAGAAACAGATTAGTGAAAATCTAAGCCCCAAGCTGAAATTCCTATTAGAATTGAAACTAACTAGGTATGGCAATAAGATAGTAATACTGGGGCATAATAAAAGTCAAATGCAAAACTCCGTATGTATTTGTCATAATTTACTGAATTAATGATAATTACATAAGTAAATAAATACCTATGGCTCACAGACCATGTTACTTTCACATCCTGTAAATTGGAGGAATCTATAGATTACCTGACTGTTTGGCAACATTAAGAAACTTACTATGCAGGCTTCTCACTGTGAAACATGGCAGAGAAAACAGATCACAATGTTCTCGTGAATGCTGTTTCTGTATTCAGATATATAACCACATCTATATTCATTCCAACACTTTAGGAATCCAAAGTAGAGCAAATGTGCCATTTAAACAATAACAATCGAAGCACCCACACACTGAAGTATGCTTATGCAATAACATAGCTTCATAAATGGAGAAATGGTAGCTGGGGAAAATTTGTTCTGTAGAAATGGAAATACTCAGCCGTAAGAAAAAGAATTTTATTTCTTTCCCGTTCTTTCTTCCACTGTGAACAAAATTTAATGACTTCTAATTTAAAGAGATACAGTATTTAGGAAATATAAATGAAAAGACCTAATGACATGGAGAGGGAGATGAACCAGGGATGAGTTCATCATTTAGTATTCTGCACATTAGGTTTCCATAAACATTTTTGGAAGGTATGAATGTATATAAGTAAGTGAATATACAGTGCTTGAACTAATGTTTCTATGATTCTGGCTTAAACACTGAGGAAAAAAGGTCACGCCATGCCATAAGCCAGAGAGTACAGAAAGAAAGATAGGTTTAAGTTGTTTCCGGTATTCTTGAATAAGTACAAACAAGTTTGGGTGTAACAGAATGCTTTAACCTAACATTTTTATCTAGACCTTTGTCCCTATGCATATTAAATTTTAAATATTTGATAAAAATATGTATAGTTTTCCTATAAGCTAGTTAAGAAATAGTAATAATTTAATATTACTTTTTTTGTAAAGTAACACTGTGTAGAAATAGCATGAAATAGAATAGCAATTTGAGTGATGACTGCAACCAGTGATTCAATCAAATAATAACCTCTCACAGAAACACTGAAACACAAAAATTGGCCAGAAAAAATTAAACAAAAGGACTCACATAAGATAAAACTAATGTAAAATACAATTTATTACTACATAAATTATGATTGAAATTTTTTTTGTGAAAATTTATCAAATTTAAATAGAGAAAATTTGTTTTGCTTGATTATGAAGGGCTCAAAGTTTGAGTTAAAGCAGAACTAGTTACAAAGTGATTGTACTATCTCTATGGCAAAATTGAAACAGAAATAACATTAATAAAATATGAATATATGGAAATATATAAATGGTTTGAGAGTACAACATAAGAAAATCAAGAAGTTAAACTGAATTCACCAAATGTCTTTAGAAAACACTTTATTAACAAAAGTTCATAAATCTTTTACATAAATCTTTATGGTTAAAATGCTTTTGTTCATCAGCTGGGCATGGTGGCACACACCTGTAATTCCAGTACTCAGGAGTTTGAGCAGAAGGAGCGCTGTGCTTTCAAGGCCAACCTGGGCTACACAGTGAGTTTAAGAACAGTCTGAACTACAAAGCAAGATTCTGTCTTAAAAACAAGCAAGTAAACAAACAAAAACTCAAAAACAAAAACTGACCAATAAACAAAAACAAACAAACAAAAAATCCAGTGAAAGATATTTGTGTTTGTAAAGACAACATTAAGACCTTTTTGGGCATCAAAGTGACACAGTCAAAATATTAGAGTTCAAATAAAGAGACATCCTGCGTGGCAGCTAGGTAGGATATGGAACTCTTGGAGAGATCTGAGGGAGAGAACCAAGCATAAGAGTTATTAGCAAGTATGCGAAGGTGAACGCTGTGGGGAAAATGAACCATACCAAGAGAAAAGAGGACAGAGGCTGGGATTCTGGTAAACACGACATTTGGAGGGTAAAAGAAAAAGTGTACAATGTAATATTAAAAAACGGATGATGTTTTGTTTCTTAGGGCTCTACTCCCAACATTTAGCATTGACTTACTATCTTTAAATTCTTTCTAAACTACAACCTTCATATTCCAGAAAATGTAGGAAACTGTTAAACTGAAATATAGTGTTTCATTATGGGTATATCAATCCTTTGGTCCTGGTACCCAGAGATAAGTCAGTGTAAGTCTAAAAATTTGGGCTTCATTAAATATGTACTAGTTTTACTTTTATTCTTGTCTTATTCTTTGATGTAATTTAATCTGTTTAATCTTTTAGTTATTTGATAGAATAAAACTCTTCTGGATGCCTGCAAAACATCAACCAGATTTCATATATCTAAGGCATGTACCACTCCGAAAAGTTCACCTCTTCACAGTAATTCAGATGAGCTGCCTTGGCCTTTTGTGGATAATAAAAGTTTCAAGAGCTGCTATTGTCTTTCCTATGATGGTATGAAACTTCTGCTGACTCTTTTTCTCTTCCTCTGATTTTTGAATTTCTTTGGAACTATGTGAACTAAAATTGGAACAATTGAGTCATTTTGAACAATTATTGGAAATCCTAGTAGAAATTTGGTCTTTAAAACTATTTACGAAGACAAGGCTTGAGAACATCATGGCTTTCATGGATTAATATTAATTTTGTCTGTCATTTTGAATGAAGTAGTTTGAGTTAATTGAAGCTGGATAAAAAAATGTAAACGTTCATAATTTAACATTAAAGATACCCTAACAGAGCTACTTGGAATGTTGGAGGAATTCTAAAAATAAAATTTAAATGTTTCAGGAAACTTTCAAATACTCAGAAAATTACTAAGTAATTTTCAAAATGATCAGTATAATTGAGAATGTTCTAATGTTCACTTAATATAGTACCAACTATTCGCTTAATGTATTTAGGAAGCAAAATCAAATATATTTTAGATCTAACGTAGCTTCTTTAACTCCAACAATGAGTAAAATCTTAGCTATTATTTTGGGGCTGTGGCTGGAAAGGAAAAGAAAGATCAGATAATGTGTCTTCCACAAATATTTCAAGTGTTACTTTAATGTCACTTCTAATTAAGACTAACTCACTTCTTTCAAACAGTAAATACATCTCCTCTATCTAGATTTTCCACTTGAAATTTTTTTATTATTTTCTTTAGGTGTTAGCACTGGTATTTGTAAGAAAGTTGATGGACTTCTTATTTACCAAACGGGAACTCAGCTGGTTGGATGATTTAATGCCTGAAAGTAAGAAAAAGAAACTAGAAGATGCTGAAAAAGAAGTAAGTCAATCAAAATAAAAGCAATATCTTAGAATGAAGGAGAAGGAAAAAAAAAAAGCGATAGTTCCTTGCAAAACTAAGTGATTGTTTTAGACAGGGATTACCAGCAACCATGGGTGAAGCAACTGACTCAGAAGTTTAGTTTTTAAAGTCATAAAGATTTAAACAGAGAGCGAGTGAGAACCTATATGTTACATGAAGGAATCACCTCTCTCCCTATGAAATTTGCAAATATTTTGTACTTAATTATCCCTTAAATTGTAAGGTTTATTTTTCTGACTCCTCACTCATGGATGGCAGAAATTTGCTAATATATAACTATTTCCTATCATCAGGCAATGATTACTTTTTGGTTGAATATATGTGAGGAAGAGGAAAAGAGGCATATTATTATGGCTAGTGTTTTTCTAGGGAAAATTTTTAATCATAAGATTCTAATCAAAAATTAATTTTTTGAAAATATTTAAAAGGAAAAAAAAAATGACCTGATTTGCTTTCAAAGTGATTTAGGATAAAACAAATATTTCCTGAGAAACTGTGTTATTTGAATTATCTTCATGGACTACTGATTTATCCTATTCTGTTTCATAGGTAAAAACAAGATTTTATGACCTAAAGTTCATATGTTAATGTTGATCTATTTTGAAGGTTATTTAATCATAACGTTTTAAAAAGTGCATTGAAACTATAGAACATAAATGAAAAAAAGACCCATACAACTTTTCACAGAGTGATGAAGCCCAGAGGTTGTGAAACATAGAAGAATTTCTTTGTAAATAGAAATGAAATTGAAAAATAACATTTTGTGAGAATCATGCACTATGTTGTCCATTTTTCTTGCTACTACAGATGATCTGTAATGTGTTTCCTTTTCCTATCCACAGAGTATTTTTTCAAGCCTAGATATTTCCTCTTTCTTTTTGAAAATTAATTTGTAAATGTTATATACGAATCTTAGGTTTTCCTGCATCATTCAGTGAGGCCAAATTATTCTCCAAAACTAATCCAGTTTCTGCTCAGAATTACATGTTTTGTGACTCACAGTTCTTTCTCCTTCTCCATGGTGTCCCACTGCAGAAAAAGGATTTCCATACATGGGTCGTGATCACGTGTCTTAAGTCTTTTTGAGTATTCTGATTTTTCTAAAACTGATGTATTATACAAGGTCATAAAAATAAAGATTATGGGGCAGTTTTGCAGCAGAACATTCTAGATGTAAGTCTAAGAAAAGCCCCTTGATGCATTCGTTGAATAGTTTTAAACATCCTTAAAACTGCAAAAAGATTAATATGGTGAACTTCAGTACACAGAAAGCCAGAAAGCCGTTAACACAATAAAGAAATAATCTACTACTGAGTCTTAAAATATAGCTGTAATTGCTTTTAAAGACAGACAATTGTGTATCAAATTGTAGAGAGATAAGGAAGTTTAAAGATGTTTATATTCTAATTTGAAGTAGTGTTAGAGGAGGATCAGTGAAGGGAGTAGGAGGACTTGAGAGGACACTAAAAATCCCTCGTTGGTTTCCTACTTGGGTGCCCAGATCTCAGCGTTTTATTTTCTTGAGTTTATGGACACCACCAAAGGTTATCATCTTCTTACTGAGGCATCTGGTACCAAGACCCAATCTTCTAGGAGATTGTACATTAAGGTGACATTAAGGTGGCAAGCGGACGAGTTCTCCAGAAATGTTCCATTTCTGTATTGTTCAAATTAATTAAGTAGCTTTGATCATGATCTGGCAAGATGATAAATAGTAGAAATATCTCAGTTCCTGAGACTTGAATTTAAAGTAAACTCACCTCTTGTCATTTTGATGATAGTTACAAGCTTGTACCTTTATCCTCCAGGGTTTTCCTATCAGTAGCCCATTTCTGGTCTTATGGCACTGAGAAAACATTCATTTGACCTTAAAATTCAATAATGAGTTAAGCAGAATAAATAGCTACACAGGCCAGTCCAAGGTCGCAGAGCTTCTGTTCCAAATTTTCATGTACTTCATGCATATGCATATGCATATGCTTCAGTTTTTAGAAAGAAAGGATTATAATCAGGGTAGAAATGAATATTGGAACCCTGACATTTTGCACATTGCTCTGTGTAAAGAGAAGACTGAAGAATCAAATTCTGGATGTCCAAATGTGCTCAGAGTACCAACATGTCTTCCTTCCTACTTAAATATTCTCTAGGACATTGTACACATTTGATAAAAAATACTACTGTTAAAAGCAAAAAAAAAAAAAAAAAAAAAAAAAACCTCCAGCAGAATGTTTTCTCCGGGTTGGGGGGATAAGGTTACATAAATCCTGGAAATCCAATTTTTTTGGAAACAATCATATCTATACTTTTTGATTTACAGAAGATTCATTCTACATATACAGAGAAGAGAAAACAGAAAAGGGGCAAGTTGCGCCTGGCGATCTATATAAAGCAGGATCATGAAAAATTCTAAGAAAATACAAAAACAACCTGAAAACACGAACAATTAAAAACAAAGTTACAGAGAATGTGTTGCCATTAAGAAAAGTCAGAATTGGTTGTGGATCTAGGAAATGAGACTTAATCATCACACAGACAGATGTCACTTATAGTGAATTTTTGGGTGGGGAAAGCATATTCTCCTTCTTCTATTAGTAGTTTTCCAAAGTGTGATTCTAGAACTCCTGACACATCAGCCAACATCTAAAATTTGTTAAATGAAAAATCTTGAGTCTTACTACAAACCCAGGTTCTTAAGAAATCTTGGGATAGGGTTAGTGATCTATGGTAATAAGACCTCAAGATTCTGAGGTAAAATAAGCAGTTTCATGCTTTGTAGAACCACAAAATTTGAATTTCCAGAAATAATCACACAATAAATATACTATTACTCTATTAGAATTTCTGTTTGTAATAATTACATTTGCTTGGAAACACTGAATCAAATAGCCTAATAAAATACATGTTGCCTTCATGTATTTATATGTATTCTTAAGCTCTCACCCCATCAATCCTTTCAAGCTTTGTTATTGAAATTTTATGTATTTGTTTTTCTATACATTGCAAATGATAAATTATGATAAAAATACTTATAAATATGTCTTTTATGGTTTTAAATGTGTCATATAATGTTTGATTCTATTCTATTAATAGTTCTATTAATTAAGTGGATAGATTCTGAAGGCCTTGTCTTCCTCTTGTATAAGTAAAGAGGTTGAACTTGAATTTTGAAGTCCTTTTCATTTTTTAAGATACATGAACTCCAAAATTGCTTACTATTTTCTCTTTCTCTAAGGATTTTTGTGAATATTGGCTCTCTTCTGTTGCTGTTTGTACTTCAAACTATTTGAGGGTTCCTATACAGACGCAGGCACTGCTGAAAAATGGATATATAGTAGATTTTGCCCACTTTAATAAAGGTGGTCAGAGGATAGAGCATTTGCTAGATATTGTGATATATAAATTATAACTTTTATGTCACTACCAAATACAATTCATATTCATCATATAATTTGATGTATGTCACCCCATTTAGCGTAAACATAAAAAGTGACCATAATTTTATTTCCTACTTCAACTCAACACAGGCCTTTAGCTCTAACCAGGATAGTTGCTCTGTGTCATGCAAACACATCTTACTTATTCATGACTTTCATGCTTCCCTATATAGCATTTGCTTCTGCCAAACATTTCTTCCTTTCTACAGCCTCTGTTCCTGTACTTCTCACGGTGATCCTTTACATCCTCCAGGAGGGGGCTTATGCTTTTCAGTATTATAGTCCCGTGTCTAGCACATTACTTGTCATGTACATTGTGTTTCATGCAGAATCATTGCTCGGATGAATTAAGAGCTTCTGGTTATTCTTCTTATTTATGATGTCCCCACTGCATCATACATGCTCAGTAAATATTTGAGTGATGTTGAGTAGATTCGTTTTCTAAATTTTAATCTTCCCTGCCCTTTATTAGATACAACATTATTTGACATTTGTTTTATAGCTGAAATTGTGCTGACTATCTTAGTTTAAAGATGGCTTTTATATCACAGGATAAATATTTCTCACTCAAATTGACAAAACCCTCCAATGATCTGGGATAAACGAATTTTGGCCATCACTCTAGTAGAACTCAGCATATTTTTGATAGATCCTGTGTAAAAGAAGTATTAAATGGGACTCATTTTAGCATCCTTCTGCATTGGATACCTGGTTTGCTTTATGCTCTTTTTTCTCTTCTCACGTGACTGAGATAATCTAGGTTGTGACTGTCATGATGACTAGTGCCTGATTTTCCCGCTGCTCCCAAAAAGTCTCCCTTTTTGGCTCCCCCACAGCACTGGCTGGGATGCGGTCGGCCCCCATCGCTGCTCTAGGACCCACCCAGCTCCCTTCTGGCTCTGAAGGCAGCGGCTGCTCTGCCACCCTTCTCTTCAGATAAGCATGGCTTGGAAATGCTATCTTTAGAGGTGATGAGTTTTTGTTTGGATAGAATTATGACTAGTATAAAGCCCACACATGCTAACAAGCCACAGAGTGCAAAATAATTATTGAAAGCAATTTGAGAGAAAAGTGGAAAATCATCTGAAGAAGAAACCAAATTGTTCCCAAAGCTTTGGTTCAGTTTTTTTCTGTTTGAGTAGTTTCATTTTCTGCTGCCAGGTGACCTAAGCTCCACTGTTCCTCTCTTCAGTTGTCGTTGTTGTTTATTTTGCCTTTTTCTCTTTATTAAAACGTCCTGACTTCTTGACATTTTATTCTAAGATGGCCAGAAAAGATACAATATAACAGGCTTAAATTTTCAGTGGACAACCAAAGACATATTTATATTTTGCTTATATCTTGGTTTTAGTTTTCAACTTTTGAGATTACTGTGTTTTTTTCATGTTGCTCTGCATACATTAAGGTAACTTCTTCAGTACAGAAAGTAATTTTTTCTACCCAGAAGGATTATATATGTTTTGCTCATGATCTCCAGGCTGTACATACAAATTTGTGTGATATGCATGTTATATTCAGTAAATTCTACCAATTCTAGTTGCAAGGCATGCCTATTTTTAGGCTACAGTTTTGTGCTTACATACGCAATTTTAAACTAATATTTATATATATCTACCTTAAATTATGTCTAACGGTACTGCCAAATTACACGAAGGCATAAAATGGAGATAATGAAATATATCTGATGGACCTTAAGATAAATAGGTTTCTTTAACAGTAAAAAGAGAACAGAATTAGTTCCTGAAATGCTAAGGAGTGTGCTATTAGCCTCACAGTGTATAAAATCATAAGATTCTGTGGTGACCATGTAAACAAAGGAGTAACAAAGCTCATTTATTTTTTGGGTCTCTCTGTGACTCCAAAGCACAGACTTGGCATCACAGCCAAAGTTCCTGTAGAGAGGGGATGCTTTGGCCAGCAGGTTGGAAAATGCTGCAAGAGTGAAATGAGATCTGCCCCCACACTGTATTACATATTCATAGGTTAACTGAAGAGGCACTAGGAGACACTTTGTCTCTTTAAAATATTGCAAGAAATATGGCAAAGAACATTAAGACTATGGAGTATGCAGGTGGATGGCCAAGGTTGAATACAAGGGACTCCAGCGACAGTCTTGTCTGACAAAAAAACTGGCATTAGCCAAAGGTCTTGTCTCTGTAGCAGCTGGCTTAGAATCATTCCTTTTGAGGAATGAATTCAAGAGGGCTGGTTTAGGTTTAACTGGTTAAACTGGCTTAGGCCAGTTTATCTCTTCTAAACTAGTGAAAGAGGGAACGCAATGAACTTTCAGGGCTATCCCTATTTTTTCTCATCAATTCCCATTTGAGAAGAATCACCTACTTTTTCATGTCTGTAAATTTTAAAATCTTATCTCTGGAGTTAGAGCCAAAATTCCAATGTTTTTAATGACATAAATAATTCTCTAGGCTTCAGCAGTATAAGTTGATGCAATGAAAAATAAATGTATTAAGCACAAACTGTAATGTACATCTTTCTTGTTTTGCTATGTGGAGAAAGTTTAATGATACCATCATTTGAAAACTAAATCAGGACATTTTGTTATGGTAGTAACAGAATATCTTCATCTCAAAGATATATTTTAAAATGTGGTATACGAATATCTAAAGCATTTCTACCATTTGGTGGAAGAGTAGATTAATACTGTTATTGTAAGAAGTCTGAAACTTAAAACAAAACCTAAGATATACCTAAGTGGAGTAAACGTTCCTCCATCAAGACATACTTGTGTTTCATCCATACAGGAATATATCTTCTACTGTCTCTTTCTAAGTCTCTAGAACACTGCAGTTCTCAATGTGTGGTCCATGGACCAGCATAATCAATATCATCTGGAAACTTGTTAGAAATGTAAATACCAGTGCAGAATGAAAACCTCCCCAGAAATCTGTATTTTTAGCAAGCTCTTGAGGTGATTCTCTGTACAAAGTTGTTGTGAATGCATCCTTCATCTCCTCCTATTAGAGAATTCTAGGAATGTAATTTCAACTTTATAATAATAAAATTATTACATTACTCATACTTCTGTCCTTGTAAAATTTAGATTAATTTTTTAAAATTCTGCTTGGAAATTAACTATGTTTTGCATTGAGTGACATGAAGGAGATTGTTGTTAGCATTTAAATTACTTTGTGTTATGAAACTCTCATTAATTACTTATGTTCTTGGTAGCTGAGGCTTTATTGAAAGGCCCTGTGCTAGCATTAATAAATGCAAACAAAGTGGAAGGTCCTGAGGTTAATGAGATAATGAAACACTAATCTGTGTTTCTTCTTTTATGTAAAATGGAGATTCATCAGGTTCATTTTATGTACTTCACAATGTCTTTCCAGGAAGAACAAAGTATGCTAGCTATGGAGGATGAGGGTACTGTACAACTCCCAATGGAAGGGCACTACAGGTAAGATACAAATTTAAAACACTTCACTGTAAGTAACAGAATGTGTTTGATATGTACTGTGTTCTTTTTAAGAATCTCATGCTGTGTGGATCCTTGCAGAAATTTGTTAAAGTTATGTTGGGGAAGGGGGGCGTGAGACTAAGAATTACCTTACCAAATTCTGCTGATAGAAACTATTTGATTATACCCAAATAGCATAAAAGAAAGTGGGACAGGAACCCTAAGAAAAGTACTTCAAAGATATGATGGATTTCTTGTTTAAAGGATCCCATAATATCAGCCATTTTAGGAGATACTCATATTGAAATATTTGCATTTATCTTTTATGTTTATATTTAAATTATTCTAATCTTCGTATTTCATACACGGTGACATAACAAAGGAAAGCAAACTCCTTCAAGTTATAATAAAAACCTTTGCAAATATTTGGTGTACAATATGTATTCATTCTCTCTCTTTTTTCCCTCTCTCCTTCATTCCCTCTCAGTGTAGTTTAGCTTAGTTTAGCTTTCTTGTTAAATTCTGCCTTCATTACTATTTAGTAGCCAATTTCATAGTCTCAAAATTCTTAGGAATAATTTAAGTCTATGTTAGTAAAAAAGTAAAGAATTTCCTCTGAGACGGAATCTGTTACTGTATTAAAAACAAAATATAAGAGAATCTTTGGATCTTCAGAAGCTTTCTCTAAAATTGTAGTCCCTAAAATTTTTAAAATATAATTCCTACCACTTAAGGGTGAGCATAAACATGGCATTTTAGCTTTCCTTTTTTTCTTCTACAGCACTTTAAATCCTGTTGAATTAGTTACATCAGTATATTTCAAAGTGTATTCTGTGGCGACTTGGTATCATATGGTACCACTCCCAGAAAGGCCTTGTAGTTAAGTAAGTTTAGAAAATATCCCATGTTACATTCCAGTTTAGAAGTTCACAACATGCACTGGCATATGAAGTAATCTAAGTAGCACTGCATTTTTTTAAAAAAAGTTTACTTGTGTTTAATTTTCAGCCTTTTAAAACATTTTTGCTCACATGACATTATCACATAGGACCATGAAAAACTTACGTTCACATGATGCTTTTTTTGGAAATTAGTTGATCTCATACTTTGTAGGAAATTATCTAGGCAAATTAGAGGAATTAAAGAGCACATTTCAAGAATGGACAAGGGAAAGGGGCTTTTGCTCATTTTATGTGGTGAATTTGTTTTGCTCATTTTATGTGGTGAATTTGTTACTGTCTTGTGAACAACTACTGATATGCCCATGTGAAGTCAGTTTTGGATCCCTGTGAACTCAGATCACTATTGTTTCAAAACAGATGGATCTTACCCACATGTAGTAAAAAAATATGTGCCATTTTCTCAGTTACTTTTATTTTACTTGATCTGTGATTGATTATTTCTACTATTTGGTTGTGTTTCTACCCCTAGGGATGATTTGGAGTATCATGAGTGTTACCTATAATTAGTGCCACTTTAAAAAATTTAAAAAGAAAAAGCACCAGAATATTACTGGTTTCCCCAACCACCCGGAAAGAGCTTTGTTAAATACACAGTCTGTATTAACTTCTTAAACAAATAGTTATTGATTAAGCTCCAAATGTTTAGCTCTGTCTGGTTCTTGGAGGAACAACAGTGAACAAATAATCAAGAATCTATGTCCTTATGAAACTTTTATTTAAGTAGAATAGAGGTGGGAAACAGAATACAAGCAACTGAACAATCTATAGTGCATTTCAGATGGTAAAAAGTGTAATAAAAACAAAAAGCAAATAAAAAGAATGAGAGTGGTACAGGGGATGGAAATAGTGGTTTTAATAGAGTAATCAACAAGGACGTATCTGAAAAGATGACATTTAAACAAAGCAGGAGAAAAGTTTCACCAAGTAAAGGAATACTACAGGCAGGGAAGAGCCCTGAGGCAGCAATGAGCCCAGTGTTCTAGAACAGTCAGCGACATTGTATTATATAACCAGAGAGGCATGAGTAGGGGAGTGTCGGCAGGGGACGTTAAGGCAGAGGATGAGGGGCCACAGAGCTGTAAGGCCATTATAAAGACTTAGTTTACTCCATGTCAATAAGATGCCACTGTAGGTCATGAAAAATGAGACAGAGGATCTTCCATGCTACAAATATTAGGAGCAAGAACCTCAGCAATGCATATGCAGGATCTAATCTCTAAAATGAATTAAGAAAATCACAGCCCAAATCCATATCTATACAACTAGAATATTTTCTTTAAATTTTTTGATTGTTAAATTATTGAGCTACTCAATATTTCTCAATTTGAATATTCAAGAATTATGTATGGGAAACAAAGTTTGATACATACATACAATAAAATATCATTCAGCTTTTAAAGGAAACAACATGAAATACTACATAGCTGAACCTCGAAGGCATTATGTTACATTAAATGAGCCAGTCCCAAAAGACAAATACTGCATGATTGAACTTATATGAGGCACTTAAGTAGTCAAAATCATAGACAGAATATCTAATGATGGTTGTCAGGGATCAGAATGGGAAATTACTGTTTAATGGATATAGAATTTCACTTTTACAAGACGAAAAGAATCCTGGAAATGAACGGTGGTGTTGGTTGCACATTCTGAATGTATTTAATAACACTTAACTATACATTTAAAAGTTGTTAAGATGGCAAGTTTTATGTTATGTGTATCTTGCTACAATAAAAAAGGAAAATTTCATACACATAAAATTTTCCTATGTGTATTTTCTAGCATCAAATAACTACAGTTTCTTACTTAATGTCTGTTATTTTATTTTGGGCAAACTATACAGAGATGATCCATCAGTCATCAATATTTCTGATGAAATGTCAAAGACTGCCTTGTGGAGGAACCTTCTGATTACTTCTGATAACTCTAAGGATAAGGAGTCCAGCTTTCCTTCTAAAAGGTTTGAATTTTAAAATAATGAGGTTATACTAATTCCAATGATTTTATGACACAAATTCACTAGCAAAAGAATATTAGTTTCAATCAAATTTAGATCTAAATTGCTTCAGAAATTGTTTTTGAAAGAAGGTAAAAAATATAATTTTAAAATGTTGGTATGTTTCTCAATTTCTCCTTTTCAATTAAAAGCTTTCTCCAAAACTATAACAGTGGGGGGGAAATAGAGCTACAAATGAGTCTTAATGCATGAGATTTTTGGACATTCATTTTAGCCTACTAATTTGCTATGTGATTTTATTGTATTCTCTCATCACCCTACTTCCTAGGATCCCTTAGATGTCTGACCTCATTTCCCACTCCTTATTTCCTATTTAAAAGTGATACATAATTATGGTGATTTAATATTTAGTGTATTTCTGTTCACCTATTCCAAGTTCCTGAATATCTTCCTTAACCTCCTTCCCCCCAAACCTTCAGCTGTCAAAGTTATAGCCATGCTTACTTATCTGTGCATAACCATGTGAGCAAATTTTGTAATTCTGGATGCTGATTTTTCAGTGCATGATTAGGGAGAAACATGTCCTTAAATATAGAGAGTTATCATGGGATTTTTGAAATGATTTTTTCAGAATTTATAAATAAGCATTTAAGTTATACCATACAATCTTCTTAAATGTTAAGCTAAATGAAAAGAAAGTCTTGTGTTATGCTAGTATCTCTTCTTATTAGAGAGGTAGTGAGGCTTTTGGGACATAATTATTGAGTTTCTTTATTTTCATAACCTTAAATTAACTTTATCTACTTAATTTTTATATTACATTTTTGCCATAAGCTCCCCTTCCTAATCACTCTAGAAGCTGATTCCCCAAAGGTAAGACCCTCTCCATGAAAACTATTCCTTGGTTGTTTTTGCTTATGTTAAATGGTATCTTCTGGAAAACTGGTCAGCCTGTGTCCTGTGTGAATTTTAGGGAGGCAAAAAACGTGAAGACTCTTGGTTTCCAGTGTAGGAGTTTAATGGTGTTATAGTAAGTGTGTCTGAAATTTCAGTCAATTTACTTTCCCTCTGTAACTTACAGAAATGCATCATATATAAGTTGACAAATTTCACAATACTATATTTAGTAATGTCATCAAATTTATAGATTGGGAAAAGAAAAATTATCCCTTAAATTAAGTAACTGAAAATCTGGAAGCTTCCGCTTATGTTATCATGGTGCATTGAGACTTGGTCTCATGAGACATAAATGAAGACATGAACCGTAGAAAAGAGGTACATTCAGCTTGAATTACATCTCTCTTTGCTAGTTTTTATCACACCAATTAGGCATAAAGCTTTAGTGTCAAGTCTATACTAAACAAATCGAAAGACCATCGGTGCATATTCTTCACCCCAGAGGCTAGAAAATTAGTTCCCTGCTCTCCATTCTTTTCCCTCTCCCCTACTTCCTTTCTCCTTCTTTCCCTCTTTCCCTCCCTCCCTCTCTCCCTCCCCCCTTTTCCTTCCTTCCTTCTCCCTCCTCTCCGTCTCTGTCTTTGTCTCTGTCTCTGTCTCTCTCTCTCTCTCTCTCTCAATTTTATCTCTTGTTCTCAACTCCTCCAAAATTTACTCCAAATCTGGTTAAGGACTTTTGGTTGATGTCTTTAAACAGTTTCAGAACTACCATGTCTTTCTTTGCTTGAGTCAAATAGCAGTAATTTTTTTTCTAAAATATACTTTATGATCTTTTCCCCCAAATCCTTGCTATTATTAGAGTCATCCTCACAATAATTTTGCATTTTGCTAGAACTCTTGAAAGAAAATCAGCATTATGAGAAGGGTGCTTTCTCAAGTACATTGAAATTATTCTTATGGAGCCTTTCACAGAAAATATATGACATTTTCTGACTTCTCTTAAAGTAATGAAATCCAGGCTGATGGGCTCAAAGTTAAATGCCTGCTATGGGAAATAGGTGGAGAATTTGAGACAGCCAAATTTGCAAATTGGTTGTTTTCCTGAATTGTATGGATCCATAATCTAAACACTTCTCTTGGTTTTTTCTTTGGTAAACAGTGAACTCAAGTGGTGGTCTTCACCAGAAATATTTAGTTCCTTAAAAATATGAGTTTGCATTACTTTGGAAGTAGATTGACTTCCAACAACATAATCTATTTTAGGTCAATTTTAAATAGATTAGTCTTTTGTTATTTGTTCTTTAGATATATATCCCCAATGGCTTGAGGTTCAGAATACCATAGAATGATGATTTTCTCAGATTTCCTTTTTAAGTGAAATAATCTGTAGCTTTTCATGTAAAAAATATCCCTTGGTTGTTAGTTAATATTCTTCATCTTTGTAACAGTAAAACTCCATCCAGAATGAATGTGGCTTATAGAAATCCTAGAACTATCAATACCAGTAAGAGCAATACTCTCCAAAAGCTGCTGCCTTCTCTTGGTATCCGTGGAAGGCACTGAAATACAGCCAGGAATTCCAAAACTTTGGTAGCTGTTGGAATATTGGCAAAACAAACTCAAAATTAGATAAAAACCTCCTAAAAACCAGAATGTTAGCTCCTGTGCCTCTCAAGACCTAAACTGGCTTTGCTCTCTCAAGACCTATGCAGCACCTGATCCATGCCTCCCAATTATTTTCCATCTTATCCTTGCTATAATAGGTTCACAGAAACCTAGATAACCTTTTAAAAGTGGAGCTTACAGTAGCAGTATATTTTCTTCATGATTTCATTCACTTTTGTGTCAGAAAGTAAATTATTTCATTCACTTTTGTTGACTGCAAGTAAAATCTAAGAACGGATAGCAAATTCTACCTCATCTATAGGATGTCTGTTTCTGTTCCAAGTTAACAGTGTCATATAAGTATGTGACAAGCTCCTCTGAAGTTTATCGAATAGTTCGGTAGACAGGTCTCACTATAAACCACATTACTTTAGAGTAGTGAACAACTACTATGTTTTAAAAGTTGACACCCAAGGTCAAATTTTTTGGAAAAGTACCTGTCCGTGTAAGAGAAGCAACACTGAGTTTTACCTTGATGGTGGGCTCAGGACCACCCTTCTTGCTCTTTCCTCCCCATCCTACCCCTGCAATTCCCACCATCTTCTATGCTGGATTCTCTTTCTTTGCTTTGATTTCTTAGGCCTAGGCTCTCTCATGCCTACTCAGTAAGTATTGTTTGTAAAACTATTCTAATGCCAATGAAAAGAAACAGATTCATAGATTTCTTAGATTTTTTTACTCTCTCTTGAGCTATTACTTCCTTATTTTTAAAATTGTAACTCCTTAAGGGCAAGGATAGTAATGTCTACCTTGTATTCCTAGGTCTTTGCAGAGGCATAGCAGATATGGAATATGTTTATTATAATAACATGTAGTATAAACGTAATATATATTTATTATACTAAAGCCTAAATTTGATTGGCATTTCAAAAAATGAATGTAGCAAGGAATCTATAGGGAGACAGTAAGAAGAGCAAAGTGAGAATATTTTTCATAAAATTCTCAAACTAGTTATAAAACTTCTTCTTATGAAATTAACTAACAACTAATCTAATATTCAAACCAATAATTTTAATGAAGGAAGGAATCCTCGCCATTTAATTAGTTATCTTTTGACTCAGAAAAACTCCATTATTGCAAAAGCAGATCAGGAGGAAGCTCATTTGTGGATCAAGTTGATAAATTCTGATTGTCTCTTTCTTCACTCCTCAGTGAAGAAACCAATTTGTTTATCAAAAGGTTAAGAAAAATTCGGCGTCCCTTCTGTGCACAAAGGAAATGTGTACCTGTAGAGATCAGTATGAATGTGTTAATCACAATCTCATATGAATGGAATCTGTTACTATATCTTTCCAGTGTAATAGTGTATTGAACTTGGGAAAACCAATGTCCAAATTATAGAGGACTTAGAGACTATCTAATGCAAAATTTAATTTATATATGAAGAAGCCAGATATCAGAGAGATTACAAAACTAGTTGAAGGTCATACATCTTATTCTTAGCTTCTGGCAACTGAACCCAGACTTTCCAAGCCCCAGCCCCATGCTTCTTGCCCTGCTCCTTTCTGTCATCTTGCACTGGCTTTGTTTGGAAGAAGAGACTAGCAGCCAGGTAAAACCCAAAGAAAAGTTAATTTGGAAAGCATGATAGCAGACACTTGTCATATAAAGGAACTTAAAGTAGAAGAAAGTGAGTCATACAGATAGAGGAGTTAAAAATACAGAGTTAAGGCTCTCAACACATCATGTGCACACTGTCATCTCTTCTCATGGAAGGAGAAAGGAAAAGGGAAAAATGTTACTTTGCTCTGACCTGTAAGGAGTATGTGCTGAGAAGTGTGGCAGGCATAAACCCGGGTGCCATAGACACTCGCTCACACCAGCTCTCAGCGCTGGCAGTGTGCCATAGATGGCAGAAGCTCCGGGGCACTTCTTACCTGATGGTGCCGGGTAGTGGTGACAACTGAGAAGGGCTGTTTCTAGCTTGAATTGCAGGAAAAACAGTTTTAAAAACACACTCTTAGAATGTGTCTAAGTTATTGACCACTAAGAAAGCTCTGCAAGAGGCCCCGTAGAAGCACAATGTTTGATTGTGACTTGGAGAAGAGTTATAAAACCAAGGATGTTTCTATCCTCAACTGTTTCATAAGTTTTTATTAAGGCCTGAAGTTAATAGTAAAAGTGTGTGCATTATTCCTTCTCAAGGCCTCAGAATCTGTGGGTTGTGTTTTGTGTTATCTTTTTGTCACCAGCAGGGAGAAAGGGTATGGAGAGGCCTCCCATGGTGGGCTGGGGTAGGGGCTGGGTGAGCATTCTGCTCTCCTGGAAGCTCACACTCTTGAAGTGAGCTTCATGCATGTGAGCATGTCATTTGAGTTTTCCACAAAACCTCCTGTGTAGCAATAGGAAAAGACTAAGAAAATATTGGAAAAAAATAGACAAAAGTGATAGAACCACATTCCCAGCTTGACCACTAGTAAAAATTAATTGGGAGACTAAATAAAACCAAATGAGTTTATTCTACAATGAGTGAGATGAAATATCATTCCTGGGCTATACAAGCTGAGGTTTTGTCTGAAAGAAAAACTCAAGTATCTGGAGAACAGTATGCAGGCCGACCCATTCCCCAGACCAGAAATATGTCTGTGTCCCTTGATTAAGACAGTCCTCACCAAAGGTCAAGAGCCTGTAGGTGCATCAAGGATGAGCAGCACAACTCAGAGATATCTTCTGTGGTAGTTTGTGTCATTTACCAGTGTTAGTGTTGTCTAGTGATGGGGCATGACTGTCTTTTTCAACAATCATCTGTGATGCATTTGCCCAAAAGAGGACTACGGCATTAACCTTGCATGCTTTTAGAACTGTTGAAAATGCCTGATTTTTGTTCGGTAGTGCCTGTTTTTTGAATTTCCCCCTCTCTGCAGTTCTTGGTCTCTATTTCATTGAATGCAGAGGATTTTAATGTTACTGTCTATCTATGCTTCATAGCATGAGAGAGCAATGCCTAAGGGCTCTTGTGTTGCTTTGGGATTAATGGGTTTTGTTTCTTAGGAAGCAAAATCTCCATGTAGCCAAACTGAATTGCAAATTTCTCCTTTTTTCCTCCTGTAGCACTGAAAGCCGAAAAGAGAAGAAAGCTGACTCAGGGAAAGGTGTTGACAGGGAAACTTGTCTATGACTTGATCTTCAATTTATTTTTTACATATATATAAGAAGAGTGTCATAATTATTAATAAAACTGCTTTGATCATGTATTGTAAATTTGGTCTCTCTACCCAAATCTACCTTCATAATGTAAGTAGTGCAATACTTGCTGCATTTCTGTGTATAACCTTCTAAACAGTGAGCCTCCCTTGTGAGCAGATAAAAGAGCTGATGTAAGAATCCATGTGCTCCTTGCTGTAAGTTAGACATTTGTAAACACTGGATTCTCATTGTCAGCTTTATGAGAGCAATAGCTTTCTTAAAGAGATAAGTCATATTTACCTAGTTTATATTTTCCTACTTTAGTATCATGAAAGGCCTGAAAATTTCACTCAGAAGAATTTTGAAAGGTAGTCTTACTCCTTTTTATTTTTATAGCTTAGTATTTGTGTCTTATTTCATAACATCCAAATCAAAAAGTTAGTTTGAAAGCTTTTTTAATAATTATATTTATGCATTTCCTTGATTTAATGATATATTTAATACTTAAGAATTTATATAAAACTGAAGCGTAAAGTCATGTGAAGAAATATAGAAATTTGTTCACAACTTGTTAAAAAGAATCAGACACTAATACAGTGAGTCAAATAACATTTGTTTAAAATTCAAGTTGTGACTACATGATCCAATTCTAGGCTTATATGAAATTCAGTAGAAAATCTTTATAAGTTTTATGGGATTTTCAATTAAAATCTTTATCAGAAACAGGTTGTTAAATTTCTCTCCCATTGACAACAGATATTTTTCAAATAAACCTGGAATACCCATGGTAAATCATTGTATGAAATTCCACACTGTACAGTAACTCTGTTGCTAATGGTAATACACTACTTAATGCTGGTCCTTAATCATGTTATAATGTTGACCAATGTGTCTCCAACTGTAACTTTTTTGCAAGACTCCTTTCCACTTTTTAATTAAATGCATGCTGTGGAAAAATTTCAGACTCTGTTTGAGAAGGTTCTGTAGATATTTCAGTCCATATTAAATAATCCATCTTTACCAAGTGTATGCAAGACAAAGGAAAGTTAAAGATTTTTGAGCATTATCAAAAGTATAACATTTAATTGCATTTTAGATGAATGTGAAGTTAAAAACTAAATTTGATGGTAATTCATAGTGGAACATTCTTGGCTCCTAAGAAGAATGAATGATCAAAAACTTTATGGCACTTCAGTGTCCAAAGCCATGTGGCCTTTACCAACCATTACATACTCTGTGTATAAATGCACATGAAAAGTGGGGAAGAATCCTTTTTGTGATTAAGCTAATGAGAGGAGAAAAACCAACAAAGCCTCCATTAGTGTCAACATTTTGGTACCTTTAAAAAATGTTTCCTCATAATCCTTGATGCAATTATTTTTATGGAAAATGGGTTAAAGATTTATGGGAAGAAGAATTTGCAGTTAATAAAGTTTGTATTTATAAATACTGAAGAAAAATACAGAAACTTTCTGTTCCAAATATGTTGCCTTTGTGTATTTTATAATACTGATATTATACTGTAAACATTTCTGTTATTTTCTGATTTAGCTAGTCAATTCCAAAAGCAGTTCCTTAGTATTTTAATATATTAATAACTTCTGTTAAAAATGATTATAGTGAATTACAACCTTCATGGGATCATTGATTTGAATACATAATCATAGCCACTGAAATTCTGTATTTCTGAGTATTTTTATAGTCATTTTGTTCATGTGTGAATTTTAATGCTATTCCTATGTTAATCATAATATTTTGAAATCATTTAAAATATAAAAATGTAGTGTTATATATGTATATGTATATTTACTCCTAATTTTAGATTCCTGGTCAAAATTACTGAGTATCTTGAATGTAATTTATTGCAAAGTTTAAGTAATGTGTAAAAGTGACTAGGATATTGTGTTTTTCATGACTAAGAAATGTTATGTGAAAATAAATATTTATCCTAATATCGTTGCATATTTTAGATTATGATGCAATGCGTCTTGTCATTGATTTTCCCTCACATTAGTAAGTAAATCAATGTAGAGAGTATTGATTGTTTAAATATAATATTTAAGTATGCCTACCATTGAGAAACCTTTATGATCTAAAGATTCTAAAAGTATCTCAATGATTTGAACTTTGTGAAGAGAAAATAATATATTTTCTCATTTTTGCAGAGAATGTCTTGGGTGGAAATGGCATGGCTCTTATGACTAGTACATAGTTCCAAAGTCATGATGATTCTCTATTTTTGGAACCCTTTAACTCCTGTTTTTAGTTTCATGGAGAAAGTATTTTTAAAAATATGTCTCTTCCTTGTTTGTTATAAAGGTCAAATAGGACCATTATTCTTTTGCAGCCACATGCCAGGGTGTTGTAGAGGTACCTGCACTTAGAATTTTAACATACTGATTACTTCTCTCTTGACTAATGAGTTTACTTTGTAATTGCTACTACTTAACCACATACAATATTAGGAAGTTTTTGCTAAATATACCTAAATGTCTGTTTGATGAAATTTAAACCTATAATATAATAATGATGCTTCAATGACAGTTCTTAGCTAAATATTTTAGGATTTTTGTTGGGTCTTAAAAATGTGGCCGATCTGTTTCCTAATTGCACTGATCTACTTCCGTTTCTGTTTAACCTTAAGCTGTTTAGTTCCAAGCACTTAGCTATTTTCCTATCTTTACAAGCTTGCTCTCTTTTTCAGTATGTCCATCTCATATATACATGCAATGCAGTGAAATGAGATTGCAATAAGTTGAAAGTTTTATGAAAATAATTAGGGTCCTTTGATTAATATAAGGCATATCTATACATCTACTTTTAGAAGGTAGTTGTGATTAATAATCATCTTTTAGCTATCTTATTTAGTTCTCACAGGAAAGCTGTAGTTGATTGATAGCATTATCTTCTCCAATTTATTTTCTACTGGTGTATTAATCACTATCATTTGTACTGGAACTTTGAAAAAAGAAAACAGTGATCTTCACTTCTAAGGGCAAGTTGGTTATGTAACTGTAATATAATGTCATATGTACTGAGTTGGTGATCTTATTAAAATAGAAAGTAATTCAATGATGAAATTTTGAATAGGACAGAGTAAGAAGAAAACATTACATAAGTATCATATGAATTTAGAAACAGTACTTCAGTAACTACAAAGATTCTCAAAGCCATATCATTCTTGAAATAAAAATAAGTTCAAACAATGTGAACTACTTGATATCACCAGAGTCTGACATCCTTGACAGATGATATATTCAGAGCTTAGCAAATAACGCTGTATAGTGAATTGCTAGTAGGGGCCGAACTGTAAGAAAATAGAATCACAAATTAAAGATATTATAAGTAATGTCAAATTCTATTATAAAACGTTTGAACTTTATTCATTAAGAGCTTTAGTAAAGGATATACTTGAACTTTTGAAAACATTAAATCTGGCAGCACAGTAGAGAATATAGTGGGGAAAAGACGAGAATACTGTTGTGACAGAACCTTCTCAATATCTACAGAACCTTTCTTAGGGATTCTGTTTCCAAATGACTCTCAGATAATCAAACAAAACTTCCTGAGAACAATCCCTAAATTTGTTAGTACTGAAACCAGATAGATTCCATGAGTACTTAAAAACTGAGTCAAGATACAAGAGCTTTGTTATAATTCCTTTTATGCAGAGTGTTTATTTACAGATGCACTCTATATCAGTATAGTTGTATGTGGAGACTTTTTTCCAAAAAGCATGGTTAAGGGAAGTAAGCCTGAAACTTTTAAAGAAATCCAAGATCTGAATGTAGCACAAATTTTAGCCAAAGGCTGCCTCATCATATGCAGAAACCATCATGACATCCTATCCAGCTCATTCATTTTTTTCTGTATCTAGTTCTTTCCTTTTGGCGTATGTGGAGTCATAGGTTTCTGTAATGTGACATATGTCCTCCATGTGTTCATAAGCTCTTCCAAGGTAGAAATGATATTTTACCCTTCCTTTGTAACACTCTAGAGTTCTGTACTCTGCTGTTTGCCCAGCCAACAAAAGCTGTTGACAGAATAAGTGAAACATTCCCGAAAATGCTATTTGTTGGTTTGTTATGAATGATTAAAGGTTCAAAGTGGGTTATTACTGTTGTGACAGTAACAGGGCTTATTGAGCACCTTCACATGTCCAGAATTGGAGGGCACAAAACCCTAAAGAAAGAACCTGTGCAGTCTGTGGATGTTCCAAGATGGGAAAAGTAGCTAAATAACTATGAACTAGATGAAAGAAACGTGAAAACAGAGTACCAGGCACTGCGTATATGCATATCATCTGAGCAGTAGAACAGTTCTATGAGGTAGGTATATTTGTACTTTCTCAAAATAAGGCACTGCAAATCAAAAAGACTGAATGACATTCTTTAAATATTTCCCCCTAGATTAGTGAGTGGTGGCACTCATAATCTAACTCTGACCTATCCATCTGACCCTGACTGCAGGGCACTGTGTCTCTGGCGGCAGGTCAGACAGGACTGCTTTTCTCCTTACTAGGGTATTCATTCTATAATACCTGAATCAGGTGAGGATTAGTGATATTTTTTCTCAATATGTTAAATTTTCTTTAACACATTTCTTTTGATTAACATTAGAAACCAAGCTTACCCAATACTGATTTAATCCTTGTTTGTTCTTTTTCTCATGATTCAGGGATTTGACTTCAGACAGAAAGAAATGAAAACAGTACAGTTGATCGATCATAGTAATCATTAGATTCCATATCTGTGGATTAAACCAACTGAGGATGAAAACATTTTGAAAAATGCATCTGAATGCAGCATTTACAAACAATTTTCTTGTATTATTCTCTAAAAATATAACATTAAACAGTATTTATATTGCATTAGGTATTATAAGTGATATGAAGATATTTTAAAGTAAATAAGAGGATATATTTAGGTTATATGTAAATATTAGGTCATTTGAGTATTCCTGGATTTTGGTATCTATCTCTACAAGAGAGTCTGAAACAAATCCTCTATGAATACCCAGCCATGGCTATAATTAAGTGCTTTTGTTGCTGAATAATCACACTCACAGTATTGATACTTTTTAAAGTAATTTGACAAACCTGCAAACTTGGCTCAGATGGAAAGGTTGTGTAGAATAAGAACTCAGTTTATTGAAGTTTAAAGGATGTAAGCACCAGAAAAGTTAGTATTTTCAACAGCAGTAAGAAAGTTGTCTCATTATTACTTTGAATTCTTGGGATGAAATTTTAATATTGTCACACAAAAGTGACATGCAGAAAGATGATAAATTCCTACTAAGCATAGCATGGATCTTATTAGGATCATGCTCTGAGCTTTTCTTATTGAGTAGTGAGTGACAATAAGAATTATACCATAACTTGTCTCTCATTCTCAATAATATGTATCTCAGAGTTGTCCCAAATATATATACTAGGTCATTCAAGATGTGAGCAAAAAGATTTCTGGACCTATATAAATAACTGACTGTCATAAAGCTGGCAGAATAATATTTCCTTACCTTATGAAAAAAGCTATGCTTGTTGTCTTAGTTAATTTTCTCTTGTTGTTGAGACTAAATACTCAACACCCAAAGTTTAAGGAAGGAAAGATTTATTTATCTCACAGTCTGTAGAGGTTTCAGTCCATATCGACTGGCTCCAAATCAGGGCAGCACATGGCTGAGGGGTAACAATTTATGGTGGTGAATGACAGCAAAAGCAACAAAAGAGGAAAGAGAGAAGAGGAAGAGGGGAGGGGGAGAGAGAAATCTTCTTTTGGTCCCTTGTACGTTAACCAGACTGCTGGGATTAGAATAGTGCCAATTCAATCAGTGAACTGATCCACCAATCACTTACCTTTAATCCAGCACCTTTAATCTTAGAATTGCAGTGCAAATCAATCACACATTCTAGACTCAGCTACTCATAAATAGTCCCATCTAAAAGTATATAAGGCTTTAGGGGGACATCCAGACACAAACCCTAACACTTGTGTTAGAGTATGTTTTTCATTTAGAATTTATTGAATCTTAAATGTTGTAAAGATCTAGTCATATTATAAATCAGTGTTCTCATCAATTTAGAGCAAAAGCAGCAAATGTCAAGAGGTAGAACTGATAGCGTGTGAATAAGAAAGAAAACAAAACATCCAGAATGACATACACCCTGATATGAGCATTGATCTTTATGCTGGTGACTATGAGTCATCAAGAATGTGCTGAATTATGTTCTGTGCCTGCTATTTAACAAAGCTTGAAGACATGCAAGCATTTTTAGCAATGTGTCCAACAAACATGTTTAAAAATAATTTTTTTTTTTTGGTCTTTTTCCTTTTTATCGGTACTGGGGCTCGAACTCACGACTGCCTGCTTTACAAGGCAGGCGTTTATGCCGCTGAGCTAAATTCCCAGCCCCTTAAAAATAATTTTAAAAATGATTTCCCGAAATGTTTGATAGAAGGCTGGAGATTCAGCTCAGTAATAGAGTACTTCCTCAGCTTGTGCAAGGACCTAAGTTCAATCCCCAGCATGACAAAAAGTAAATACTAGAAAAATCAAAGTTTTAAGAAAGACTTAAAAATCTTGCACAGTTGTATCAGGATGTGAACCATTTCTCCTTTTGATTGTCACATATGCCCTGGTTGTGTAACCTAACAGGTTGTTTTTGAAAGGGATCATTGCCATCCATGTGTCCATAAAGCCTGGAAATGCTATCAGCAGCAAACTAAACCTCTCACTGATAATGAGTGCTCCCTGTATATTTCAAAGTGACCACAGCTTAAGTTTATCTCCAATTTATCTATCAATTTCCTTGCCTCATTTTCCAATAATTTAAAACTATTACTGAAGAATACAAGTTATCCTATGGGAGTCAAATGAAAAACTACTTTGTATGTATCCATATCAGCCCTACTTACAACCCTGAAAAATTTATGCTTCTCTGGAAAAAATATTTAATGTATTTTAAAATGAAAGAAATAATCTATAATGATGTTATATAAATATTGCATACAGTTTGACTTTGATATATTAATAAATATCTGGCTTCCTGTACAACATGTGATTTCAATTAAGATGAAAGGCTAATTCTTATTTATTTTTATGGCTATTAATACTGTCCAGGGTGTAAATATATATTATTGCTATTACATGGGGAAAAAAAAACCCTCTGGCAAGATTAACCCAGCTACTCACAGTGATTGAGCTATATTAAGAAATACAATTATAATAAGAATCCCACAGGTTTGAATGTCAATTTATGGTTCAAATGGATGAGTAGGACTCGAGAGTTAGCGAAGGTGCAATGACTCAATGGTGAACTCTGAAAATATAGCTGGAGCTGGATGTCACAGTCGTCCTTGTGTCTGACTCAACAATCCCAAGCTGAGCTGACGGAATCGTTCCCCTTCTTCCACTTTTAGATTTTTGTGCTTTAGCTCACTCTGTCTGTGATAACTTTGTCTAGCAAATGGTCTGGATCAGCGTTGAATTTCATAAATTTAATTTTTAAAAATGAGTCAGTTTTGCTAATAATTGAAACAAAAATCATGTGTTCTCAGTATTAGACATTGCTAGGTCAAACTCAGCATCTGAATTCAATGCTCTAGTTATTATAGTTATGTCAACAAAAGCTAATTGATCAAACACTTAAATGATTAACTTGGCTTTTATTTTAACTTCTGCCGAGCCATCAGAAATACCAAGATGCTATTGTTGACATTATTTATTCTTACAGTACAAACCTCATCAAAGTTCCTTAGAACAAAATTATAAATTATGTATTACATAAATGGTCAACATTATTTTAAGTTCCAAAGCTATATGTATTTATGATAACATAAATTTCATATGTACTAGATGGAATCCTTATGAACTGCTCAACACATCCTTATGTATGTTATTTTTTTAAATGCTAAACTCCATATTTACCATATAGTCAAGGATTACTAACAAAATAAACAAGAAACTTTCTGGACAAATGATATGTCAGTGTGGTTTAGTTCTGATTAAAGACACAACTCCTTATCTCTGAAAAATGAAGGTATATTTATTAAATGACCGGTAAAAATCCCATGTTATGTAAATAGAAATAATACTATACATTATTCTAGTTTGTTTTTTATTAAAAAATAAATTCAAGGAAGTTTAAAATATTTTTAATTAAGATGCTCAAAAATGCAATAAAAACTGATGTAAGGACTCTTTCAAGTTAGAATTTGCAATACAAATATTTTCACCTTTTTAACAGGGCAAGCTGATGTGTTCACATCTCAGTTCCAAGCAGTATCTTTTCACTAGGAAACATCACTATTTTTAAAAGTACATTTATAACGTTTTCCCTTCACCCTTGCTGTGTTTTTATAGCACCTATAGCCATAACTGGCACCTGGAGGCCTTACATTGCTGGCAGTTTCCTATGTATTTCTTTGGAGTCTATTCAACTGCTGTGGTTTTACTTAGAAATCAGTGCTTTGCATATATGATTTCCTGAGACTGTTTGAATAGTCTTTCTCAGAAAACTGTGCCAGTCTGGCTGCGAACAGCTCTTCTCTGAAGGGAGTTGACAGTAGCCTGGTTGGGTTGGTATGCTTGGACTGGGGTTCCTATCTCTGCCCTGCCATCTCCTCTGCTTATTTCTTCATTTCTTGTCCCTGCCCTAGTGACATCATTGCCCACATCTTTTCATCTCTTTAAAGAAGAGAACAAGATTTAGACTAGTCTAGTTAGAAAAATTAAAATGCTTCTTAGGGAACCTATGCAAAGCTCTCATAAAAATAATTTATATTTGTTGTTTCAGAAGCTGCCATGGAAATGATTTTAAATGATAAATAAAAGCAGAGTGAATAATCAAAATTTCTGTAAAGTAGTATTTCTTATGAAGACAGAAGTACCTATTTATAAGTATGAAATTTGGTAAAAAAAAAAGTAGCCTTAAGTTTTTTGATTTAAAAATCTTTTTAAGATCATAGCAGAGCAGCTTTGAAATAATGAGAACAAAAGTATTTTTAATAAGCTAGCATGGCATGCTGTTTTGAGGTGCTAAGGTAAAGAGAAGCATTGTTTTATGAAATGGCTCATGTGGGTATATATATGCTGGTGAGCCGTGCTGCTAGCAATTCCATGGTCTTCATCAGTGTACCACTAGAGAGAGAGAGAAAGGTCAGAATTAGAGAATTAGCTGTTTTTTTTTAAAAGAATTAAATTGATCTCTCATGAGCATACACTGAATAAAACAGATATTTTAATTCCTGAAATAGTTCAGAAACTGAAATGTGATCAAAGAAGGTGTCTAATTTTTGCCCAGAAGTTTTCTAGAGCATGTTTTTCTGTCCAGCAGAAATCTCTAATCGTCCTTTACAGGTGCTGAGAAAATGCACTGTACATTTGGCTTTACTGTATAGTTCTTTAAGGGTATGTACATTCTAATTAAAATACACAAATCCATTTTCAAATTTGACTCAAAGGACACTCAGGACTGCATCATGTATAAAGTGTCAAGTGTCTTTGTATTTTAATGAGATAAAATGAGATAAGGTACTTTAAAATAAATGAATTTTTAGAAGCAGTTTTTCTGAAAATATATCACTAAGAAATTAGAAAAACCAGTTTAAATGCTACAACTATGTATTTAGGATAAATAAAGTCAAATGTCAAATGTGTTATTTGTAAACACCTTTTACACTGGAATTTTAAAATTCTTTATGTCTGACATCTATGTAGGTATTTATGACCTGAGGCAAAAATTACCAAAGCATACCTTATTGAAAAATTGGGAAGTCATTGCCTGCCAAACATATATTAATGGAGACAAGTTAACCGTTAAAAATTGCTTAAAATATTATGTATTTCTGCTTTTTATACTGTAAAAACAAATTTGACCTCTTACAAGAATATAGCCAAAATATGAGTTTTTTTCTGAATTAAATAACTGTCTCATTTCAATATATTTGGCACCAATTGAACTGAGCACAGAGAAAATCATGTGTGTAAGAGTAGGGAAAAGCAGGCTATTCTGCTAAAACAGACAAGAAAGCTGCATCTTACATAAAAATATTCAGTACAATGCACATATATACGCAACATGCATATATATATGTATATATACATATATATAATCTTAAAATTTCTGAAAAAGAAAATGAATTTGACTAAACAACCACAAATATTCTCTATATAGGCAACAAAGCATTGCTGGAGCTATTTCTGACTCGGTTAAACAAATCTAATTGCTTGTTGCCTGTGGTTGTTCAACAAATGATAAGCTAGCAATTGTAAAAAGTGAATGTGCTGATTATTAATATCTTGCTGTTGTTGGAATGGCTAGTAATGTGTACTAGACTGAAGTGGATTTTCATATTTGCGCTGAGCTATTATCATTCTGGTTTCACTTTAGAATTATTCTGCCACACAGTTACTGAATAAGAGACTACTTCTAAATCAAAATAGAGACTGAACAACAACATGGATAGTACAACAGTGTTTTGACATCCTAAAGACATGCAATACTGTGCTTTGCAACCCCAAACTTGCTAATATTATCGAATATTATTTTGTGTGAGACTCAAGGAAATCACTTTTCCAACAAGTTTGGTAAGTCCCTGTCTTCTGAACTTCTGTAGGAACAGATACACCTTAAAGAAACTACACTCCAACAACCACTTCGCTCCCATTGCACAAAGTTTTGAATACCATTGCCTGGAAATCCACTCCAGCATCCACCAGTGCTTTGGAGATCTGAGCTGATTGCTGAAAGTGAACATTATCTGCAGGGAAATAAAGGAAACATCAAGTAGCTAATAGCCTCTCCACTTTTTTGAAACCAAAGGGTGGGAAAGGCACCGCAAGGAAGGGACTGTTTGAAGTTCTAGGACCCAGTATCCCATCTAGCCCAAGACAAGTGAGTTGTGGAAAGCAACACTGTTTTATTGAAGTAAATGTAACAGTCTTGCCCCTCATGCTTTTGTTTTGTCAGTAGTGAAATTGCAAACCTGTCTGTGATACTAAAAAGTCTAATTAACTGAAACTCACCATCTGCTGTTCCATGAATAAGGAGGTACTCAACTTGTTTAAAATTTTCAGCTCTGCTCATGACTGTTGAATTCTGGAATTGGGAAAAAGAATGTCATTATTCAAAAAAGGATCTGCCATAAACTGATTTTTCACTTCAGTTTACAAAATAAAATGTTTTCAGCTGGGGCCCCCTTTGATACAAAATATAGCAAACCGATATTCAAGCAAATGCTGTCTCCATGCATGGCAGAATGCACAGCATGCCCTGTGCCTGGGAGACAAGACTGGAAAGGGAGGATGCCACATCTTCCCTGTACACACAGGAAGAGGGCACCTGCCACCCAGGCTGCATGCAAAACTCCTTGAGTCCCAGATCCCAGATTGGCTATGTCCTATGCAGTAGCACAGGGCAGAGTTGCATATTAGCAATGTACGTTCCATGGGCTTCTGCTGTAGTTCAGCCAAAAAGTGTATTACCATGGCAACCATGTGTCACATGGTGCCATACATGCTACATTTCAAGGAGCCTGTACATAGCATTTGCAACTAGACATGCTCTGCAATATGTCATGTGAACTTTGGTCCACATTGCTGAGTTCTGAATGAAAAGCAAATATTACCTCTTTGGGAACAGATGTTTAAAACCTAAGCAAATGTAACATATGAGAGGGGAAAGGGTGAAAAGATCAAGAGTGACCTTAGAAAATCAGTGAGTTTTCACTGACTGTGTTATTCGGTATTTTGAAGAAAATACTGCTATTAGATAAGGTCATTATGAAACCAGCCAAGGAAACAAGAAAAAAAGTTGAAAGGTCAGATTTTTGAAGATAGGTTCATGGCTTGAGTCAGAAAATCTGGAATGGGGGCAGAGATCTTGAGTAAAGAAGCTTTTGCAATTGTGGAACTAGGCATCTGGTTTTACTCTGAGGCTATTCACAAGTTGGGATGAAGGTTCAAATGCCAGGTAGAAAGGAGATAGAGAAGCAGCTAGCTCAGATCGGCTTTGAATGTTTTGTAGTGGGATGAACAGAGGAAGAGGCAATAGCCTGAATTTAAAGGCAGCAGGCTGGTCCTGCAGCAACTAAAATTTAATGAGAGCCAAAGTTTCTTTTATAGATATCTTTTGATGACAGTCCTGCTCAGAGTATTTGTATTCGGGCTTCAGGTTCAGTATCAGTGAGCCGTGGAACTGGAGATATGCTGCACTTTGACCCTTCATTTCTATGAAATGGGAATAAGAATGAGTCCTCTCACTCCCTTACATAAATAGGAATCAAGGGGCAGGGTAGAAGCAGTTTTTAAGGTTAAATTGTTGATAATGATGCAAAATTTCTGCGACCATCTCTATGGAAAAAGACATTCTACCCACAACTTTTAGGACAGTTACGTCCTGAAATGTCCAAAATGCTTCAGTGGACTGACATCCATTTTTACTCAAATGAGAATTAATTCAAGAACTTTCAGAATAAACATTTAAGATTCCCTAAAAGTTTTACTTTAATTTCACTTTCCTTTTGAGCAACTTTTTTTCTAATGAGATGTTCTAGATAAGCCTATCTGTATGTGAATTCATCCATCTATCCATCTATCTGTTCATCCACCCACCCATGCATCTATGCATCCATGCATCCATCCATCCATCCATCCATCTACCATATTACCTCATTCATCTATTCATCCATTCATTTTTTTCACTTAGTCAATAAATCATTATTTAATCTCACTAAGCAATAACCTCATAAGAAAAGGGATTGTCTATATTTTCATTACTCCAATCCTAACACATTTACCGATGAAAGATGAAATGAAATTATTAAGCATTTGTACTATTCCTGATATTTGGTCCTTTTGTACTTTTGCAGAGGCAAGTGGAAATAGCTAAGGGAGGTAGCATAAAATGTTCTCATTCAGAAATTTAATGAAATATGTTTGGTCCATTTTCAACCTATAATATCATGCCACTAGTAATACTAACAGTTACTGAACATTTCTCTGTGCCTATCTCTGTGTTAATCATGAATAAATTATAGAAGCATTGTTGGCATCTAATTTTCACAACATCTGTGTGATGTGAAATGGATCTCTACCCATCCTACTTTATAGATGGAAATGACGAGATTTGGAAGGTAATTAACTTGTATCAGGATCAATCTGTGGGTTAGTGCTGGACAAAACCTAACAGCACAACCTCTCTTATTTCTTACATGTATGTTGCACTTCATCTCTTCTCAAGTCCCAAGGTACTGAGGATATGTCTCCCAGAAAAGCAATAGTGGAAATAAAACGTTAATGCCCTATCCTGGACCTTGAAGTATGCAATAATAGTAGGTACTCTGGCTCCTGCATACATATAATGCCTTGTCACACTGAGTAACTGGGAGATGGATTGGTCTGAAAAGCCTTGTGAAATTTGGGAGGCATGACTGTGCAGGTGAAATGTAATCTCGTATAGCAGTAGAATTTTGAATTATTTTCCATGCTTCAGAAAGGAAAGGGTTAACAAAAATCTTCTCAAATGACACTGTTGTGCATTGTTTAAAGCTAGAGACAGCAATGGCTGAGGATTGAAGATGGACACTGGACACTGACATTCTGAGCCACAGGATCAGGATCCCCTTTCGAGTTCTCTAAGTGATCTTTTCCGCTAGTCATTACCCTTTCACCTTGCTCCTCCCGAGTTAAATCTAGCTCTGTGCTCACAGAAGACGGTCAACTTTCACACCCAGACCTGACCCAGATACACAACTGTCACCTCACCTCACCTCCAGCAACCTCACGGGCCTGCCTTGCTTGCCAACCTGAACAGAAAAAGCTGCTCCTGCAACCTCCCAGTGCCATGAAACTGAGAAATGTCATTGAAACACAGAGTAATAGTTAGAAGACATATAAATACGCAGGACAGTTAGCAAGGAATGTGATAGCTACTGGAGTTTGGACCAAAACAGTTTCTGGCTGCCTTTTTTTTTCTTAAATGGAGTGAATACAGGCTGAAAGAAGACAATTTTTATAAACAAGTAAAACCCTGAGCCTAAGATAAATGTTGTGATGTACACACTGTAGCTGTGATGAACTAGACATGGTGAGAAATGCAACATACTGAGAAAAAGACGAAAACTGTGATAAAAGTGTCATGATGCAAATTGTTTTACATTAACAATATTACACTACAAAGAAAGAAAGACAAATACTTTAATGCAGCAAGAGAAAAATAAAACAAAAGCTTTCCCTGCAACTGCAAGATACGCGTGCCATTTCAAATGCGCAGTCCCCCTGTTTACCAGGAGAAGCCTCCACTTGGACCTTTCTGGACAGGGAGGCAGGCAGTTTGGAGACACACCCATTTTAAGGCAGGGAGCCTTTTTTACCCCAGAAAGATGCAGTTATGTCGCTTTGCTTCGGAACCACTGACTGATCATTCCCTACTGGAGTATGTCTCCTGGCTTCTCAATTACCTCTTTACTGTCCACTGAATGGCACTTGTTAAACTGTGAATATAGCACACAAAACCAGTGTATGAAATGCTTGTTTTCATTTAAGGTATGATTAATGATTGGGAAAAATTAATTGTGCTATTTTCACCCAAACAAACAGGATTACCCCCTTTGCCTATCAATGCAAACAGAAATAAAAAAGGAAACGGATGACTAAGTTAGAAGCTGAATAGTCTATCACCAACTACTGAAAAGGAAGCTCAGAGTGATAAATGGGCAAGGATGCAATGGTGGTGCAGTTGGCACTCTCCTGAGGCTAGAAACTTCCGGAGAACCCTGCTGCCAGCAACAGCCTGGCAAAGAGAAGTAGGAAGGATTGGTCCAGTGGCAGTGCCGATTCCACAGCATCTCTGTGAGGAGCTTTTCCTTCAATCCCCAAGAGGAACCATCTGTAGCTGCTAGTTGGATCATGCTGGTTCCTCAGTTACCTTCCAACAAATAAATCTTTGTATTTTTGAAATAAAAGAGCTGATAAGAGTAGGGAAGTACTGTGAGAAATAGAAGTTATGAAATCTTTAAGCCACCCTTGTGCCATCTAGGAGCTATAAAGACAGTCTGCTTCCTGAAGATGACGATGGTGGCAGTTGCTGTGTTCTGAATGCTGACTGCATGGTAGGTACAGGCGTCTCAAGTAATCATTTTCATAACCCTGTGGGAGCCTGATTATTCCCATCATCCAGATGATAAGACTGAGAATCAGAGAGGTACAAGTGACCTCCTGAAGCTCATATTCAGCTAAATGGAAGAAATCATTTGAATGTAGGTTTTCCTAACTCCAAAGCCCATGTCTTTAACCATCATCTTCTAATGTCCCTTGACATCACAGCAAAACAGCTCATCACTATTCCCAGATTCTTGTAGAAAGAGAAAGCAGGCATTGAATCTACTAGACATAAACCCAGCAATTCAGTAAGATATTACCTTGGGTTTATTGGCTTATGTATGAATTCTCCTATTTTGCAATCTATGCCACATAAATAATATTAAATGATGCCACCTTGGAAGAGGCATCATTAAAGCCATGACAGAGGCCACAGAAAATGTTTAAGAAAAAAACGCATCCCACTGCATCAGATGTGGTTCTTGTTTATGTCTATCAACAATAGCACCCACGCAGTGCCAGAGAAAGAGCTCCCATCAACCCCAGACAGGGGGCTCTACCTCAGGACTCACAGGCAACACTGGCTTCTTTAAAGATCACACAGCAGTCAACATTTTATCAGCACTCCACAAACAAGTTAAGGTTTGGCTTAAATCTGAAGGTCTCTCTCCCTTTGGCATATTCTGGGATAATAGAACAAATGTCAAATCAGTACAAGATGGCATATTTACAAAATTGCACCCTGTTTTGCATAACCTAACGATGCAGCAGTTCTTAAGGATTGAACATTTCAAATCTGCTAGCAGAAGACTGCCAAATCTATGACTGTTTCATACACTTGCCAAAAGCCTATCAAATTCTGAGCAAAATGCAAAATAAATCTCCTCTACAAGTTAAATCAGCCCTTCTGTGTGTTCCAGGCTGCCCTCTTCTCTTGGCAGCAAAGCTCAGAACTGGGCCCCACTTCTCTCGCCCTTGGTCTTGCGCTTCTCTCTGCATTCACAAACACATTTTCTCTTGTTTTATGTCCTGCTGCGCGGGTCACCATCTGACCTGCTCTTCCCACCTCCCCCCCTTCTATTATGCTTTGGATCACTGGACCAGCCTCGCAAACTCCCAGAAAACCACTCTGCCTGCTACTCACGTGTCCCCTCTGGCCTCTGCCTCTCCCCTCCGCACACCCTGCAGAGAGCACCTTTCCTCTCCTGCCAGCCTTCCTCCTTCTTTCTCTACTGGATTCAGACAGTGTCCCCTCCCTTCCCTAACCCTCAACATCTATACCTTAACATTTTTGTGCCTCAGTTTCCATGTCTGTGAAATGGAAATAAGTAAAATACTATCTCAGAGGATTTGCTGGGAGAATTAAAACTGGAAATTCATGCAAAGTGCTTAGAATAATGTGCAGCCATGCATACATGTAATAAATGATTGTAAAACAGTAAATGAAACCAGTAAAACCCTAACTTTTTGGCCCTTTCACTCCCTACATGCTCCAACATAAAGAACATGTGGGGTTCCACAGTCACACATTGTAAAATATTTGTCTTTCTCATATGAATAGTGGTCTCTTTGTCACATTCATGTTTTATTAACTATACCATCCATGTTTTACATTTTTCCACACATAAGGAATAAATTTCAGAACAATTAAAACCACAGGCACCTTGAATAGGTAAATGAGTCTATTACTACTACTATATGCAAATACTTTTCAAAAGTTTGATCAGAGACTCTGATCGACCATTTGAGAGACCATTCATCAACAGTAGTCAGGCACCCTCCCATCTAGGTGTAGCTATACTTGCTGTTTGCTTGTTTATTACCAATGGCTTTGAAGATTGCTGCACTGGATATCGGATTCCTTTGCTCAAATCTGTCACTGTTTCTGCTATCGATACAGACCGACTGCAAAACAGAGGTGTCCATAGAGCTTCACAGATCATTAGCTCAGATTTGTTCACTCCCTTCCACTTTGCCTATTAGAGAATCTGGGACAAGCCCTTTGGAGTTCTAGAGAGATGAATGCTTTCTTGCTTCCTTGACTTTCTCATATCCTTTAAAAATGCTCCTGCCTTGCCACTTGGAGTTAGGTGGGTGTTCGTCTTCTAAAAGAGTCTTTTGAGTCACTGCTGTTGTCACTGCATCACTTTAAGCCTTAATCTAAGATCTCCTAATCTGTGTGGCAGTTTTGCAAGAACAGGGAAGGAAGGGTTCCTCCTCTGATTGGAGGCAGCTCCTCGGATGCAAACCCCAGCAAGTGCAGTGCAGAGCAGCTTTCGGGGGCACAAAGCACTACACAAGGCACTGCTGCCTGTTGCATTCACCTATACAGATGGCTTCTCTAATTCCCTCTCCTCAACAAAGTAGGGCCTGTATTTCACACAGTATGCTTCTCTGGGCAATGTGGCTTTCTCTCAGCTCTTCCAAATCTAGGTGATTAATGATATAATAATGAATCCTTTTGTCATTTCAGTTTTATTTAAAAATTGCGTTCTCTTCCAAATGCTACAATTCTGACTACTGTTTCAATAGATTTCTTTTAAACTGACAACATGGACAAAGATAAAGGTTTTACTTACTGCTTACTTTGGGTATTCCTAATCCTCAATGTATTGAAAAGAATTACCGATCCCAATTAAATGGAAATTGTTTTGAAAATATTTCCTTCTGACCCACAGAAATGCACAGGGTGGTAGAAGCCTTTAAGGAACTGTCTTTGTCTCTTCAAGGAGGAAAAGAAGAAGAGAGAGAAGGAGGGAGGGAAGGACAAAGATAGAGGACAGATAGAGGCAGAGACAGAGAGAAAAGCAACCTGGGAAAGAAAAGTAAAAGATGGGGTCCAGAGGGGCAGCTGGGGCCTTGGAGGAAAATAGAATCTTTGAATGTATTCTTGCCAGAGACAAAAGCACAGGCTCATTTAAAAAACAAAGGAGGGCAGCTTTATTCTAAAGCCTGCTGTGCACCAAAAATAGGCACTTAGATTCAGTTCTCCACATAGATTCAGTTCTTCACGATCCCAGGAAGCAGCTAATTGTCGTGGAGACAATTCCGTTAATACATTAGCCTCACTTTTTGCTGCCCACCTTAACTATCACCTCCCAGATAATTCCTCAGAGTAACACATTGGGAACCTTTAGCTCCCTGGTACTGGCAGTTTTAATGTGTCCATTGCCAGCAATGAATTCTGTGCCAAGAAAACCCGACTCCTGGCGTGGAAGGATTAAACAGTCCTCGGGTGCCATCTGTGCAGTGAAGTGAAAGAGTGACTTTGTGCACCCAATGTGCGTGTGTTGCCATTGGCAGTAGGAAGTGACTTCTATTTACACGACTACCTCATGTGGCGAACACCTAAGGGGAGAGATGAAAATGGCCACCACCGTGGGGACAGAGTTGGGAAAGGGGAGGGGTTTGGTCTGCAAAAGAGGAGCCTATAGAAAAGGTTGGAGAAAGATATAGATTGAAACGCAGATTAAAAATAATTATCCTCTACAATTCTATAGAGAGGGCTGATTAAGAGGAAGTAAGCTGTGAATTGATGTTCTTTGAAGAGGAAAGGCAAGTACTACAAATTTCTTAGATCGGGGTTTGAACTTGACCTTGTGCTTCAGGGTTTAACAGCTCTGAAGAATAGGGTTTTAAAATTTTTATTCATTTTTATTTTATGTTTTCAGAACAGGGGATTGAGCCTCCGGCCTCATACTTGGTAAGAAGCTCCTTTACCACTGAGTTACAGCCCCAGTCCTTTTTACTTAGTTTTTATTTTGAGACAGGGCCTCACTAAGTGGCCTAGACTGGCCTCACACTTGTCCTCCTGCCTCATTCTCCAGAGCAGCATCCACCACTCCATCGTATCAAGTTTTTAAAATGAAACTTTGGACTCATCAGCCATCATGCTGCAGACCAGGAGGTAGGATCCTGTGCAGTAAATCTCTGATGTTTCGGGAACTTTCAGTATTTCAGAATGGCTGAGAAAATCCACTGGCAATCAAATTTAAGTGTCTGGTTGGAATACTATTAAAAAGATTTAAGTTGTAAAGCCAGACCAAGTAATACAGAAATACAAGTTGTATTACAACTTTGCTGATCAAAAGTTTGTATACTGAATTGGGAAATGTTCTAAGGTTATGTATGCTCCATACAAAGGGTATATTGAAGAAACCTTTGAATACCTAACAGCACTGCCCAGGGGGAAATCCCACAGAATAACTAATCCCAGCAAGGATTAAAGGAAAATTGATATGAATTCAAAAGGAGATGCTAGCGAACAACAGCAAATGGCCGGTCAAAGATAAGGAAGAGAGAAAATGAAACAGAAAGTACGCAGGGGACAGTAGGTGTGTCTCATAAACTGGGCCACCTTGAGATAGGGGCTGAAGAGCATGGACTGGATTCACTGAGTGCACAATACTGTCCTATTACTGAGTGGGTCTCCCCCCTCCCCAGCCTGTGTGGAAGGGTCTGGAGTGCTGGAAGGCAAGAGAAGGGGTGAAAATCTAGGTACTGCTTTATAGAGTCCTAGGTCATGTGACAGCAGCAGTTTCACAGAGGAAAAAGGATGTCTAAAGCAGTCTGTGGGACATGGAAGAGAAAGAGTAGAAAGAATTAACTAGAAAGTAGCAGATGGGACTGTTGCCAGAAATGGGGACAACCTGATGGGGAGACTGGTTTGTAGGGGAAAGATGATTTGTGGGTCTCACTTCGCAGATTGTTGCTTATCTATCTTGATTGAAAAACAGAAGAAAACACGGGAGGCACTAATTTAGACACACTGCTCTCCCCTGAGGCTCTCTTATTAAGTTGAAAGTAAAGGGTTAAAGCTAAATCTTCTATGCTTGTTTGCAAAACTAGAAGGTTTGGACTTTATTTTGCTTTGGTCTGATGGTTTCAGAATCCACAGCAATGATGACATCATATAAAATATATAAAGACTACTCACAGCGATGTACTAATACAAACCGCTAGCACTGAGAGTCATGACACAGATGAGAAGGACTTATATTCTTGCCTTTTACTTTTTAACTTACTGTCCTGAAAAGACTTTCCAGTGTTTTTTTTTGGAGAACAAAGGCATCGGTGGTGATTTAACTTTGAAACTTACAAATTTTAGTTTAGTTTTCTTGTTTGTTTGTTTATTTTTTGTTTTTCCAGTAAATATGACAAATACAATTTTTGGAATACAATCTTTGGAAGAATCGAAGTTTTGAAAGAATCCCTAGTATATATGCCAACAGTGCCAGCTGCATTAAAAGGTGATACCAAATAGAAAGCTCCAGCATGGCAATGGCTTCAGCACTAGCAATGGGAGCTAACAGCAGCTGCAGCCCAACCATTTCAAATGCAACTGCTCATCTGTGGAGCACCATGCCCACTGGTTCTCCTATCAAGCAACCAGTCTGTCAGCTGCCAAAAATTTATGGTCAGGACATTCCAGGGTACTTCTCAACTGCATCCACCACCCACCTGCTTTATTCAAATTGTATTAAAGAAATATCTACATAGGTGGCCATGAACAGGAAAAATTGCAGGCTTATAGCTATCTTAATTATGATAATATATTAAGAAATTTTAATACATAACTAAAAGTTTAGTGAATTTTCTGGGCTCTTAAGGAATATGTTGAATTTGACATGTTTTCTAAGCTGCAATTTTTATAATTAAAGTAATTATCTGGTGTTGCTTTGTATTTCCAAATGAATGCATATTGTGACCTATATAGCATACGATAAAGCTGTAATTATGCAGAAATAGTAGGGGAAGCTATTGGAGTATCTCTAAACCACCTGTGTTATCTCTTTTAACAAGGATTTTATTGGAAATACAGAACTTTGTATTTTCTAGAATAGATACACTTAGAAGCTTCTTAACTTATAATTAGGATATGACATGGACATTATTCCTCATTTCTTACCTTGTAATGGTCAAGGTTGTCTTCTGGAGTTGGGAGACCCATATAACGTTCTGTGTACACTGAGTCTGTGATAGGAAAAAAAGCAAACATCTGTAGTTCCCACAAGAACAGTTTTTCTTCCATTCATTCAGTTACTTTACATGTTTTCCTGCATCTTAATCCATGTACTGGCCTACAGTGGTATCTTCAGAAGAGTCTCTTCTGGATTTGACTTGATAATGTAGCCAGAAATGTCTATACCCAGATCACCACTCAGACACACATCTTCTCCTAGCCAGCCCTAATTCAGTTAACTGCATTATGATGTAGTCCAAGAGGACAGTGCACTAGATGACCTGAAACTCAATTCATAGTTCACGTGCAGAAGTCAAAAGTAAAGTATTAGTGAAGTATTATCTGCTCAAAGAAAGTTATTTAAATGCCCCAATTCTCTCAAATGTTTTGGTCCTGAGAAAATATATGCCCTAATTTGTAATCATCTATTTCTTTTCTCTTTCTTTTCTCTCTTTCTCTCTTTCTCTTTTTCTTTCTTTTCTCTCTTTCTCTTTCTTTCTTTCCTTTCTTTCTTTCTTTTCTTTCTCTTTCTTTCTTTTCTTCTTTCCTTCCTTCCTTCCTTTCTTTCTTCACTTTTTTTTTTTTTGGTACTAGACATTGAACTCACAACCTTGTGCTTGCCAGGCAGGCACTTGTGCCACTGAGCTAAACCCCCAGCTCATCTATTCCTTCCTGGAAGCTACTAACAATAATCAATTGCTAGTTGTTTATTGAAGTCATTTTTGCTTTTTTGACAGGCAGTGACTCACCATGATGAAAAGAAGATTTCACTTATTAGTCCCATACTGGCTTAGCTAGTTCATCATAATGCATGTTAAACATCTGTTTTCCCTCATTCTGGGGAGAGGTCTTAGTTTTGGTGTTATAACACTTGAATACTGTAAAAGAGTACATTAATATTTGTCTGCCAAAATATCATAAGCCCTTTTATCTTTAAGTGGGGTGGAAAATAAGATGCATAATTAGATATTTTGTATAATCAGATGTATTTCTGCTCAATTTTAAAAAACTAAATTATACATTATGTAGATATTTGTCCTAAAATATCAATGATAAAATTTATTGAGGCAAAATTTTAATATAACTTCAGAAATCTGACATGACTGTTTTGGAAGCTGCCTTCTGAGGTGACCAAATTTCAGTAAATAAGTACGGGAATGATTTATTGGCACTGTGTTGCATAGCTTAATAGCTTGTATAGCTCTGTACTTGTACAGTTATTTCAATACCAAGTCTTGTTATTTAAATGGAAATATCACCTAAATTCGATAATGTAACCTATTTTGAATGACTAGCATTGCAGATTAAAACATTAGTGGGCATTAGCTGTTCCACATGTACTCTTTACCTCCTTTTTTTCTTTTCTTTTTTTTTTTTTTGTCTTTTTCCTTTTTATCGGTACCAGGGATCGAACTCACAACTGCCTGCTTGCAAGGCAGGCACTTATGCTGCTGAGCTAAATCCCCAGCCCCTCTTTACTTCCTTTCTACAAAAGTACTTCTAAGTAATAGTTATATTTTATTTTGTTTAAAATAAATAAGACTATATGTAATTTTGTACATATAGGAGACATTCACAAACTGTAATAAGTATTTTAAAGGATGTTTAAATATATAAGAGCTTAATAAAATGCTTGTTTTCTTTAACTTTAGCATTTAAATATTAATGATTCAGGTTGTACACTTAATTAAGGGAAAATGACCTCTAACTAAAAATTTCCCCCAGTGATTAGCAACTTCATTTCTATTTTCTTAGCCCATAATATCACCTTGTTATTTGTACTAGCTGGGTTGATATGCATTAAGGGTGTCTAAATATTTTAAAAATAACATTTAAAATATTATACACAGGGCCGGAGATGTAGCTCAGCAGCATAAGCACTTGTCTGGTCAGTGTGAGGTCCTGAGTTTGATTTCCAGTTATATATATATATATATATATATATATATATATATATATATATTTGCATAAGTGGTTATTGTAACCTTTAAAAACATGGTTCTAAACTATTCACCTATTTCTTTTATATAATCTTTGAATACTGTTCAAATTTTCATATATTTTAAAAACTATTGAATTCTTAAATATTAACTGTTCTATATATATTTAATGGAGTTCCTGTCTCAATACATTTTTAAACTCACAAGGATGGTTCCTATTATTCTACTGACCACAAGAGGTCTCCAAAAACAAACCATACAACAGAACAACATCAGATAGAAAAGTATTCTATTAAAACTATTCCATTGTATGCAAATCAAGTGATAGTTATGCCCTTGAATTTTTTAAACAACAAAAAAAATGACAATTGTATTTTGTACATTGACTTCTATTGATTAAGACAGACCTAAAAGAGGGGTCTGGTACTACCACATATCAGAATATAAGATACTTAGTAAGTATATCTTCTCAATGATTCTATCCTTACACTGAATGCAGGAATTGAGAACTTGCCAGAGAAAGCCCTGGAAAATGCAGTATCTCTCCCCTCTTTGCTCGTCCTTTTGATCTCAGCTTCTCGTGATTGCACCCTTCTTCTTGAGCCTTGTACACTTAGAGGTTATGATGCCTTACAGAACAATGGTTTCTCAGTGATAAACAAGAGTCTACAGTATCTTTCATGTAGTAAAAGACAGCAAGAAACAACCAAAAGCCCTGGAAATTCATCACTTCATTTTTCTCTTTTTATTCAAAGCCCAATTTATATCTAACTTTAACTGAAAAGGTAAAAAAATGCACATTTCCTTTCTCTTCTAATATTTAAAGCTCCCAAACCAAATTAAAAAAAGGAAAGTTTATCTGAGAAATATGGCACTGTATCTATTTCCAAATTTGGAAAACAGAATTTATTGGTGAGTAACTAAGTGTTCAGATAACATATAATCCCCCCATCTTGCGTGATAGCAGAGTAAATGAGATCATCTTAGAACAGGCATCTGTAAAGAACCTCTGAGATGAATCAGCCTACTGTATTTGTTATAGAAACACTGGAACTAAAAGGGAACGGTTTTGTATGTGAAATTTTAAGGTTAACACATTATCTTTTTGTACCTGAAGGCAGTTACATACCGTAGTAGTCCCACCGTGACACGGGAGCCACAGCTATTCCACACTTGAACACACCACTTCCAGATCCCAGGACCATTGAGGTTACGTACCCTCCATATGACTAAGAAATGGAAACAGTTATTTTTATGGAGGTAAAGGATTAAGGACATATGGTAAGCGAGTTGCAGTTTCCACACTTCTCACATCTTTATATACTGTGCCTCTTTAGAGAGAGAAAGCATGCTATAGGAGGCTTAAATTGGTCTTAATTGGGCCGTATCTAAAGACTACACTTTCAGAGCCCTGGTCTCTTTTCTTGGTAAGATGTAAGGCAAAAATATAGAGCATTTACTGACCCTGGAGATTGGGTGAACCAGTGAAAGAAAAATGCATAAATAAAAACAAGAAATGCAAAATCTTTCCTGACTGATTCACGAGAAGTCTCACTTCTTTCCTCCCTCCCCTTCCTTTCTCCTTCTCCCCTTTCCTCCCTTCCTTTCTCTCCCTTTCTTCTTTTTCCCCTTCTCACTTGCTTCCTCATCACAATAAACAAAGGTTTGAGTCTGGTTCAGCAGACCTGTGGAGGGGCACCACTGGCCCGTGACCCACCACCTGTGAGATATGCTTTTCATCTGCAAATATTTATACCTCCAAAAGATAAATGAGCATGCTCTGGATGATAGTCACTAAGGAATCCATACAGACTGATCAGTCAAACAACTACTCACCCAGCCCCAAATTGCAATTCGGTTGCTGTCCACAAATCCCATTTTTGAGAATTGTCTAAAACACGTGAGAGAAGTTCACAAATCAGCTTTGCTCTGTGTATAGGAAACTAAGACAACTGCACAAATGTGAAATTCTGCCATTTGTTATTTCTTTCATTTTATCTGAAACTAAGATGGACCACTGCCAGCAATCAAAAACACCTGAGACAACAGTCTACCTGGGCTAACTTAAGATCCAGATGAACAAGGCTTGCTTTTACTGGAGTCCATAAAAATTGTAAAACGTGTGTGTGTGTGTGTGTGTGTGTGTGTGTGTGTGTGTGTGTGTGTGTTTCACAGAAAACAAATCCTGGCAGTTTTTTTCACAGCTTTATATAAAAATTTGCAGCCCAGATGCACTTTTCTTTACATAATTGAATTTAAATCTCTCCAGATGTTTTTCCACTTGAGAGTGGTGGCCCCTGCAATGGAGAAAGATAAGGGCAAAAAGAACATCTGGGTAGGACCCCCTACCTGAAACTTAAACACCATTGTCTAAATAAATACCTTCTTATTCTGGGTGTTGATTAGTTAGCTCAGCACCACTAACTAGAAAGCAATTTTTTCCTTGATGGATTAAGAAGTCTTTTTGCTGCTAAAGAGTGTTCAGAAATGCAATCCAAAAAAGAAATAAGAAATATGTTTTATGTACCTATTTCCTTTTATTCTCTCTAAACTTTATTTTTATAGATTTGTTTGTTAAATCTTAGACTTACATCAAACAAGGAATTTACTTAGAAACCTAGCAAATAGAACATTCAACTCTGGAATATTATGGGATGTTTTGGAGTCTTTGCATTAACATTTATGTGACTTTGAGAGTTTTTGTAATTTCAACTGATACATGCCATAGAGAAAATTAAAAATAGTTTTTAACTGATCTTGTGAGTGTACAACTCGATAATCCTTTATGCAGTGAACACACCAGTGCCACTGGATACTGTCAGAAAGCCTCAGATCATTTCCCTCTCTATAAAGGGACAAAACGATGTGTTTCTCTTTTGTTAGAGTCCACAAAAGTACCACCCGAATGTGTACTTGGCTTAGGAGTTAATATAAATTGGTTCAAACAGAATGTATATATTTGCATATCTTTCATTAAACAGTATGAGATTTTTCCACGTTGTTGTGTTCAATTCTTTTTAGTTTCTGAAATGATGCTCTATCAGGAACATACCACATGCCAGTACTTTGGTAACTCAAGTTGCATTTTGTAGATACTCAGTTTTTTAACTGTAGGACTTTGTAGGTCAAATATGAGAGGCCCCCAAGACTGCCATTTTTCATACATAGAAGATAAGTGTGGATAGATAAGAATAGATTTGAATGCCTCACTGTTGAACAAATTTATCCTGCTTCTAATCTAAATCTCTCTTTTGTAATTCTTAAGGAAAATCATCATTAACTTTAGTATAAGGGAATTTCATTCATTCTAGGATACTTAATAAACTGTAACCTGCTTTTTAGTTTATTAAAAGGATGTTTCTCCATTCATTTAGTTGTTTATGAATATTTCTGCATTTTCTAGTTTATAATTTCACTACATTATCTCAAACCATCTCACTCATTAAACTTCCTTAGATGTTCAGGCAGTTAGTTTTAGAAACTCAAAGATTACATTTCCCATTTACCAGTTGATGTAATTGAATAGAAGAGCTAGAAGGAGACTGGATTCCAGTATACTTTGGGGGAGTTACCTAAGAGCCACATTTTAAAAATCTGAGATATGGGTGAGAAGAACCACTTCCCAGAGCTGCTGTGCCCCTTCAGTGACAATGGCTGCAGGTAAAACACTTCTTGTTACAGATATATCATGAGGGACTCATCGCTCATGACTCAGATCACATCAAAATAGACCCAAACGTGAAGAGCACAAGAGTGAGATGTTTAGCTGGGTGTGGTGGCCATGCCTAAAATCCTAGCACTTGGGAGGCTAATGCAGGATAGGTGTGAGGTTAAGGCCAGTCTGGGCTACACAGTGAGTTCAAGACCACTGGGCTGTATAGTGAGACTCTGTCTCAAAAAACAAACAAACAAAAAACATCAAAACAAAAATAAAAGCAAAACAAAAGCCAAAAGTGGGATGTCATTTATACTTAAGCTTTTACAGTTATGATCCACAATGGTTGTTCTCCAAATTTTCCCCAAAATGTAAGAGTATTCAGTAACCCTTATTCAGATTGTAGGGCACTCCTAAAACGTCATAACTGTGACTCCCTATAAGTAAACTTAGGTGAGTTCCTCTGCTTCTTTCTGATTACAAGGATGGGTTTCACTGTTTATTCAGATGTTTACTCAGGGTATGTTGATCCCTCAGTTTGTCTGTGTGTTTGAATTTTAAGCCTCTGTTCTTAGAATGCAGTAGCCCATGTGCCAACTCCCTTCCTATAGTCACATACAAAGGCGCACTCAGGAAATGCCTTTTTAAAACTTCATATGAATCTATAATGACAAATATTTTTGTCAAAACATAGTATCTTCACTAACCATGAAAGATTTCAAATTCCTTCTGGCACACTTTAAATTCTTTATAATTATAATTGTGAAATGTAAATCAAAGGGAGAATGAAGTTAGAATTCATCTCCTAGAAATCACCTGGCTGCTTCAATTTGATCTTCAATTTCTAATGTCCCCAGTCTTCTGTTGATTGCATGCATGATTTTATCTCCTTGGTAACCACTTCCTCTGCCGTCAAAGCTAGCTACTATGATGTTTTCCGTACTTGCAAGGTAAGTGGCCCAGTTGAGTCTGAAGATAGCGTCTGCTTTTTGACTACAGGGGCCTGCATATCTGAAAAAAAAAAAAAAAAAAAAAAAAAAAAAAACAATTACTAGCATTTACTGTTTCTCTGAATCAAATAAAGCATATTTGCATTTTGCTTCTTGTGAACAAGATGTGCACCTTTCCCTCCATCACAAATCTAAAATTGTGCCAGCCAGGAGGAGACCCAGAATTGGCCTTCTAAAATTTGGCAACGTGATTAAAATCACTGTGCTTTTTATTTATTTATTTATTTTTTCACTGTGCTTTTTAAAAGATGCCCATCAGTTTTATCTTAAAAGACAGTTATTAAACACAGTCTTCACAGGTCAACATTTTTAAAGTATGGCAGTCTTAACTATCAAAGAAATTTTGCTGCTTTCATAGTGGAGATAAGGAAGCTGGGTTATAAAGAAATAGATGATAACAAAAATGCAGGTTTAAGTTGATCTTTCCATCTCGATTCAGAAATACTCCCAAACCACAAGATCGTTTCTGAGGTTGGAACTTCCCTAAAGACTCTGCTGCATTACCTGCCTAACAAGTCCCTATGACTTCACAAATCACTCGGGAACAAGCCAACACATGAATGAATGCTCTTACTTAAAAGTTCAAAACAGAAAGAAATGAAACCTCATTCTGGAAAATAGGTGTGCTGTTCACGATTCTATTGATAAGCACATTTTCCCTTTTATTAATCTTGACTGCTATATTTACCCCACACGTAGCTCTGTGTACAACCATCAGACCTTCTCATTTCTGTCAGTTGAAAGACTCTGTAAGCATCACTATATCACATTAAAATATGTCATGTTTGTGTGACCTACAGATTGCCTGAGGAAAGGCCTCCTCCAATAACTCTTCTCTCGCCAGGCCACCTCGCCTACCCAGCTGCTCACGACACAGGAATAGACAAGTCGTGCATGCATGCCTTTGCTAATTTTTTCCTCCCTCTTCCTAGAGACGGTGGTAAAAAGAACTTTGGTTTCAATAAAAATATTGCATTATTTTAAATTTAAACTAAATGTTGTACCAATCTAATTTCAAAGTGGAGAATGTATCTATGTATTTTGAGGCAAGTAAACATGTTCAAGTAATATACGAAATGCCTTTGTCCTGTCAGTAGCATTAAACACGGTAGATTAAAGAGTTTAATGTTCAGTGTATCCGGAGTTACTACTCTCAAGATTAAACATTATTTTTTAAAATGGAAGAAAAAGACTGATACCTCAAGAGAGAGGTAAAGGAAAATAAGTGAATAGAAACGGCACTAAATTTGTCTTTAAAAATCTTTACTTACAAGGGAGTCAAGATAAAAACAAATCACTGTTGTCTAAAGGATGCTTTTTCTTTTTTAGTATTGAAGAGAAAATCTAAAACATCAATTTTACTAGTGATTTTGATTTCATTCTATCACAATTATGCTTACTACAGTCACGTAGCACATCTGGAAGCTTAAAATAGCTGTCATTTAGTTTGTATTCTCTGATAGATTTTTATGAGTCTTTTTTTCACTGTAAAAATGGAGCTAAACTATGACTGTGCTAGCATCTTTTCCTTTTACCCTAGTAATAACATACAAATTATGTCCCTAAGTTTCAGTGTGGCCTCTACAATGAGCTAACAGATCTCACCACATTAATTTGCTGTGCCAATAAAATAAATTAAGCATCTGAACAATAGCAGAAATGCGGCACACTGTTGTTGTGTTTTTTATTAAAGGAAAACACGTGTAATCTATGAGATTAGGGCAATTTTAGAAGAATTAAAGTGTATTTTAAATCATTAATAAAACTATTTTACAATGATGCCATATTCAGAATTCACATGAGTTTCCATTAAGGCACCAAAAATTTGTGATTTCAAGACTCTCTAGGATTTAAAGTTTGGATTATAATGACACTCTCCTACAACACTTCTGTTCACCAAAAAGGGGAATGAAAAATAACAAACAGGAACATCGCAGGAACTAGAAGAGAAGTTTAGGGTTATAATAAATCAAAGGGATTCAGTGGGAGAAAATTTGGGATGAGGGATGTGGAATAACTATTAATACTCATCTCTTGCTTGTTAAAATGTCCAGGAGGTAGGATGAAAATCAAGACTTTAGAATTCCTGTGGAATTCCCTCACACTTTAGGCAAGCAAAAACAAAACAAAAATATGCCATTATGGCAGAAGAAAGTGTTTCTTTTGTTTACTGTGATGGCAGAAACTAGACTGAGGTTTGCGAGTAGAAAATGGAAGGGGAACACAGTAATCAGGAAGGGAGAAAGGATGAATTTACCACTATTTCTCAGTAATCTGCACTGGAGGAGGGCAATTAACTCCCCGCTTTGTGAATACTTACACGTCTAGTAGTAGAGGATATTGCTTGGATTTATCAAAATGGGGAGGCAAGATCATCTGATACCAAAATTCTAAACAAACAGAAAGATTAATCAGAAAGTTAAAAACAGTTATTCAAGATTTTGTTCTTTTGCTTTGTCCTTGATGCCATGTCTAGAGTCCAGTAATTTGTTAAATTAGAATAAAAAAATGAACTGGATGGATTCCGCAGGTTTTAAAGTTTAAAAAACACAGTCTGTCAGGTTAAAATATCAGTTAATGTTAAAACAACTTGTTCCTAATGTATCTATTAAATACATTGGTGCCTCCTACAATAAAAGTACATCTTAGAATTTGTAATGTTTTGTTTTTATAATCTGTTCTTTGGCATCTGATCTACTTATCTAGTTTGTTTATGACTTATGTTCTAAATTTTCCTCCAAAATGTTTTCCTCTTCTTAAATTTCCTCAAAACTGTTTAGAATTTGTAGTTGGCCCCAATTCTATTTTAAAATTCTGATTTAATAACATTTTTATAGTTCCTATTGCCACCCCAGACCGCAAAGCTGAGTTCCCATTTTCAACTCTTGTGTTTCACAGAATGAAACTGGGCTTCCACGGAGCAAACTGTTGAGTGCATTCTTTGTGATTTTTCCATGGATCTGTTTAATTCCCTGTGCTTGATGTGACAGTTTAATAAAATTTGCCCCTAAATAATGAAACCATTTCCTTTGCCTTCAAATGAAAGATGGGTTAGACTAACAAATCTAAAAAACAATATTAAAAATCCTATATTTTAATAAGATTATTTCTAGCTTTTAATAGTAGGCAAAAAATATCTTTATCACTAGAATTATTTTTTAAATTTATTTTCCTTTCTGTTATTTGGTTGATGTTACAATTATTTTGGCTAAATTAGAGGAGTAAGATCTTTATGTAGACTTATCTTTAGTTCATACTCTGCTGATTGTTTTAATATTTTTTGATTAAATGTGCTTGTGAGAACAAAAAATTTAAACTGTTATTATAATTTCAATAAAATATCAGACTATCAATTGACCATGATATTTTAAATAAACATGCCAAAGTCATCACTGGATTCCTGGGCTGTCTAAATGGGCAAGGCACCAGTGACAAGGTGCTTTAAATTTCATCCTCTCACAGACGCTGCAGAGAGGCTCTTAATCACCAAGTGCCACTATCGCTGTTCCCTGCTCTCAGACTCCCCATCCATGTCTAGTCATCTCTTCCTGTAATTTGAAAGGTTATAATCACCTCCCAGTGGGACCACCTCCCCTGCTCTAACAGCTCCAACCTACAATTCCTACCAAGTTTTCCTGCTAATCACCTGTCGTCTCTGACCTTAAGACATTCAGAGCTGTCCACTGTTTACACCCTGAAATACAGTGTCCAGGATCTCAGTATTCAGTGTCTTCTGTACCAGGCTGTCAATGTTGGTGCTGAAAAACTCTAAGCAGTTCATGCAAGCATGGCTCAGGTCCAGGGACACTGGTATCACCTTGGAGCTTATTATAAACTCCAGATCCTAGACCCACCCTGACCTGCTGGGTCAAAATGTAGCTGTTAACAAGATCCCATGTGACTCCAGTGAACATGCAGTTGGAATATACTGGTCCAAACTATTGTTTGAAAATGCCTATACTTTCTACAGCCTATTCTGCCATTTGAAATGAGATGAGTTGAATATTTAAAAAAATTAAACTGAACCAATTTGGATGAATTCTTATTGTCCCTTTGTGTGTGTGTGTGTGTGTGTGTGTGTGTGTTTTAAGAAACCTATTGTTTCTAGAGGTCTTTAAATATAATCCATGATGAGACTGCCAAATCCAATCCTGGGATAACTATGGGAGAAGAGGAGGATTAGGAAAAATTAAAGATTTCTCTCCAAGGATTGAAGATTCAACCTTTATCAACAATTCTAACTTTAAAAAATAATCATATGAGACAATTTCACCTTTTTTGGTTTAAAGGTAAAATAAATTAGGATAATTATGTTAAATATACAGTTAATACTAATAGAATTACTGAGGAGATGAAACTAAACAGTAGCACATTTTCTCCAAATCTTTCTTTCTCTCTCTCTCTCTCTTTTTTTTTTTTTTTTTGTCTTTTTACTTTTTATCGGTACCGGGGATCGAACTCACGACTGCCTGCCTGCTTCCAAGGCAGGCGCTTATGCCGCTGAGCTAAACCTCCAGCCCCCCAAATCTTTCTTTTTAACAAAACACATTCCACGTAAAATAGCATTGAATTTTAACACACAAAAAGTGGAAAAGTAGTAATCCTTGTAATATGATATTTCATGGGGAAATAACCTTCTAAATTAGATTTATGTATTATAAAATGTATATTTTCTGATCAGATTATTATATTAGTTAATTTTATTGGTGCTTCCATGAAATTTAACTTACTTGTTCCATTCAAAAGAATGAAGTCCAGTTTTTTAGAAGGCATTTGGACATCTTTAAGCGCTTCTTCCAAAGCTGAATTGTTTTCCAGGACTCTCAGTTCTAAATAAATACACAGAACAACAGTAACTCACTACAATACAAAGAAATTAGAGTATATAATGGAGTAATGAGCAAATACAAAATGTGCTGAGGGGACTATGCATACTTCAGGTTACAAACCTTGTGTCCAGTCATTGTTCTGACTCTAAAGCCAGGAGAAATCACACGATACTAAGTATGTGCTGCTTGCATTCACACACATTTTCTTAAAAGCAAATGAAAAGTAAAATATGAGAAAATACCTTTATCATTCCTGCTGCTGTGTAGAGTATAGAGGGGCAGACCAGGGCCTGTTAACATAATCAGTGAAAAATATGTTTTAGATAAGTTTGGCATACGTGACTTTTCAAAAATGTCATTGATTACCATTTAACTTCGATAAAAAACATAATAAATATCATAGTGGATAGGAAGCTTAATAAATGTTAGTCGCCCCCCCCCCCTTATGAATAGCTGCAAATGAGAGTAAGAAGTAAGACTGGAAAAGCACAGGACCCAGCAAAATGATGGGAAGTGAATGAGCCCCGCTGAGCACCCCGGCAGGTCACCATCTCTGCGCCCAAGCTCCTGATCACTGATTTGAAATGAGAGCCGCCATCCTCCCCACCCCATCTTCCCTTGCTCACTGTCCTCAGAGCCCAGGGCAGAGCTCCGAAGCCAGCCTCACCTGGAGGATGGGCAGGCCCCTCCTTGCGCCCCTACCCGAGGAGTCTGGAGCCAGGCAGCACATCTGCAGAGCCTGACTTGGAGAAGCGATTCTTTTCTGGCATGCAAAAGTGTTTTTCTCACAAGCCCATATCTGCACTATTTATCCCAACTGTGGGAGCTGCAGCGTGGAAGGTAATATATAGGAAAGCTATTTTGTAAGTTATTTAATTTTGATTCATTTGGGCGACAGTGTTAATTTTTGTACTTGATTGAAACCCCAGTGAAAGAAATATCCAGAGCTGGGTTAGAATCCTGACTGACTTGCTGTGTGATGTATGACAAGGCGCTCGGCCTTTAATTTCCTCACATAGAAAATGAAGATAATCATGTCTACTTTCTGGAGTTTTCTTAACAATATCATGAGATTGTGAATATAAAGATTTTAGCATAGTGCCTAGTGTAAAGGACATGCCCAAGAAAAACAGCCACAGCAAACAACTATAAATAAATAAGTAATGGTAAAGAAAATACATTACTGAGGGGAGGGTCAGATAACTGGTTCAGTGTCCTCTTTGGTGCCACGGGCAGTTACTTTCAGAACACGCCAGTTCTTTTTCATTCTGAGAAGTAACCCAGCCGAGTGTTTAGAAGGCAGGAAATGTGGAGGCAGAGACCGAGTGCCCAAACCCTGCTGTGCCTGGGGTGTGACCTGCAGTGGCCACTGTGCTTCTCCTTGCCCTGATTCTTCATCCTCAGTAAATAACTGCGGTAACAGAAGAAGACAGAGCAGTGGGCATTTTGGGTGACTGGCATGTCCCACATTTTCCCATTTAAAGGGATGAGTGTGTAACATAATCTTTTAAAAACCCCACAAAACGTGGTTTTATAAGAAAGAAGTCTTCAAAGGGGAAGAAAAGCTGACTGAAACCCACCACTTAAATGTGAGTGGAAAGAAAGGGCCCAAGACAATTGCATGGCCCCTCAGGTTTGAAAGAGAACTGAGGAGAGAACAAAAATGATTCTCAAACTGGATACTAGAGAGCAACTGCAGGCGCAGGGGGACGGCCCTGGATGGAGGGAGAAGGTTCTAGAGAGGCGCACATCGCTGGTGTGAGGAGGTCAGGGCAAGTAACCCAGCCAAAAGGACAGAGGAGCTGCCTCCTGCTCACCAGTGAGTCACAGCTGCCGCAGCCCTCCAGACCCGTCAGCACACGCTTACCTGAACATCTCAGCTGATAATATTTTGCCTCTTTACTAAATGACACAGAATAGTACTGGCATCTTTCTGGATTCAGCTCACAGCTAAGACACTCAACTTTTGAGTAGTCACTAAGTTGAATTCTGTAAAACCAATGGAGGAAATAAAGCACTTAATCAAAGAATAAATTGAAAAGATGCCATGTTGTTGTACTTTCTCAAATACCAGAATGCCAAAACAATTCTTAAACATTCTTTTTCAAGATGTGTAATAAATACATAAATTAGTATTAAACTCCCATTGTTTGGGAATGTCACAAAACATCTAATGAAGTCATTATTTTTGTGACATGCATATTGATTTATGAAAAAACAATAATGCTTGGTAGAAAATCCTTTTTAATATTAGAATAAGATTTTAAAAAGTTCAAGTCCAGAAATTGTCCATCATCTAAAAGACAGAGGTCAACAACTTGACAAAATTCTTACTTATAAAGATTTCTTCCTCCTGGCATTCCTTTATGTTCATTACTGATGTAGTATCTGGGAAGAAAACAAAGAAATATGTATTGATTACAAAAATGTTACACTGTTTGAATTCCAGCAGCAGACACCGGAGTGTCCATGCGCATGTGCATGTCCATCACCCACAAGCCATTTCTCTCCATCATCGGTGCCCAACATGCTCTTTTTATTAACATGAAACTGGGATTTATTTCTTCAAGTGACAACTAAAAACTGAAATCTTTTTTGAGAAAAATATAACTGGACAAAGTGGCCCAAAACTGACATTGCCTTTATCAATTCTCTTGTGCATATTATCTGATTTCTACTAAAAGCTTCAAGATGGCAAGAATGTCATCTTTCTTAATGTGGTACTTCTGAAAAGCGTCTATAAAACAACTTTAGGCTGTGGTAAAATTCCTCCATGATGCAGCCAATAAAGAACCATGAAGCGCCTGCGATTCTAATGAAGCGTAGTGAACAGCATCAGGAAAGCTTTCTTTTTTTCCAAAGAGAAGGGCTAGGACATGGGCAGATAAAACTGCCTTCCCAAGCCACTGAAAGCTGACCGAATGCCCCAGTGCCGGTGCAGCATTCCAGGACACTCCAGTAAAAGACACTGCAGCTCTGAGCATGTAAAGCAGGTAAGAGCAAGAGGTAGAGCTGCTTGGTGGCAGGGTATCAAATCTGCTGAGCATATGTGAAAATCATTAAGGCTTCCGTATGTTGAAAAGAAAAAAAAGTATTGAACACATTCCAAATAGACTTCTCTTATTTGTCGGAGATTTTTTTTCCCTACTTCTGTGCAAAGAGGGCGTGATTATGAGTGGGTTTCTATCCTACTGATTATTAGAATACTCACAGATAATCGCTGGTAAGAGCTTGTATCCCAATGACTTCCCAGGATCCTTTCGTAATAAATGTGCAATCCTGATGTGGTTTTTAAATAAAAGATTTATTAGACTCTCTTTAACTAAAATTAAGTAGAGGGTTGAATCATCTGTATCAGGAATTAAATTAGCCTTGATAGTTCTTGTTGGATGTCCACATCACACCCCACCCTATTCCATACATCACTAAAGAATTTGAATTATTCTATTTGTACACATTGATAGGATTTACTAACTTTCCACTTCAAGTTAGTTTGAAAAATAGGAGGTCAACCTAAAACGAATTAAGAATACTCACTCTATTATCTATTTGGAAATGACAGATGTGCCTGTAACCCTCTTTATCGCTCATGATCTTGTAGAATCTATTACCATCAGAGGTGAAATGAGGTTCTGCGGGCCTAAACTAGAAAATAAGAGAGAACAAAGAAGCATTAAAGGCCTGATCTCATCTGTCTCATCTCAGAGCCAACTGTACTGAATGCTCCCCAGCACCCATGCTCAAAAACCAAAGGTTTTATTTGCTAAATGAAACTGGAGGGTCTTGAAAAAAAATTTTTTTTGCTTTAATATGATGGGGACAACACAAAATAAGAACAAATTCATGAACAGTTTCTTGTGAGGAGTACATGAGAGTAGACATAAAATCAGCTGGACAAACCACTTGATAAACAGAAATGGTTACCATTATTTGAGGGCATTCTCTTTCCATGGAGAATAAATATGACTTGTGGCAATAAGGGCATGACATTTAGAACAGGCCCTTTTTTTCAAGAAATGCATTTCCTTGGTCTTACAAATGTGCTTTCTTGAAGCACACATATTATTTGACTATTTCAGAATAGAGGTGTTTGTAATTTGGGAGAATTATGTTTTTGAAAGTCAGGCTTAGTTGTTAACCATTTCTGCACTAGATATCTAATAAGAAATGTCTGATGTATATTTTATGTGTAAGCATTTGTGTACTCATTTTTATTATAAGCCTTTTAAATTTTTGTTGATCAACCATTTACCAAAAAGGTTGTACAGTAATATAGAACAAAATTTGCAGTGTTTTACAGTTCAGTGAAATATAATTCAGAGAATATAGTGCAGTTTAAGTAGAAGAGCATCTATCCCAGCCTGAAAGGAATATGTCGTTTTACGATTTCTATTTCCTAGCTACATTTGAGAGCAGGTAGGAGATAGTCTTTTAAAATTGTTGGTTCATTGCACTCTCAATGTTTCCTCTCTCATCAGCTCCCATTTTTGGGAAGGAAGAAAAATACTTCCCTCTTCTATTTAGTGATTCAAAGTGAATTCATTTATGGAGCAGGCTGAGGCGTGCAGTACACTTGGTGTTCTCATTACAGAGCTCTGAAGCACATTCCCCTCTCTAGACCTGTGTTCACAGCCTTATCTTTTTAATACATTTCCCTGTTTCCCCTGGATGGAGTTGTGCCTAGTAGAAATGTGTGAAAAGTGGCATCTGTCTGGTTAAATACAGAGAGGAAAAAACATATTTTTTTCGAAGAGTCGTGAGGAAGTGTAGCATGTCTCTTGCCATGGAGGAAACCACTTTTCATGTTGGCAAACCTCTCCCCTCTGCCCAATCAATGCCTGCAGAAAAGGACATGAGAATTCGGCTGGAGCTTGAGCCCAGCCAGACAGGGCTGCCCTGCTCGATTGAGGCCTCAATCTCTGTAAACCAAGACATGTGAAAAGTTAATGTATTTTGTGTCACTGTGTTTCCCTCTTTAGGAGGATTAATAGAAATGATCTTAAAATTAGGTGTGATTCATCCCTCGTCTTTCTTGAGGTGTCATGCTGGCTTGAGTTCCTTCACCTACACGCTCCATGGTCTTGGAGCAGTACCACTGGTAATTCTGTGTGATGCTGAAGTAATGCTGTGGGACTGAGCAGCAGTGACAGAAGCCTCCCGGGGATTTACCTTGCTTTCCAGTGAAAGTGCTGCAGCCAGGTGTCTAACAACGTGTGAACTCACCTAAGTATGATATTCCCCAAAGAGAGGTGCGTAGTGGGCATTACATGATTGGTACTGAATTTGCTGGATCTCCTTAGGCATGTGTCCAGGCTGGGATGGAAACTGTGTTTTCTGCTTTTAAAGCACATGCCTCAAATATGAGGTCAACAAACACATTTGGCATCTTGGCTGCTTTTTAGCAATCGTTTTTTAACTTACTGGGAGCTCCAATTTGCCTAGAGTATATGTTTTGTTTTGTCTGCTCTGCTCCTGATTTTTCACTTATCCTCTTATTTTTTTCAACTGAATATGCAACATATTCTTCATAAAAAGATATTTCTATGGAAAGTACTTCCGATATTTGAGATATAGGTCAATTAGTATTTCTGGTATCGCCAAATAACCCAAAGCCCCACTGTAGAATACCTACAAATCATAGCTCTGAGTAGTTGACCCATAGAATGTAAAGTTCGGTAACTTACTCTGCCAACCCAGCCAGTCGTGCTCATCTCAGTGTGTTCATTCTTCTAGAAGACAAAAATGCAATAAAAATATTTCAGAGAGAAAGATGATGAAATACACTCTTTAGCCACAATGTGGTGATATGAACAGTAGCAGAGGAGGAGCACTTAAGGGAATTTATGATAAAGTTATTGAAAAATCATCTCCGTTCATATTTTTATTTATGTTAGTATTTTCCATGTAATTACATTTGATTGTTTACCTCCCTCACGCAAGATTCTGTCTTGGATTCACCCTATACACTACACTGGAAGTTCTCCTGGTATTTTAAGCTCAGTGCATACAGAACTGAAGAGAACTTCCTTCTCTTTCATCCAGTAGCCTGTTTTTAAACTTTTATTCGTCTCCTCTCCACCCCAGCCAGGGACCTGGAAGTCCATCCAGATTCTTGTTCCCCTCAGTCATCTCCCTCGTCCCCTGCCTTTTTCTTTTTCTGTCCTCTGCCAACATTACCTTCGTTCATGTCCTTGGAAGAATTCCCTGGTGCACTGCTACAATCTCCACATTGGAGAGACTGCTTATCTCTTCCCTTTCTGGTCTGCTGTCCGCCCTGCGTAGTGCTCAGCTGACCTCATTTGGCAAGAGATTTAGTCTCACAATAAGACTCTCTTAAAACCTTGAGTCAGATCCTCATTTTTCACAAGGTGAGACTTAAATCAGAATGGCACCTGAGTCTATATCACCTTATTATTTATTTATTTATTTCAGTTCTATTCCCCTCTTTCAGCTTTCTGGACAAGGACCCCAGTTCCCACGTGCTCTAAATGCTCACCCTGGCTGCTTCAGCACAGCCCTCTGCTAGGATGGAGCTCTTGTCCTTACTTGACCATAGATAACACACTATCCTAGACTACCTGTAACTCTGTCATATCTCCTCTGGGCAACCCCCACCACAATAGAATTATCTTCTTTTGTCTTACATCCTCTGTGTACCTCGTTTTATGGCACAACATTGTGATACTAAAGTGATCTAATCAGTAGGAAGCAAGGGGCTTGTGTTTTGCAATGTGAGTTCTGGCACACTTTGATCTGACCAAGTGACTTAAACTCATTAATCTTCAGTCACCACAGTCTCTGACACAGTGCAAGCACTCAATAAATGGCAACTTTTAGGGTTTATTTTCATAATGGGATTTCTTACCAGAGCAGAAGCATTTTGGGGCCAGGCAGGCTAATTCCCATTTTAAAATATCCATAGCTTAGTACAGAACTTGGAACATTACAGGCACTCATTGTTTCTTGCATAAATAAGTGAATCAAGATGTGGGGTGCTCAAGCTGCCCGAGATGTGAGTCTGCCCTGTGCCTAGCCAGGATGGGAGCAGGGAGGAAAGTATGGAGACACAGGGCCCATGACCAAATCGGGAGGCTTTTGAGGATCCTTTGCATATTTCAGTGAATATCTTCCAGTGCCTAGCCCTCCTGAGACTGCTGTGTCTCAAAGGGATTTAACTGTGATATGTAAGCCGAGCTGGCCCCCATGGTCTTCTGGCTGGAAACACTCCAGTACTTCAATGTTGTCTTAACACTTAGTTTGCCCAAGTGTTGCCATCCGCTTGCTTGGCAGTTACTGAAATTCTGAAGCTGATTCCTACTTAAAGATGGTAATAATATGGCAATAGATCTGTGGCCTCTGGACACTCTTTTGTTTTACATATACTTAGCCAGCCATTCCCTGTCGCTATGTCTTCTGGGTTAAAACACTTTCATTGTTCTTGCAGTCCCTCACCTTTTTAAATTTTTAAATATTGACACCAGCACAGTCTTTCAGGTTTTGCTATGGTTTGTGTCTAGATGTCCCTCTTAAGCCTCATGGGCACAGGTGGGGCTTCTCAAAGGTGGCTGAATCTACAGTGTGTGATGCTGGGATCAAAGATGTGGGTACTAAATTTGCTCTCTGATCTGGCACAGTTCTGTTTATGGATAATGGGAAGGCCCAGCCTGGGTGTGGATGATCCCGCCCAAAGGGTGGGTGGCCGGAAAGAACCAAAGGGAGGGGCAGGCTGCTACTGCTGTTGCTGCTTTGGTTTGGCTACTTCACCGTCTTCTGCCGGCCTTGAGCGTTTCTTTTCTGTGATGCACCCTCTACCACACCACCCTGCCTTGGAGTCAGCCAACTGTGGGCTGAAACCTCTACAAACTGTGCACTGCACTAAACCTTTCCTCCTTTAACTTTGGATGTTAGGGTTAGGGTATTTCATCTCAGCAATGAGAAAAGTAACATACAAATTCCCTTTTCTGATTTTCCCATCACCCCTTATCACCTTCCTAAGTGACTGTACCATAACTGAAATAGCATGAGTAGGGCAAGAAGGTGAAGAAGTACCATCATGTTATTTTAGAGTTACCTAAGACTGATTCACTGCCTCACTGTCGGATGGTGCTAATTGCCAATCTTCACTCTCCCTGGGTTCCCTCCAGTTACTTGTGGTTTTGGAAGCAGAGCACCTGAATCTGTCCTTACCAGTGAACAATTCCATCCTAGTCTGGATTTGTCATAGTCACAGATATCCATGACGGAATAGTTCTGAATTCTCCTAAGCCACTGCAGAGCAATCCGTTCCGGTGTAGCCCATGTCACACCACACAAGTAGTGATCCCTGGAAGGAAGGCGGAGAGAGGAAAAGAGAGAAATGCAGAGAGACAGAATGAATTTATTCCAGATCTTGGTACAAATAAACATTTTACACCATAAAAAGAAATCAGCCCTAATAAGAAGTGGAGTTTTAAATGATTAAGAATACCATTCAATATCGCAACATTTAACTTCTCTGGTTTAAAGTGCAATTTAATTTTGAATGGAAATTAAAACAGATGCAACAAGAAAAACAGCAGAAACATTCAGCAGTAGCCAGAATCAGACCAGAATTGTGACCCGAATCAGACACTCTATCTTTATCAGGTCCTAAACTCTGCTGGTACCCGGGAGTCAATGGTGATGTTTTCTCGTCTCCTTTCTGTTGTCACGAAGAAACGCTACAGTGAGGTCAGGGGCACTGGCTGAGAGTTGAGTATTTACTGCTAACTGGACATGCTTCTTCAGAAAATTCTTATTAAGAGGAAACTACAGCTGACCCTTTTCTCAACTTCATTTTTAAATGCGGGAAAAAAAATTTGACTCAACCTGCACAGATTTTAAAAATCAAAGAATTATATCCTTACAAAACCATTTCTCAAGAGCAAAAACATAAACTTTGTGAAGAAATCAAGGAACTCTGTGGTATTTTAAACATAAATTTATATAACAAGAGACAGTTTTCACAGTGCATCCTCTCCAACACATACCTTCTAACATTTTTGGAACCATCTTCTGATTTGTAGTGAAATGCATGGAATTTATAGTGTACTTGTCTGCTAGCCTCCTTAGCATTATTTGCGCTATATAACTATATTCTACTTCTTTGCTGGTCTCTACTGTGAGTTTGGATATCTGTCTGCCAATCACTTCTCTCTGATGCCTTTTCTCCTGTAGTCAGAAGATTCAAAATGAATCTTCTCATCTTCCTTCCCAGGCTGTCTCAGTCTTATTTCCCTCTAAGCCCTTCCATTTGCTCTATTTCCCCTCCATTTGTTCCCTCTCCTGGTCACCTTGCTTCTCTGTCAGCTCTTTGAGGCAGCCAGAATCCACATCTGTCTTGTTCACAGGGAATCCCCAGAGCTGAGCACAGTGCCTGGCTCCAAACAAACACTCCTGACATTCCTGTGGCATGCAGTTCTCAAGAAAGGAAAAACAATCTTCTCGTGACTTTTGTGGCATGAGTAGCTTTGGCCTCCTCAGAACTGACAGATGCCTTCCATTTCCACTCCCTTCCCAGACACTGAAACATGCAACAATTATTTACTGAGAACTCAGGATGGCTCAGTATAAAGCACTCCAGGCCCCTGGACTAGTCAGGCTCTGCTTGACTATTCACCTTTTTTTTCATGGCTGAATAAAATGTTAATGTACCTGGTGACCCTGGGTCTCCATGCTGTTCCAATGCAGGTCCTAAGAAACCAACCACTTCACACAAGCACGAAGCACCACACTCCACACAAAGCAACTCCCTTCCATGACAACCCTCTTCTTGCTTATTACCAAGAACCTCTGTGTTCCTTCTCCCTTTCCTGGGTGCCTGTGCTCTGGAGAACATCCTATGATGTTTCCAAATTACTCCTTCTTTGTTTAAACTTGTCCTTGAATCCAAAATGCCAGCCATACCCTAACTTCTTCAGGTCATCGCTGAACTGTCCCCTTTTTCATGAAGATTTTCTTGGAAATTCCCTGCTACCATACAGCTATCACCAGCTTTCAGGTGCTTACCACAAACTGTCAGGGTGCAGCTTCTGAGAATGTGGTGCATATCTTCTTGGGTAAGAAGAGTTCTTCCTCTAAATCTTTAGCATTCTCCCATAATAAAGAAGCCAAGTGAGAAGGGGAAAGGCAAGTAAGCCTTATCCAGGACACATAATAAATCAGAGAATGGAAAAATGAAAAGACAGAAAAGGAAGCTTTTCAAAATGAATTTTCTAGATCAGGGCTCAGGAAACTTTTTTAGTCAAGGGGCAGACAGTAAATATTTTAATCTTTGTGGTCTGCACTTTCTCGGTCACAGCAATACACTCTGCCTTTGCAGCATGGAAGCACTGGACAATACTTAAACAAATGACAGTGGCTGTGTTCCACTGAAAAGATGAAATCTAAATATATAATTTTCATGTTATGAAGCATATTCTTTTCCCCTTTCTTCCTAGTCATTAAAAAATGTAAAGCCACTCTTCCTTGAGATCTTACAAATATGGGCAGCAGGGTGGATTTGGTTTATGGTCCTTGATGGACCAACCTGGAGTTTACATGAGACATCCTGTTTTTTTTTTTTTTTTTTACATCAAAATCATTTGAACAATTTGATGAAAATTGTATGCCTGTCTAGGCTGGGTAAAGCTTCTCTTCCCATGCATAAAATTTTGGAGGGCTCTAGAGGTATGTCTGAGAAAACTGGGAACCAAAACATCCTCCCTATTTTTTTAAAGAGTTCTGGTGGCGGAAGGGGGAGGTAAGGGAACAAAATAATTCTTTTTCTTGATTAGTGCTGGTGCTAAGTATCTTTATCTGTTGAAGCCATAAATTACTCAGGTTCAGAAGTCAGCAAAGCAACTTTTCCTCATCTGTAAACATTCAGTAATGGAATGTAGGGAGTCAGCCAGGAAACTCACGTGTGTCCACCGCCTCCCTGCCCATTTCTAGGTAAAGTTTAATGACCCTCGATCCTCTACTACCTTTGTCACTTCCATGGCCCAAAGTGCACTCTGCACCCTTGGTGCTCAGGAAAGACAGGCCACTGGTTGAGCAGAAAGTACTTTTTAAATATTTGAAATAATCATACTTTTGAATTTTTGAAAGAAACATACTTTCCTTCCACTGTAGCCCTGAGATCATGCCAGGCTGAGATGTCAGAGTCATGAAAGAAACATAAACAAATGCCCCAACTGAACTTTTTACTGAAAAGTTAAATTGCCCATGTTAGTCCAGAAACATCCAACAAACAGAACTATCAATGATGCTTTCCGTACTACCTGTTGATTTTTATTCTACAGAGACAGGCAAATACAGAGTAGGCTTTCTCTTTGTACTGATTAGGGAATGGTAAGCAAGGAGCCACACCTGCATCTAAGTCGTCCGGTGAACCTAGACTAAGTAATCCTATGTTAGGTGACTCAACAAGCTTTTCTAACTTCTGGAGCAGTAAAGTCCAAAGAGAATTTTGCTGATTTTAATAGTAATGCAAAGAGAGGAATTTCTGGACCTAATCATGAGAGTGTGCACCATGTGCTGTCTGTTTGGTGTATGGAACTGCTCTGACAGTTTGACATAAAGCTCATGACCACCCTGGAAAGTAAGTACTCTTGTCATTTTGTTTTGTAGATAAGGAAACAGAAGTACAGAGAGGTCGGTAAGTTGCTCAGTCTCACTCAGCTGGGAAGTACAGTAGCCAGGGTTCAAATCCAGAAGTTGGTATCAGATCTCCTGTTCATACTCATGCCCACTGAAGAACCTCTGCCCAGCTCTTTGGGAACAGTGGTAGCTAGCTTTACCTTCCTGTTTCTTTTTAGGATAGCATTTCTCACTCATTGAAGTCTACTTATTCCTAGAGAGTTGTATGTAAACGAAATCTTATAGGGCAAATCATGTTTGAATGCATTGAAACACTTAATTTTGAACATCATACTAGAGAATCTATTTATTAAATGACTGACTGTCTTAGCACAATGTCTTGCAAAGATGATACATTTAATAAAAGTTTGTGGGGTATTATCAGTGCCCCTAATTTGCATAAATGTTTCTTTTGGTACATTAAGGATACTTAAAATAAAATATGCATAACTAACTGGAAAGAATATTGGAGGGAAAAATGCTACTAAGAGCAACTGCAGACTGCAGATTGATTAATTTAGTGAATCACCAGAGGAAGCAGGCGTACTGCCAGTGTTGGCCTCGGGCTCCATGCCACCCTCCGCTCTGATAAGGATGCCAGCTCTCCTGGGTTGCTGACAGATCAATGAGAAGAGAAGTGGGTGGGGCAAGATGGAACAGATCTAAGAATGCAGTGCTGGTAACAAGCCCTGATTTGCCTCCTTTCTTGCAGATGCAGCTAGTTCGCAAGGACTATCTGTCTGGTTCACTCATATCTTGTGTGACAATTTCAGTCTTTGATGACCCTGCTTTACAGACCAAAGGTCACCCACTATGTAGAAGAGATAGAACAAGTCTTTATCTAATGTGTTCCTTAGCAGCGGAGAGAATAAGGGTGGGGTAAGTCATGAATGTTGATGCAGTGGACCCGAGAGCACTCAGCAGGTGTTGGGTGAAGGTCCCTTACTGGAACATGCCCTCTCCAGTCCTCTGTTTCCAGGCACAGCATTTGCAGCTGGATAGGAAGAAGAGGAAAAGAAGATTCCTCTGCAAAGTCACTATGGAGGCTATTGATAGAGTTGGCTTTGTGAATTCCTGTTCCATACACAGAAAATCACCTGCAAAACCTATCTTATCTACTAATTTATCTCTTAATTTGTTCTACAGATAGTGATTGGGCACTTATTATGTCTTTGGAGGCTGTCTTGTAAAAGTGACCCTTACCCTATCGTATTTGTGTTATTTTGGTTGGCCATATAAGCTCTGCTACAAACAAAACACTAGGAGTTACATGCTTTTACTTTATAGTGCTGCTTTCTCTCAAATATTTTGGGTTCTCAGATTCCCGTTATAACTAGCTAATATACATTAGCAGCTTGACTAATCTAATCAACTTTAGTGTTATGGCAGCAAAGCAGCAGCAAGGCTGGGCCCGGTTCAGGGTCTGGTGAGGTGTTGGGAGAGTTGCCGGAACGCCCCTTTCACTTGCTATCTGCAAGCAGAGTGTCTACACAATTCCACCCATTTCTGCAAATTTCTAACAAACCTCAAACAGCCGCACGATTTCACTTGCTAGAAGCCAGACAGACATGGCCTCTTAGGGACATGAATAAGTGAAAAATGAACCAAGGAAGGAAAAGAGGTTCTGACCCCTGCAAGGTGAATCTGTCCAGAAATCAGTGAATTACGGGGTAACACAGCAGCAGCTCGCTAAGTGGTAGAGCGTGTATAAATTTCATTCATGCTGCTATATCTTTGCAAGCCAGAACATTGTCCTCAGAGAAAATTTAGGACCTAATTTTAGAAAACTTGCAACCTCCCCAGTTTAAATCCACCGTACAGCACTTTGCTGTGGCGTTTCCCAAAGTGATTCTTTACATACCACATAAATTATCCAGCCAATGGAGTTTAGTTTAAAGAAATAAAAAGTACACAGAATTAATGATTAACTCACAAAGGGCAAAAAAATAAACCTGTAAAATTGGTTAGGTTTCCTGAGCTCAGCACTTCATAAGGATGTCTCGGTGTCTTAATCTGTACAATGGTCCTGAACGTGACACCACAGGGTGCTTGCATTAAAGAAATGAGACAGCAAGGGCTGAGCACAGAGCTCGCTCCCAGCCCTCAAGGATGTGATCAGCACATTTTAACTCGATTATTCAATTATCGTGTCTTAGCAGGCACCAGCCTTTGTCCTGTTTCTACTCCCACACTACCGCAGGAGCGGTTCACTTTACTTCGCAGAGCTTCAGCTCTCTCAGCTGTGTGTCACAGTGGAGTTCTAGCCGTGCCCTGGGATCTCTCCAAGTTCTGTCTCATCTCTCAAGGCTCCTGGGCTATGAGGAGGACGAGGGCTAGGCTTGTCCACCCTGAGCAGCAATCTCCCATTTATTTGCTCTCTCTGTACTACATCTCACTTTCACAAAGCTTCCAGGTCCTTCAAAAGCATTTACAAACTGCTAGTGAGGTCTAAAGTTCTTTCCAGATGGGATATTTTTCTAGCAGGCACTTAGGGCTCATTCTCCCTGTGGATAAATACTGGTTGTAAACCAAGAGACCACACCAAGCACTGCCAGATTTTTCCTGGGTAGCTGTTCCTACACTCTGTTCCACTTCAGCATCCACCTTCCCTGTACCCTGCTTTAATCCCATTTGCACAATCTGTACATTCTTTAGGAAGCTGTCTTTGATCCCAGGCATCATGGAAACCCCATTTGCCCTCCTTGGAATGCCTCCAACCTGGTGTTTATACTTCTGTCACTTCACTCTTAGAGTCATTTATCTCATTGTTTTATATCATCTGCCTGATCATAAGTACTGGAAAGACACAGGCTGAAGGCACTTAATAACAGCATTTCAAACCTCCAAGGATATGTAAGCAAATCCTGTCTTGAGACACAAGATGATGATAGTGTGCCTAAACTGAATTTGCAGCTTCTCTCAATTTTTCTAGGTCTCATCCTAGCCTACAAAGCCCTGTGTGATCTTTCTCCCTAGAACCCTCTCTTCTCCATCCAGAAGGTTTCAGTCCCTCTGGCTTCCTGTAGTTCTTTCAAAGCCCCAACACATTCCCTCTGCTCAAACAGCACCCACAAGCAGTGTTTGTGTGACAGATTCCTCGCTTTCCTCAGCCATCGCTGCTTACAGTTATTTCATCACAGGGGTGTTTGCTGACTACCTCCACCAGCCCCATCACCTTCTTCATAACATATATTGCCACATGGCATTTTGATATTAATCTGGTTGTTGGTTGTCTCCTCCAATTTGAGCGTAGAACCCACAGTACCCGTGATGCTGGCTGCTCTGACCAGCATGCATCCCTGTCACTAGAATCATGCTCACCCTGAAGTCAATAGTAGGGGCTGAACAAAAAGCCACTGAAACAAAGAACAAATGAATGCCGATCTGGGTGACATGGTCAACGCTGAGATGACCCTGTCATGTGTACTGAAACTTTCTCCCTGGGAAGTATGAGACTGCCCAGACTCTGAGCATTATGGAACTTTAGCTAATGTCTTACCCTGTTATCACAGAAGCAGGAGCAGCTATTTGTATGGACGTTGCATTGGTGACTGAGCTGAGAGTGTCTGTATTTACAATAAAGAACTTTACAGTCGGATTCACAGCTCCTGCCTAGGAAAAAACAATTGGAGAATTGGTATTGACAAAAAACTAACAAAAGTATATAACTTAAAACTGTACAAAATATCCACATTAGGGCCATAAAATAGTGCAATCAAACTGTCTCAAACAATTCAATATAAATAAAATAAAAGGGAGAGTCAGGAAATGCAACCTTTTCAAGTTAAAGCAGAAATATAGTGTGTGTGTGTGTGTGTGTGTGTGTGTGAGTGTGTGTGTGTAAAACTTTAAGATCCAAAGTGCTCCATATTTGAATAAAGAATGTTTACATGTTAATAACTTATGGAGTTGGTACAAGTAAGGACAAACTTCCAAAAATCAAAATCAATTCTGTCCTTTGAAAACACTGCCTGCTCCAAGGGATGTCGTGGGGGCCTGTCACTGTGATGAACCTCTGGGAAAATTAGTACCTGAGCCAAGAGCCAGTGATGTTAATTGGGTATTCTCACTTCCACCCCATGCTCAGGGTCACCATGCTGGAGTTTTACTGTCAATGTTATGACAGAAGCCTAAAGCTTTTTAAGATATTCACATAGACCTTCTATTGACAGATTAGTTAGAAATAATATGATATATTTAGTGAGAATATTTTATGGGTTTTTTTGTGCCAGTTTTGCTCATCAAAAATAACATTTCACTAAAAACACATCTCCATATTTAGTCCCAGATCTTTTTTCCTTTTAACTTCCTCTCCTTTCCGAAAATGGCAGCTTTTCATAAGGCAAATTAAGTGAGTTGGTAAAAATAAAAATTCCTTTTTTTTTCAAATTGCTTATAGCAAAACTACTTCATTAGATTTTCTTATAGATAACACTGGGGCCATTTGTACAGTACTAAGGAAGAATGCCTGGCTCCCGTCTGAACACCCTCTTGCCTGGCTTACATTGCTTAACAGAGCTCTTCAATTACAATAAACACATATCCTGGGGCAGAGAACAGTTCTGAAAACCAAGATGTGACTCTATTATTACAAATATAGGACATGCAAAGTTTACATTAGTGCCAAATCTATAATCGAATCACTAAAACTAGTCATGTACTGTATCCTGTTAATTAGTAATACAGTCTGATATACAACCAAGCTTTTCAACTTCATCTCGGGCACATTCCAACTTCTACAAATGAGATGAGCTTCTGATTCAATTACTTCATTCAAACATTTTCATCCCCCTACCTCTTTCAAAAGCATTTTCACCATCTTTTTCTGCTTGTCATTTCTCAAAGTTTTTGGAGAAATTACAAAACCTTAAATCACACTCTTTCCTGGGATAATAAAAATACTTTAAAATTGCCAGATGCTGTTGACTTTAGCAAGAGTAATCACAGCAAGCTGTTGAAGAGAGGCTGACAATATTTTCATTAGCAGGGAGGGATTAAATGCAACCATTCTCTTCCCATCAAATCACAGAACCACTATACAAACAGGAGTGCAGACCTTTGGATATGGAATCCGTACAGTCTTTGGGTACTGCAGTGACTCATCGGAGTAGAAGGAGTATTCAATAAGCGGGACTTCTGTGTCGTTAAATTGGGCATATGCTAAAAAAGTGCTGTTTGGAGACCACCACAGAGCAGAGTAGGCACTGAAGATTTCCTCTGAAAAAAAGACATAAATTGTTCTGTTACAAGAAGTAGCTGATAAATTGGCTTTGATATTCAAAATATTGTTCTCTTTAGCTTTAGTAATTACAGTAAAGTTCAACTAATGAACCATTTTACATTTGCTGGGTTTCCAAAATCAGAGTAATACAAATGAATAAAAATAAAATCTTCAAGGATATATATGGTTTGTAAAAATAAGTAACCCATTGGACCACTTTAGAATATTTTAGCATGCAATATTTAATATAAGCACTACATTTTTCTTTATCTTATAATCCTCTAAATTTATGCCTCAAAACATACTAAAAGTAAATTTCACACAGGAGGCTGATTTTCCTTTCTAATTTTCAAACAGTCAACATGCCAGCATACTCTCCCCAATTGGGCTCAGTTTGTACTGAGCCCGCGGGGTACTGGTGGGTGGTGCATAGCTCCAGGCTACCAAACCAATATGGTACCCAAAGTTTACTACTCTTGGCACAAACATGTTGTGGGAAGAATGCATTTAGAATGGAAAGAGCTCCATGAGACCCCTACTGGGAAATACTTCTTTGGCAGCCTAGAAACTAAAAACTTCCTTAGTGTGACACCCTCCTCTGATGTATATGCTGATAGGTCAGAAAATAAACTCAAAGAAGGAAGCAAATGAAATATCTTGCTCTATACTATATCTTTGGATTCATTCATAACACTTAACACTGGTAATTCATTCTTATGATTATTATGGGATATTCAATCTCTAACTCTTAAACTGCCTAAATTTCTTTTGTTAACTTGGAAGGGACATTAAAGTGGGCTAGATGAAAATTCTTCTCATGTGATGATGTGGGCATAAACATTAAAGCAGAAACATAGAAAATTAAACTTAGGGTTAGGAAACTATGTGTGCCCATAAATGTCTTCGACCTCTTTATATGATGCTTAGAATACATTTTCAGTAATAATGATAGCTGCAGTAGTGGTAAAAAATAATATCAAGAATAAAATACAATGATTGTCTTGATGATCAGCTGACATTCCATAAATGTGAACTATGTACAAGGTCCTGGTAATAATTGACTCTGACTACACCAGTTAATCCTTAAAATAGCCTGCTGTACAGATGAGCATAGTGAAGAGGGCCTGAAGGGGATAAAAACTTTGCCTAGGATCTCACCACTTTCATTTATGGCTATACTGTACTGACCCTACCTGCCTCTATTTCAGTTGTAACATAGTTACAACATAGTGGAAATGCTGAAACTACTATTTCTACTATATTGTAACTACTATGTTAAGGAGGCTTACTTCCATTTGACAGCTTCATACCTGTATCAATTTGCATGTTTACAGCCATTTAGAATTTATACAACACATCTATGCTTCACAAAGGTCTCTAGGTGAGTCTGTTCACTAATAGACTGCCAATTTTACAGAATAGGAAACTGAGATTTCAATAGATTTAATGAATTGTCTGAGGCACCCTATAACTTAAGAATCATATAAGACTCCAAGTCAAAGGCCACCAGTAAGAACTTCTTTATATACTATCCTGAGTTGATATTCCTCATAGCTTTTACCCACTGATTCTAGTCTATAACAGTTTCAGCGAAATTCAATACAATTACAGCTAGGTGTTGGTCTGTAAAATTATTCAAAAATAGGGTAGCCGTTGATGTCTGTTTCCTGTTCATGCTGATTTGAAAGGAGTACTGTAGTTTTTTCACTTTCATGATGCAATAATTTTCTACTAGAAGCAGAAGCCCACTGTTTAGAGAAAGGCCCACACTGGAGCTATGAAGCTATTTTCCCACATGTAATGACCTAGTCACAAACATGCAGCTATTGTCTACCTTAGAAATGATGGCTATATGTTGTCATGTCCTTTCCTTGGAGACACCTACCAGTGCCTGAGTGAGGAACACACTCAGGGTACAGGCTTGCTCCACTTGATGTAGAAGATCCTTAAGGAACCTCTGTGCCCAACCCAGTGACTCATATAGGTAAATTTCTTGATAAGTTTTAATAAAATGCTTATTTCTGGGCAATGGAAATTTGTCTTTTTCATAACATTGTTTATGATTTTTATAATATTATCTGTTAAATAAAATTGACTGGAACTAGGTGAGACTCTAAATCATAAAATAAAACTTTTTGATCTATAAAGAATAATCATTAGAGTAAAATAAAGATGAGTCTTTCTAATAAGTATGAAGCAACTCATTTTTCCCTGAGCCTTTCTAATTATCTTCTTTAAATTCTACAAACCAGAATTTGTCCAAGTTCAAGTGAACTCAGGTCCTCTATAAAGCAGGCATTTTCTTCTCCTTTACTCTCCAAGCTCCAGATGATAGTTTATCATCATTTTTAATGTTATGGGAGTAGTTAGCTTTCCTTAGAAACTTCTGGGTTAGGTAGATCTAGTTAAAGAAACAGCTGATGTTAATCTGAAGCCTTTGTGTCCTAGTAGAGCCAGAAAAGCTACCTATATATAAAGGCCCTTTGTGGCAGTAAACCAAAGACAAGAGGAGTGTTGTTAATGAGGGCACAAGAAGCACGCACTACTCTTGGGAAATTCTTAAGTGTGTGAAATACCTGGTGTTGTAAGTCCCCAAAGAGACTCAATGACTGCAAAATAAATACAACATAATTTGAGTTCCATTGAATTTCCCCATTTTTGAGGAAATGTTTGAGTATTTTAAGCAGTTTATAGATTTTAAAATTGGGAAAAGTTATGGAGTCTCTACCTTCATAAACCCAGTCAGTTATTCCATTAAATATTACATTTTCCTCCCCAGTCCACGTGATCCTGTGACTTGGTAAATGTGGTTCATTTTTAACATAAATATCATTCTTCCAAACATATGCCTAAAAGAGAAAAAAAAATCAGTATTAATTAATTAATGATGTTATAATACATTTTATTCTGGAATCCTAGAAGTCCTTATTTATTCAGGAGTAATTATTATCATAGTTAAAGAATAAATTTGCACACAAGGATTCATTTAGTCCCTCTACTCTTAAATTACAAGTACACAGGAGACAATTTCCAAATAATTTTAATAACATTCTTAATGCATTAGCCATAAAAAAGTTTACAATTACTATTACGTTACTGTTAGAGTGTATGCAAAGACCTAGACAGCTGGCCACTTCTACAGGATGAAATATGCTTGTGTGTTTCTTTCTTAAGAGGCAGAGGAGAGGGAGTGCAGCTGCATTCTTGGAAAGAGAATCTGGAGAGCAGATAAACCTTCCATCTTTGTAATGAAATTCTTCTGGGCCTCACAAATTCTACGAGTACCAGAGAACATGAAGAGTATCTACAGTGACTCAGAGGGTCTCTAAATTAGCAGAAAGCAGGCATATGTCAAAAAATATCTAAGTAAACAGACAACTACACCTTAAAAGTATAATAGGCACTTCTCAATGAATAAGCAATTCCCTACTAGAAGTCTGAAAACTTTCAGGAACTGTATTTGTTGTGTTAGGCTAGTGGAGCACTGTCTGGGGCAATATCACTGTACTTTCTAACAAATGAAGTGGCTTCCTAAGATGCCTGCTTTGTGTCAGGGTTAGTATCCTCTGCATAAGCAAAATTTAAGCCAATGTTTTTGAGTACCGGCATGATTTACTAACCAATTTATGACCTTCTGATGACCATGTGATCCATTGTGTATTGTTTGGAATTCTCTCCTCTGTTATCAGCTGCCTGGAAAAAGATAAAAGAAATGAGTACCAAAGGAATAACTCACAGTAAGATTTCCTTTTGAAAAAAAATTACATTAGGAAAACCTAATGAGTTTTATGAGGAAAGTACTGACCTTTTATTTAAGTCATAAATATCATATGAAGCTGTGTAGGAATGCCTCCATTGCTATAAAAGAAAACACACATTTCAGGCTTCTGTGATTCTTGATTGTTTGGCCACTTGCTATAGCACTTCAAAATGACAAGTATGGCAATAGATTACTGGATAATGTTCAAATTTCATCATATATCCCTCTGTACTCAAAATAATGTCTATTTAGATTACTGGGATGTGGGGATTTTAAAGTATCCTGGAGACCACCTGTATACACACCTCTGGGCTTCATCTATAACCTTGCTCTGGCGTCACTTTCTTCAGGGAGACTTCCTGGGACCTGGCAGGCCTGTGTGCAATTTTTTTGTGTAGTATTAATCCTCGCACTTGAAATAGCATGTTAAGATTGCCCGTTTGGAAAAATTCAAATTTTCACCTTACACTTATCTTACTTGCAAAATATTTAAAATATATGATTCTGTTGTTGGTAGTGATCTGGAGAAATGTTTACCTTGAACACTTACGAAAATGTCAAATGTCAGATTATTTGAAAGCTACTCAGGAATATAAAGTACAATTTAAAAATGTATCACCAATATTTTAAACAACTATCTCAAGAGGCTGAAAATGATATTCAAGTTACTAAATTCAAGTTAGTAGAAGAAATCAAACAGTAAAATTAAAAGCAGTGATCAATAGAAAGCACAACAGAGAATAACCAACAAAAAATCCTATAAGGAGAGTAGTATAATTGCTAATATGGCAATAGACAAGGGCAAAGAAATATGAATGACTGATACCAGAAATGAAAAGTGTAATTTATAGAATTTATAGACACTAAAGAATACAAGAGACTGTGTGCATACTTTTGCCAGTAAATCATAAAATTTTGAAAAATGGAAATATTTCTTCAAAAATTATTTGTAAGTGAGCTACAAATATCTGAATAGTTTTACTTCAATAAATGTACTGAATCCATAGAAGCCTTTACATAAAAAGCCAAATCTAACTGGCTGTGGTGCCACACGCCTATAATCCCAGCATTTGGGAAGCTGAAGCAGGAGGATTTTGCAAGTGCAAGACTAGCCTGGGTTACAAAGTAAGCCCAATGCCAGCCTAAACTACATAGTGAGACCTCAAAAAGACCAAAAAAAAAAAAAAAAAAAAAAAAAAAGCCAAATTCGTATAACTCAATCAGCAAACTCCTTGTTATTTTTCTAAATAAGCTGAAAACTTATATGACCACATATAAACCTACACGTGAATGTTTATAGCACCTTTAATTATAATTGCCCAAATCTGGAAGCAACCAAGAAGTCCTTAAAGTGCATTAAAAAATAGACTTGTAGTACATTCTTACAATACACTATTATTCAGTGATATTCAGTTATTAAATCACAAAAAGACATGAAGGAACCTCAAATACACTTTTCTAAGTGGAACAGGAAAATCTGAAAGGTCACATATTGTATGTGACCACTGACTTTCTGGAAAAGAAAAACTATGCAGACAGTTAAAACACCTCTGTCTCCACCTACTCATTCCTCACTTCCTCCAAGCAAAAGAAAGCCAGTGGTTAGCACAGTGAAACTACTTCATGTGATACTGTGATAGTGGGTGTGTGTGATACATTTGGCAAAATCAGCAGTCTACCCTAATGTACTCTGAAGTCAGCAGCAATGTATCAGTCGATAATGATGGGCTCATCAGTTATAATAGACATGTCACACATAATGCAGGATGTTAATAGGGGAAAGTGGGGGAGGGGAGATTAAAGAGCACATAGAAAAAGTTTGCCTATGTTCAGGAAACCTAAAGCAGGAATAAAATTATGAAGCCCATTAACTATTTTTTAAATGAATTAGATCTATGGCTTCAGATTCTTCTTTTATGTCTTTAGTTGTGCTTCATGCTGCTGAAATGCACTGAAGCATTCAAAATGTTCACCTCTCATGGGCATTTTGTTGTTGGGGAAGAGCTATGGAACCAGACCTGATGAGTAAGGTTTATGAGGCCACATCATAGTATTTTAATGAGTCTGTCTTTTAGTTGAATGGCATTTGTCAACAGAATGCACTGTATTTTAATCACACTCTAAAACAATAAGATACTCTCTAAGGAGGATTTCCCAGAACTGCTTTAGAAACTTGCAAGAATGACAGTGTAAGTATGTTCAAAGTGAGAAAGGATTTTGACGGAGATTAATGGCAGTAAGTCTTTCACTGCAATATATTGTTTTTAAAATAAACTTTTTCCATATTTTTTGATCATACAGTACATACTAGGGGTCCAAGCAGAAAAGCTGAAGATTAAAAAGTATGCACATGATCTTATTTTTGTACTTATGTCTGCATGTGAATGCACATAAAAATTAAAGATATTTTAAAAGCAATTTCTTGTCTGTGTGTCTATTTTCCTTATCATATTCCTATGGGAAAGAAATTGTGTCTTACATCATTGTACACTTGGAATCCAGTGCAAGTCGTACAGAAGGTATTCAAGAAATAAAACAAAACTACAATCAAATCCAAATTGTACTAAGATAGATGAAATGGGAAGCTCAAGGACATCTGTGATATGATCCCAAAGCTGAGACACAGAATCAGGTTTCCTAACTCTAAATACTTATTTCTAATCTTTCTACACTCCTATATCAACAAATATTTATTAAGTTCTCATTTCTTGTAAATCTTACATTCCTTTCCTGACTTTTGGATTATTTTGACACACCCCACGCTTGTTTCTGGGCAACGTCCAACATAATACTTGGTAAAGCCAAAAGGTGTGGTATAAGTTGAAAATATTAAGAAGGGCTGAGATCATTTCAGGATGACAAAACCAAAATAAGTTGTAAAAGAAAACTCAAGATGTTTGGAATGATTGCTTTATCTTTTGCAACAGACTCATCAATCTTTTTAGCTTATAAACAGTGTCAGGAACCATTTATCATGTGCTACCCTCCTTGAAGTGCTCGTATTTGAATGGGGGATGTGAGCAAGTAAACTACAATAAAGGAATCACAGTAAGATTTGGTGGTAGTCAAGGAGCGGTGGGCATCATAAACTGGGTCGTGGCAGAGAGAGAGGCTAATAGAAAGGTGATTCTCATGCTGAATTTCTTGGTAGAGGGTGGCCACACAAGGAATAGGTAAAAGTTCATGACAACAGAGAGAAGTCTAAATGAAAAGTTAAGCAAGATCATGCTTAAGAGCAAAAGCTTTGGAATGTTCTAACCTGGATTCAAGTCTGTACTGTGTAATATCATGGAAGCTTCCTTTTAAGCTTTGACTTTCTTTTCAGGGAAATCGGGATAATGACAGTAACAATCTGAGGTGCCTAAGCATGTATGCAAAGTGCATAACAAGGTTCTAGAAACATCAACATGTGATAGATGGTACAACTAATATTATCTCCAAATCATCAAAGAATGAACACACCCATATTCATAGCAGCACAGTTCCTAATAACTAGATCTTGGAAGCAGCCTATATGTTCCTTGACAGATGAATGGAAAAAGAAAAGGTGATATTTATATACAGTAGAGTACTACTCTGCCATACAGAACAGTAACCTTGAGTCATTTGTAGGTAGATGGATGCACCTTGAAGCCACAATGTTAAGCAAAATAAATCAGACACACACACTTAAATATTTCATGGTTTCTGTTATTCAAGAAATTAAAATATACATAACAAACAACATAAAACATAGATAGTAGGAAATACGGAGATAGATATTTACAAATAGGAAGGAGACCAAGAGATGAAGGTAGAGGGGAAGGAGGAAAGGAGAAGATGAGGAGAAGGAGATGAAAAAAGAATTAAAATATGTTATGTGCATGTGCTTAAGTTTCTGTGAGAATGTAAACATTATGCACTGCAAACATGTAGTACCAAAAATTAAAATTTGAAAAGATAAAATAAAGCATGAGCAGAGATGCTATGAGAGTATCCACACCATGCCGTATGATACCTGCTTGTTCACTCATTCATTTATATATTGGTAGTTAACAACTTAGTGGTAATAATTGATTATTCTAGATGCACTAACTCAGAGAGAAGTTACATGAGGTAGGATCTCGAAGCCAATGGATATTGAGCTTCAGCCACCCTTCTCTTTCTTCTGGTATTCTTTCATTTTGAGAGTTGGTTAGGCCAGGAACTTACACTGCCCATCAACCTTTATTGGACACTTTTGAAAATGAAAAAAAACAAAGATAGTTCTTCGCTTCCAATAATGTATCATTTAGTGCTTTATAATAACGCACATGTCCACTTAATAAGCATTCGTTAGGCATCTGCCATGTATTCCAGTCTCAGGTCCTGTAGCAGTGATTAAGACACAGAGACACCAGCACTAAACAAGACTGGCAATAAGTAAGAAAAAAATAAATAACAAAACATCATAAAATGCTAGGAAGAAACTGAAGTAGTGCCCTGTAACAGAGAGAAAGATTTGTGGGATGTGAGGGGACCACAGTAGAGCGGGGCAAGGTCTCCAAGACAGCCTGGTGCTGGCCTTCTAGAGAAATAAAAACATAATCATGGGGAAGAAGGTCCCAGGAAGAAGCAACAACATGTGCTGTGAACCTTGGATGAGAATGAGAATGATGCTTAAGAAAAAAAAAAAAAAAAAAAAAAAAAAAGAAAGGTTCTCTGATCAGATCACCGATTCACAAGGGAGCTCTTGAATCTACTGTATTCTAGTCCCCTTGCCTAGCTATACTGATGAAAGTACTTGGGATTAGGGTCACAGACATCTGTGGTCTTCAAACCTTCCCAGAACAGCCGAAGGTGCCAAGTAGGGAAGAGAGGCACTCCCCAAACATGAAGAGTGCAGGACAGAAGGTAGGAGACCCAGAGAGGTAGCTCAGATGGGCAGGCTGAGGTCCAGTGAGAGAGGCCCCATGGTTTCCATGTCTAGTGCTGGTGTTTTCTTCTGAATATGATGGGGAGCCAGTGGGAGTTTTTGAGAGAAGTCCTAGCTTAATCTAACTTAGGTTTTAAAAGAAACATTGGGTACTGCCTGAAGCATGGATGGTGGGGGAAGAGTATGGAGTGAAATCAGGAAACGCAGTAGAATGCACAGGTAAACATCAATGACACAACAAATACAAACTACTAATGACAACTGTCTAAAACATCAGTGAACTCCACTGGGTAGTGTGCGTCACACATTTGTGATACCAGACTAAGTAGCAACTGAGCTGGTATTACCTTTCTGCCTCATTTGCATGTTAATCTTTAACAAGAACAATTTTACCAATTTTTAACAAACCATTGTTATTCAGTGGCTTTCAACACTGGTTTCCCATTAAAAGATTCTGTAGCATTAAACAATTCTGGTGCCAGCTTCACCCCAGGGACTTCAGTTTATTGATCTCAGCACTGAGAATTTTTATAAATTCTTTAAGTGAATTTATTTTCCAGAGTAAGAAGCAATGAATTACACAGATGAACTTATTGAGAATAGATATGTTACAGTTGGCACAGGATTCTGATTTACTTATAATTGATGGGTTTAGCAAAACTAAAAAGAGTCTTCATATCCAGGAAATGGGACCCAACACAGAGATCCAGGGTAAATATTATGATTGAAAGTCACCGTCCTGAGATGGTAAATGGAGTAGGGACTGCTTTGTTTGGCTTGACTAGAACAGCATTGCTGTGTGAGATAAGGCCACTTAATGTTGTTTATCTCAGAAAAAAAAAAATCTGAGGTAGGAATCCCCAGCATTGTGTTTTGTCTTCAATATAGAGTATCTCACCAGGATTTCAAAGCTTTCTGCATGTCTAAAAGCATCCTATGCTAGACAAATGAAGTCCAACTCTATGGTAGCCAGAAAGTGGCAGTTAAAGTTAGCAGCAAGTGGCATCCATCCCAAATAGGGACAATATGTGATTGAGTGGATCTTTGCCTGATGGTGTGAGGACCCCTTGATGGGTGAATGCTGTTCAGAGGAGGCTGACTGATCTTTGCAGGACCTTATGACTGGAGTGAAGGTCCCCTAAAAATGATGTGTATATGGCAGAATTTTAAGGTTGGGAGGTGATTGAGGGCATCTTACAGAGTCATTCGGAGGACAAGAGGGTTAACTTTTTGTAAAGCACATACTTACTGAAAGTCTTACCATACACAGATCTGAGACAAAGGAAATGAGTTATATCACTAGACGTAAAAATCTTCCATGCAAGTTTACTTTATATTTACCACAAATTATTATCATATATTTGATTAACTTATCCCATGTTGTTATATTAATTATGTGATTTTTAGCATTAAAATAATTTTCCTTTAAAACACTGGTTGGGTTTGTCTTTTATAAGAATGACTTAATGCTGAATTAATGAGTTTTTAGTGGCAATTATGTTACTTAGGTATCAATAATGTACATTACATATATTGAAATCCATTACAAAAATATAGTCTTAGGATTTTTAGAAGCAGTTTTTTTTACCTTCACATAGTTGGATTCCAAGAGAATGAAGAGTCTATCGGGAGATACTGAATAATCACTCACAGAATTTCCAAAGGCTTCCTGTGGATCAAATAGAAGAAAGAAAATGTGACCAACTTAACTATCATCCCTGACCACTTACCATGCAGAGGGTACTCTTTTAGACACATGACTTGGGGAGCACACTCTAGGAGTCACCCACACAAATGACCATGATGTGAATGGGCAGTGACCCAGGTTAAAAGCCATGAAGAGAAGGGTTAATTCTATCCAAGGACAGATGGCTGCTAGCACGGGGATTAGGAGCCCAGACAGCAGTGCTTCAATGGGAGGAGCAGCATGAGCAAACTCCCAGCCAAGTGTGGGATGCACATCTCGAGGTGTTTAAGGGTTCTGTGTAACCTGAATACAGTATGGGGTGTGCTAATACAGAGAAAGTAGGCCAATGAATGAGAAAAAAACCAGCTGGGACTGAAACACAGGACATGCAGTTATGACCTACTTTTTGCATGTGGAAGTGACAGTCTTGCATCTATTTTTTGCTGTTTTTTTAGTGCAAAAAACATTCTGGTGATATGGTGGCTAAAGGAGAAGAAAGGTCAAGCATCATTGTATCAGCCTGCGTTCAGGCAGCAGTACAGTGGTCTGGTCTCCTCAATAGAACTAGAGACCCAAGATGGAACACTCGCTACTGAAAAATTAAATGAGGCTTTAAATCAGGAGTATCTCATGGAGATAGAAAGCTATGACATACCCCACATACAGAGGGTGAATCACAGGGTTTGTGGAGAAGCTAAGTAGAGAGGATAACAGCACAGTTGAAGATGATTCTGAGGTTTCTAGTTTAAGTGGTTGGGAAGAGAATTAAATGATTTACCAAGACTGGGAACTTGGCAAGAGGAAGAAGGGCTTTCAAGCGCTAGGAAAATGAAGGGAAAATAACTGGCTCAGTTTGGGAGAATGAATTTGCAGTGTCGACAGAATACCCGTGGCGGGTCATCCAGCTACCGGAAATTGAAGTTTTGATCTTGAGAGGCGATTAGTGTTAATGTGTGTTTGAGAATCAAGGCCAGAAAGAAGAGCACCAAAGCTTTGGAAATTCATAAAATCCACACAGGAGATCAAACAAAGGAAAAAAGCCAGCAAAGGAAGACAGGGCCCAGTGGAGCACTTACATTTAAAAATATGTGCAGAAGAGGAGTAATCATCAAAGGAGACTAAAAAGTAGCCAAGACAGGGAGCATTTCAAGAAGGAGAGAAAGATCCACTGTGCCATATGCTGCAGAGAGAGTCCACAGGTGAGAAAGGATAGACTTGTGACTTTAAAGGTAATGAAAAACTCCCCATAATTTCATGCATGAGTTAATTACATACAAACGTAGTGTTATCCAAGAAAATGGAGCTGTTTCCATTTTCAGCATTGAATAGCAAGATATTATTGTCTTGTTTGTAGAGATATTCATGTTCTGAAGGAGAGAAAATGACCACATCAGTATTTCAAATAGATATTAAATATTTGCATAAACTAAAAGGCATGCAATACAATTTAAGATTTCAGTTCTCATGTAAGGAGGAAGTAAAGATTTCTAGCTTGGAAAAATGATGACTATTACACTGGCACTTATTTATTCTTTCATCATTAGTGTCAAGGTATCAGTTCTTATGTAACTTTTCATATCAAAGAAAACTGCATCAAAGAACTACTTGGGTTTCTTCCTGTTTTCTTTTACTTTGCATCCCCAAGTAGAAGAAAATTACTTTTAATAGTTCAAAAAAGACCACATTTTCTCTGGTGTCAAAGCATCCCACAACCTCACTTAACTAGAATGAACCTACACATAAGAATCTGTATCCTCTAGGAAAAAACAAACAAACAAACCCAAATCTTACCTGAAATCCACCGCAAGGTGTAGGATTTCACTCGAAAAGTGTTTTTCAAGTAATCATTTAGAGAGTAAGTTCTGTGATCATCAGCTGCAGCATCATCTGATGATTGAAAAAAAGAATGTTCTGGAAGATGGAATGACCTAAGTTTCAGAATAAGTAAGTAAAGGAATCTATACAGCATATCCTGCTCATAAAATGTACTGATACACATAAAATGCAAGATGAATTTTAAAAAGTTTCAGGCTAGAGGGATGCAGGAAAAACACATTTGACTGTAAAGCACGTGAGAATGTACGAGCTTGCTGTGTTAGGTTAGTGAATGCCACTGTGTACATCTAAATCAGCAATAATCAGTAGAAAGATCACGTGAGTATATTTTTTAGTAGTCATGTTTGAAAAAAAATTAAGGTAGAATCATTATAATAGCATATTTTATTTAGCCCAGTGTATCCAAACACTATCATTTCAACAGGTAATTGATATTTTAATGTTATTAATGTTATCTTTCCAAATCTTTTTTCATACTAAGTTTTTGAAATCTGGTACATAGTTTTCACTAACAGCACATTCCAATCTGACTCTTCACACTTTCAACCAATAGCTAGGTGTGGTTGCTGACTGCTGGAGAGGCTGGCACAGGGTTAGATCACCTTTGGCTGAGGCCTTGAAGTCCATTTCTAGCCCTCTTCCCCTTCAGAGACCTTTAAAGACACGTGATCAGTATATTCAGGGATCCTGTTTTTATCACCACTTTTCCTTAAACTTGGTATAATTTGCGTGGTTCTATTTTCAAAGAACCAACTTCAAGCCTGAAATCATTTTGAAACCTTCCTCTCTTTTTCCACCACTTTCATCTAATTGGGCCTCTTGATTCTTCCTGAAAAATCTATTTTCCAAATATCCCTGCCCTCAGGAGCTCTCATTCCATTCTTCCGTCTGTACCACCACTGCAGCAATTTTTCTAAGTTACCACCTTCATCCTGGTGACCTTTTTGCCATAAGCTCCTGGAACTTCTCAGTCACCCATAGGAAGGTTCAAATGCTTTAGCCTGGTTCTTCTGGGTCTACATCCACTCTCGAAAAGGTGTCATCCTCTCACATGATCTGCCTACCAAACTCAAGAGATCCTTTCTACTTTAGCTCTTTGTCCCAAGTCACTTGAGACAAAGAGCTAAAGTAGACAAGATCTCTTCAACTGCTTCTCCGGCTGTCACCACCAGCCATCCTGTGACCCCACTTCTTTCATGAAGACTTACTTCTGCTCTTCTGACCTGAGCTCTCACGCTCTGTTGGCTCTTGTCATTTAACGACAACTACCTTTCCATATCCATTGTTTATTTTTATCAGTAAGGTTTTATATATATTATATATATATATATATTGTAATATACTATAGCATAGAATATGTAATATATACTAGAAATAAATATATATAATGTACTTGTATTTTGAAGACAAAAATCTTATTCTTTGGATTGTTTTAATTTGCTTTTTTGCATTAAGTCTCAACATTTACCACAGTTCAATGCCTCAGGGGTCAGACACACAAAAAAGTTTTTGTTGACATAATATTTCATTCACAAGCTAATCAGATCTATGTGATTCTTCTTCCTCAATCCCAGTCTGTCCACTGATGACAAAAACTTAACATCTTTTCCCAAACCTTAAACTTTCTCTACATATGTACCAACAGCCGCCCACACAATTAGAGACCACTAGCATTACTCTAGTACCATTCTCCAGCAGCATGTTCTCTTGATAATTGTCATAAACTAGGGGAGATAATTAACTGATAGGAAACGTTCTTTCCAAAGATATTTTTTTAAGAGTTTATTCCTCCAGAATTTATCTGGTAATAGTTTTATATCTGCTTACAAAATTTTCTACCTTAATAGATATTATTACTACATTTCTTTTCTTTGTTCCACTGATTTTGTTTAAACAAGTTTGTTGAACAGGTTAAAGAAGTTTTTAAAAAGTCTGTCTTTTTTTCAATTTAATCCTATGTATCACCTCTAAAAGTCATGAAGATATTTATGCTCTTAGCAGAAATATAGCAAGCAGGTAAAATCAGTTTGGGGATATGTCAACCTTCATACAAGAAAGAAAGCCCTGTGCTATAGAAAATATAATCACTGGATATAACTACAAATTTGGACTTTTTTTATTAAATTCCAGCATTTCTTTCATACATCAAATAGTTGTGGAACAAATACTATTTGGTAAACACTGCTGAAGAGATATACCTTACCATCAAGAACTATGGTTTAAAAATTGATATAAAAACAAATCCCCAAGTTAGCATATATTAAGGAATAAATGGTTGTAGACATTCACAGTTCTATTTTTATGTGCTCATGTAGATGTTTACCTGGACCTAAAGAGATCAATGTGTACATGTATACACACGTATACATATGAGCATACAGCAAGGCAGATATATCAAGAGAGAACATCTATAGTTAGTGCTTAATTTTGTAAAAAGGTAGTTAACTGAATACCTGTAACAGATAACACATAGGACTGTATCATTTAAATACTGTCTGGCTAGGTAAATGTATCTGGCTAGGTTTCTTTTCAGGGTGATACACTTACAGCTGAAATTATAAAATAATTGAAGCAAAATTCTCTTGGCCTCATCTGGTGTCCAGTGGGCTTCTCGCTCTACTTATGAGGCCTTCCTCACTGAACCTTTACTTTTCATGGCCTCCTCTGACATTGCTGGGCTCACCTTTTCACCAGCTTATAGCTTTCCTACACCTAACATCTCTACTCCACTCAGGCCCCCCTGTCCTCATGATTGGCCTGCAGTGGATCCATTAGCTGATGCTCCAAATCTGAAGGTTAATGACACTATTCTTGGTATAACCCAGCATATCCCCATGGGGTCACACTGTATGGGCTTGTGTTGGGTCATTCAGCTGCTTTACAGTAGCCCTGCAACTCAGCTTCTATCTATTAATTACCTAGTCCCAGAGCAGCACAATAAACTGGAGCAAGTACAGCAACAAATGTTCTGTTTTTTGCCTTGTTATTTGATAAGCAGGGCACGTTGGAAGACAGTTTGGAAACATCTAGATAAGCAGGTTCTGTGAGATATGAGTGCCAAGTCCAGGTTTTGACCTTTAGCAAGTTCATAGCTTGCTGCCAAGTTACAACCTGTTCTGTCAAGCTCTTATAGGACATGCTCGTGTTTCTTCTTCCTTGTCTACTTGTTCCCTGACAGGGGACTGCTGCAGCGACAGATGAAGGTCTTTGGCTGCTTGTGTGGTTTTCCTGTTGCGGCCTGGGACATGTCGTTCATTTGACTTATCAGTTCAAACCACTGTGCTCGCCAAGTAAAGCAGCGATCATATGTTACCCATCAGCTCACACAGAAACTCTGAGATGCAAACCTTCTTTCATTTAAATTTTTTAAAAATGTTAGCAACAATATGCTTTACTTCTCTGGCTAGAACAACTATTAGGTGGAACCATATGAAAATATTACTTTTTATCAGCCATAGATGGTGGAATAGAAGCATTTAAAATGGATTAATTTAAACTTTCATCAAACAGCTATGGCATCTTAATGAATCCTTACTTTAGGATCAAAATCACTTTTAAATAAAGGTAATTCCAAAAAGGTAAGAGCCAAATAGAAAGTAATGTAGTTTATGGAATAGTCTTACTTGGACCAATTATACTGTGTGTTTACAGTACATGTTGAATACTTTTATGGCCACTCATAATAAACTTTCAACTTTAGTTTTCAAATATTGGATTTATGATATTTTCACTTCATAAAGATAAACCGTTTGATAAACAATTGACTAACAAAATACATCTGAAAAGAAATGGGCTCTTTACAGCTCATAAATGCATAAAATTGTTAAAAACAGGCAAAATAGGGGCTGGGGATTTAGCTCAGCGGCATAAGCGCCTGCCTTGCAAGCAGGCAGTCGTGAGTTCGATCCCTGGTACCAATTAAAAGGAAAAAGACAAAAAAAAAAAAAAATCAGGCAAAATAAATATCTGGTTACAGAGTTCCTCCTATGTTCCATATGGTAAGCAGCTAGCATTGCACATTGATGTTTGTATCTTTGATGAGTATAAAAAAATCAAATGGGTGTTATTTCAAAATTTGTTGTACCAGTCTTGATAACAGAGGTGAGTGAAGAAAAATCGATAAAGCAAAAGAAGAAATTGATTGAAAGGCTTCCAAGATTCTGTAGCTGGATTGATTATCTAATATGCAACGTTTGTAGGCTACTTATTACTCTCGATTGATTACAAAAATTCCATAAGAGGTTGAGTAAATGGTGACTTCAGAGAAACTAGTGAACCTTTGTTTTGGCTTCAATGATGACATATCCTCTGAAATTCATGTTGAAACTTAATCCCCATTATGGTGGTTCTAAGAGGTGCAGTCTTTTGGGGAAGCTATTGAGTCATGAGTGTTCCATCTTCATGAATGAGTTTTTAATCTTTTAAAAGTCTTAAGGGAACTACCTTAGGTCATTTTGCCTCTTTATTTTCTACCATGGGAGGTTGCTGCTGCAAGGAGATGCTATCAGTAGAGCAGGCCCTCACTAGACACTGAATCTGCCATCTTGCTCATCCCAGCTCCGGAGCTACAAGAACCAAATTTCTATGCTTTATAAATTATGCAGCCTTGGGTACTTTGTTATAGCAACACAAAAGGACTAAGACAGAAATTGATATCAGAGTTGTGTGTTACTATAGATAAAATAGGAAATAATCTTTGAAACTGTGTAGTATGTAGAGGTTGGAACAATTTTTTAGAAAAAATCCTGTACTTCCATGAATGGATCATTAAGGGCGATTCTGATTCTAGTAAAGGAAATAAGTAGAAAAATAATAAAGTGAAAGAAAGAACCATTGACTGTAGTTCAGTGTTTTAAGTTATTATTCTAAGGGGTCATGATCAGAATTGTGCTTGAAATTAGGATTAAAAAGAGTAAAGGCCACTCTGATAAAGTTTTACACAGAAACAAGGAACGTGTTTTTGGAAACCAGAGGATAGGCAAGCGTTTTATGAAGTAACAAAGAACTTAGTGTTTTATGGACGGCAGAATTTAAGAGTGATGAACTATATACTTGGTGGAAGAAATCTCTAAGCA